TTCAAAGGCATAATGTAAAATTCAAAAATTTTTCAAGTTGTTTGAACCTAGAAAAATTAGTATAGGTAACTGTAATTTGTAAGGAGAGAAAAGTAGTGCAAGAAGGTTAGCATTTTGAGAATTAATAAGTTCTTGACATACATTACACAAGGCCATAATATTATAAATAATGTCTGTATAATAATTATACAACATGCTAAAATCTTCACCTACATTATAATTATTAAAACAGGTTTGCCTTCATGCAGCAATAAGAAAAGTGTTATGTCAGAGAAACCAATGCACTTTAATTTAAGAAATTATTTTCAATGGGAAATTAATGTAGTTCTGTTCAGTAGTAGATCCTTGGTTTTCAATGACAATCCAGTTTCTAATATCTTGGCTCAAAACAGAACCAGCAACATGATTATAGAATTTCTGAATTTCGTTCTTTTGCTCTCCTAGTTCAAGATATTTTCTTCATAAGTTCTCAGTAGATTTATCAGAATATCATAATACCTTATAAGACACCCAGAATCAATCCTACCAAAAACTCAAAAAATACATACCTACTAATAATATATTTCCAGTCGACTTAAGTCGTAGGGGTAAGCTAACTTTTCTAACTCCTTTTGGACATTTTAACTAAGATTTACCCATCTATTCAAGAAAGACAGTTGCACAGCTGTTAACAAATAGTCAAAACACAAGTATTGCACAGTGTAAAGAATGCCGTTTGATATTTATTTCTAACATAGCTAAAGCATTACTTGACAAAATATACGTTATTTTACAGTAGATTTACCTCATTTAAATGTGTGTGTCTATTTCACAAAAACCTGAAGCATTATTTTCAATATTTTATGCTTACGGTATCGTGGTTGTTTTCGCTGGTTGTCATCAATATAAGCAGTAATAGTGTTCCGGATTCAGGAGGGAGCGAATGTTAAAAATTTTTCTCAAAGTGGAAGTTTTGACAACCAAAATCCGCCATTACCGCCATGTTTTTGACCACGAGGCCCAGGCCCCTTTGCCCCTCCAGTTATTATAGAGCTCAATGGTCACGATCATGATTAAACATGGCGAGTAAACCATGCATCATATTGTATTGGTTGTATTGCAAAAAATTGATTTGCGCTAGACTCAGGTTACAATTATCTCTCAGGTTACAATTAATAAGGCGAATGAGCTTCACAAAAAGCAGTCTAAAAGAAAATGACACAAATCAAACAAGAAATCATGCCGTGTTTTTATTTCAACCTAAAGAACAAAATCAGAATTGTGAATTGTCTTAAAATATTTAAGCAAACAAAACTTTAAGCTTTTGACAAATATGAAACATTTTCAATAGGAACCATATGTCTTTTCAAAGTCAAAAAACTTTTCAAGGTTAAAATCTGTTCAAATGTCCACAATGTTTACATCAACCATGTGGCTTTTTACAGAATCATATTTTACAAAATCAAATTTAAGCTCCGGTTAACATGATTTAATTGTTATTGGCCGAGTTCTAAATGACAATATGCAAATTTTTGTAAAATGAGCTTTGAAAACTGTTCATCCAATTATCCCATTTTGAAATTAGCATAATTATACATACATACAGTGTTACTTCTTGCATCTACTTCTATAAATTGATTTATATGACAATTTGAAAATAAAAGATGACACAATTAGCTTGTCTTTATGCAATGACAAAGTATACGAGTTGTTGCGGTTTCTTGCTGTATTTTTATTTTTACCATTCATTATTGTATTGTTTATGGCAGATGATAAATGATGGAAAACACGCAATAGCAGTTTCCAAACTGTTTTACCTTACTTGGTGGAGGGGCAGCAATTCCCTTGCGATAGTAACTCCTAGTTTCATATACGATGCACGCTGTTTTATTGTTATCTTCCGGCTCCTGCTGGCCTTTTGCTTGTTATTGATTCAATGTGGGGCTGTTATGAGTACATACAATGCCGAAACTTTCGGGGGGGTATGGAGTGATACCCCCTGCCCCAATCTTTCATCTAGTCGTGCAAATTACAGGAAGTTACATGTTTGTAAATGTAGATCGTTTACCATTTACTTACAAACCATTTACTTACAGGAAGTTATTGGGCAAATTTTTGAAAATGAGATAAAAATACAATCTGATGCTCTGCATGACTTAAAAATTAAGGCAATATTTTGAAGATGAAATGTTGTTCCATAATTTTAAAAAGTACATGGGGGGTAGGGCTTAGTGCTCATACACATCAAATCTGTTTACAATTATTAAAAATTTGTGATATTTGGCAATTGCATGAAGTGCGTCAACATAATAAGTGGAAACTCCGTGTAGTTTTACTACTGGAAGCAGTTGTTTTGTAAGCTCAACGAAAGCAGCCAATAGTGCCAATTTATCGTTAATTCGCAACATTTAATTCTTTTATGCGGTATGCTTGTATTCCACATCATTGTACATGTTAATTAGTCCGTGTTGTTATCCGTGTAAAATTGACATTAACACGGGTTAATTTCTTGCGTGTGCTGAATACTAAAACCCAGGTTTATTTTGGATTTGGCTATTCTCATGTCAAGAAGTAGAATGAATTAAACGCAGGTCAAGCCTGGGTTAGTAGTGTTCACTGGGAAAAAAAGACAGACATACATGTGTTCATTTGAACCGAGTTTGAACCCAGATTAGTTCATGTTGTTTGAATTACGCAATAGTTTTCATCAACGTATAGTTTTCATCAACGTATAGTTTTCATCAACGTATAGTTTTCATCAACGTATAGTTTTCATCAACGTATAGTTTTCATCAACGTATAGTTGCATCAACGTATAGTTTGCATCAACGTATAGTTTTCATCAACGTATAGTTTTCATCAACGTATAGTTTGTATCAACGTATAGTTTTCATCAACGTATAGTTTTCATCAACGTATAGTTGCATCAACGTATAGTTTGTATCAACGTATAGTTTTCATCAACGTATAGTTTGTGTCAACGTATAGTTTTCATCAACGTATAGTTTGTATCAACGTATAGTTTTCATCAACGTATAGTTTGTGTCAACGTATAGTTTTCATCAACGTATAGTTTTCATCAACGTATAGTTTTCATCAACGTATAGTTTTCATCAACGTATAGTTGCATCAACGTATAGTTTGCATCAACGTATAGTTTTCATCAACGTATAGTTTTCATCAACGTATAGTTTGTATCAACGTATAGTTTTCATCAACGTATAGTTTTCATCAACGTATAGTTGCATCAACGTATAGTTTGTATCAACGTATAGTTTTCATCAACGTATAGTTTGTGTCAACGTATAGTTTTCATCAACGTATAGTTTGTATCAACGTATAGTTTTCATCAACGTATAGTTTGTGTCAACGTATAGTTTGTATCAACGTATAGTTTTCATCAACGTATAGTTTGTGTCAACGTATAGTTTTCATCAACGTATAGTTTTCATCAACGTATAGTTTGTGTCAACGTATAGTTTTCATCAACGTATAGTTTGCATCAACGTATAGTTGCATCAACGTATAGTTGCATCAACGTATAGTTTGCATCAACGTATAGTTTTCATCAATGTATAGTTTTCATCAACGTATAGTTAGATGTGTTTAGCTTGTAATGTATGATGAACTCATGTATGCATTGTTGAAAATTATCCCTGGTTGTAATAAATGGACAATAAAGAGTACAAACATAATGAAGGAAATTCGATATTAACCTTAGCCACTTGGTAAATACCGTTACACAAACATATATGTAAATGAGAAGTTGAGAACAATACGTTTTCCACCTGGATTTAACAAACAAAATTCTCGCGTTGCACCACGTCAAGATGCCTTCTTTAAATAAACTTAAAAGAGGGCTACTTTAGGCATATAGTTTTATAGCATTTCCAATTCATTGTCCAAGCAAAAGTGGAAAGGTTTGCTTGCAAAACTGACTTTGATTTAGCGTCAGTGGTGACAGATAAAAATTCTGATTATGAAGCAACTAGTGAAACAAATTTAATGAACTTTAAAGTGCCCCTTTCGGCAAAAATTTTTAACAGCGATATTAAATTTAGGTGTTAACTCCAACGTAAGATCGTTCCATTTTTATTGCTATTTAAAGTTAGCAAAAATGTTCCTTTTAATGGACCTTTTCCGTCGTTCGGAAAGTCTAGAACGACTTACTTTTGTGACGTCATGCAAGGGATTCCTCAATACATAATATATATACCGACTACCTTGGATGACGTCAGAATTTGACTAGACCCAGACTTCATGCCACGACGGACAAGGTCCATTGAAAGGCAACTTTAAACCTCCATAACAAGAAGAAAATTTGACCAAATTGAAAAATTTTTTCCACCCACACATTAGATATTACACTAAGTTTTCATATCGCTGATAAAAGTTTTTGCCGATAGGCGCACTTTAATTCCTACGTGCTCTTATATTTTGGCCTTAAAACCATGGCCCGTTATCACACTCTGCTTTTTCGTGAGCGATAGTCAACGGAGTTTCTTATGCCACTAAACACACTATTTCCGTGGGGGTGCTGTAAAAAAGTTATAAGTATGTTACAAAGTATTCAGAAAGTATTTACTGCACTTAGTTGGTAACTAGTGACTAGTGAATCGAAACCGAAATGATTTTGCCAGATTTATCGTAAGCTGATGAATCAGTTCTAAATGCTGTGGAAATGTAGCTGTTGCTACTTGGTAAATATCTTATAGCAGGCTGTTTGTTATGGATTAAAGTAGACGAAGGTGAATGAATTGAACATCGATGTGTTTTGTTTTTCAATCATTATTCTTTGTCTAAAGCAATAATTTTATCGGCAATGCTGAGCAACGTCAATCTATGTCGTGTATAGCAAGGTCACGTGCTCGATCTATGTCGTGTTTAGTTAAGTTTGGTCGACCCCATTGTTAGACTTTTTGATATTGTGTGATCGTGAACTCCCTACTGCTAGAGTTTTTTTTAAGAAATTCAAAGGGATTCCGTCCATTTTATTAAAAGTGTAATAAAATTCCATTCAGGATGCCAGGATTCTCAGCTTTGTTATTCCTTTTCCGGATTTTACGGTTGTAAAGCTTTACCCACCGAGACGTGCCTTAAGTATGGATGCTGTTCTACCGACTTATGCAAAGTTAACTACACTCTCTTCCCGGCAAATTCTTCGTCCCCAAGCCCCAGCCTCAGTCCCACGACGATGTTGCCAGCATCCACTTTCGCCTTCGAGCACTCGTCGTCACAAGTTTTTTCGACGCATGCGCAGGAGGCAACCAAATCAGCTGAAGACCCACGTCCGCCGTGCAAAGATTCTTCCGCGAGCAAGCGCAGTCTGAATATACTGGTTCTCATTGCAGTTCTTTGTTGTTGTATGTATTAAAAGCGTGTGTCTTCGTTTCTTCTCATAATTTTGTTGAAAAGACACGGTTATCGCTTGTGAATTTTTTGTTGAAAGAAAGGTTGTATTTAGTAATAGGGATATACGAGATGTATGAGATGTAGCGATTCACTTCGAGATATTCATTTGTCAGTATTTATAGCAGAATAGTATTTTTATTGATGAATATGGTGTAACTAATGCGTAAGGTGTTGACGTTAAATGTTTTGTTCGACTGGTTTTTTAGTTGACGTCACATGTTGTAAAATCGGTCTTTGCGAAAACTTCAAAATCTCGAGGATGAAAAGAGATATGCATGAATCGTTTTTGACAGTCCGCTGTCATTTTATAGATTCTGTTCGATGAAAACGTAAGTTGCATAGCAAGATATTGGTTTTATATGCCTTTAAAAAATGAGAAATCTTTACAAAGACAATTTTGACTTCCTGAGCATTTTCACGAGTGAGTATTGTCAATTTCCTTGTTCTTCCACATTATCCTCCAACTTTCAGCTCATTCGCATTCATTGATTCTTCATATTTTTTTGCCTACGAGCATTTTACGTAAACGATTAAGGACTGGAAAAACTCTGCCTTTGGCAATAATACTAAACGCATTTTTTAGCCCATTCCATGACACGCTATTATAATAATATTACCATAATAAAGAGAGTCGGCTATATTACAAACTCTCGCTTTGGTGATTGGGGGCGCTCATTAATACGAAGCGTTTATTGGATCATTTACGATAAACAAATAACATCATTGTGGCATTACATTGAATTATATCATTTCAAAGAACTTTCATTTTATCATCGTGAAAACATTTTATTTTTTACAAGTCGAATTAAATATATGAATACGTGTATAGGTGGCGAAGCAAAAGCACCTATACACCGTCACAGAAAACTACTATTTCCTAAATCTAATTACGTAATGTGATGTCACAGTGCTGTTAGTTGAATAATGGACAAGGTTGAATTTCTCTAGAGAGAAATGGTTCCGTACGTCGTTTAAATGGTCTTTGCATTACACTCAGAAAACTATATGGAAACTTCGGTTTCATAAGCACTTCAAGTGACGAGTGGTTACGTTAATTTTGTGGAGAATCGTGAAGGGGAGGTTACTGTAAATTATTGGAGTATCTAACAAAATATACCAATTCCCAGTGGGGGATCTAGGGTAAGTCAAAATAAATTACTGCGGCACATTTTGGAATGTATTTACATTTCTAAGTACCTTAGAGGCAAATCCATTGGTAAAATTATATTCTTTAGAAATTCAAAACCAGTAAGGGTTTTTCTGAAAATACTTTGAATTTAAAATTGAGCGGCCATAATTTATTAGAACGAGCGCTGGATCCACTACTGAAAACCCAGCATCTAGAGGCATTGGAAGATCAATATTTCATTTTTTTTTAACAATTGCAACTTCAGTGAAATAGTACCGTGTGTAAATAAAGTTATTATTGTTGTATTTTGACTAAACACTCCCTAACCTTCCCATCACCACCCACCCCACCCCACGCTATTTGATCAACACTGTGTATTATGATTTTCGTGGACGGCAATAAAAACATAAATAATAAATCGCATCTGTATTTTTTGTCCTAAACAGATGAGCTGTGGAAAAACTCTGAGGCTCGCCAAAATTTGAAGCCAGCAATTCAACTAGTTCCAATCTCTTCACGCACGGCCGAAAAAATTCACTTATGACACTAAAGCCTCCCACCCGTGGTGAGGGATATGCTTCTTGGTCAATACTGTAGAATAGTCTTTCTCAAACAAATTACGAAAAGTTAACGTAAGCGCAATATTTTCTCAAACAATGTGACCACTGACCCACTGACCCTTCTACATGACGTCATTTACCACATTACCAAGTCATAAATTATGGTAATTTATTAGAAAATTCCGTACATTCTGCATTTGCATGCCCTTCACACAAAGACAAAAGGCGCCATTGGCAATTTTAGCTCATATCGAGTTACCAACGATATAAGGAACTTGAAAACTGCTTCAAACCGTCTCTTCAACTGGGTTCCTTTTCGACGAGTTAAAACGCAGCGGTTAGTAGAAAGTTTTGTTCTAACTGATGTGCGACTGTAAATCCATTTTTTTTGATGTCGTAATATAGTAGTTATCCATTGTTGGGTCGTTGTTTTGTTAGTGTTTTCCTAAACAATTGTTGCTGTTGAACTGCATGGCAAGTGTACGCTTTTTCACGGCTAACCACGACTCGTATAACAAAAAATGCTACGCGTACGTTTGAAGAAGGCGTTATGTTTGGCATCGACCGGCTTTTCAAGCGAGTCAGCGTTATGTATTGTGCTATCGATTTCATGTTCATTGTGCGACTTTGTTTGAGCTTTGCTTTCATAACATCCACTTAAATGTTGTGTAAAAGCCAAAATATGTTTAAACGTAAAGACATGTCACCTCCTTTTTGTATAGTAACGAAAATTACATGAATTAAAGTCTGTCATGAAAGACAATTGACCATTATTTTTCGTTCAATTACTATTTGCTCCATTTTCCCTTTGATACTTCATCCCGGATTTTACGTAATGATTAATGCTAAGATGTGATTGTGTCAAATGCTTTGACCTTCCATAAAGCTTTGTGATTTTAGTGAGAATTTGGCGGTACCACATTGTACGTTCATTGCTTTCTTCGTTCGAAGTTCCGAAGGAAGCTTTTGGAATTTTCTTTAAACGTGCATGCCAAATTTCGATATGGATTTTTTTTCTCGTTTGAATGACTCATATGCTCTTTGAACTGCGAGAATACCGCTGTGGATTTTGTGGCATATGTTCTTGAAAATCTTTTGGAGATGTAATTCAATGATAATACGTGGGCTTTTAATTATTTATTTGTTTCGCGTGTTAAGTTTTGAAAACAAAATTCCAGTTGCACAATACTATAAATAACCGAACAATATTAATGCGACATAATTGACATAATTCGGCATCGGATTGTGACAGAATTCGACGGATTATTTTTTACTTGACCATCACAAAATTGGCAAAATTACATCATAATAAACATTGACCATCACAAACTCAGCTTGTAAGCCTGTTGCGAGCACAATAACTGAATGAAAGCTGTCTTTTTCTAGGTATGGCTTGGTCTAACATGTTTGGTGTACTATTATTTGCATCGTTTTTTGCTGGTATGTAATTTGTTCTCCAGATTTCTTGTAAAGGAATGTGAGAAAGTTGAGTTGTGGGAATGCCTAAAGCGGCAAAATAATTCACATTGATTTGCATGTTTATAAGTGCAGTAAATTTGAATATTCAAGTAATGTCATGGTGATATTAATGACAAATTTTGGAAATTCAGGTTTTGTACATAGTTGGAAGCGACTGTTTCATAGCTAGCCATACTCTTTCTGCTGCATTCTTCTACGTATAAGGGTTGTAAATTTTGGTTTGCAGTAAAAATGCCTAGAACTATTTGATTGGAATACATTGAATTTTCTTGAGATAAATAATTTATTATTTATGCATTTTGGGTAGCAATGTTAAAATTTACCAGCCCGTCCCAAGTTGAACAACTCCTGGTTTCTTTGCCCCTTTTGAAACTGCAAAATAACAATGGCCATTGGCGGACTTAATGTAGACAGCTTTTGAAGTAGAGCAAGAAATTAAACTAGTTCTTTTCTAGAATGTCTTGAGCGAGTTAAAGTAAGGTCTGTGTTTCACTATAGAAATATAATGTGTTTACTGTGCAAACAAGCAATAGAGAGGACCTTTGAACTTGGCATTACCCTGCTATGCACCCAAGCTCTCTCAAAGGTCTCCCCAGTTCGCATATGGGCTGATGTGATGTCAGCTATTGACCAATCAGTGCATGCCTGGTATTGTCATTTTGTAATTATGTCGAGTAATTTGAAGCTGTTTGCAATTTTTTCATAAATTTTGCCTACTATTATTCTCTGTGAAAAAGAAACTATTGAAGTCAGACAAAACTATCATTGCTTTAAATATTGTTTGTGTTCACTTAACTAAACTTCAAAATGTATTACTATTTTATATTATTTTATACTTCGGAAGGCAAAAGTTTTACTTTGATGTGGCACATTTTTTATCATACTGAAAAAGATGTCTCTCAATTCAAAAGCTATCCCCTTCCCATCTTTCAAGCTCATATTTCTTTTGTATGGGTCAATCCAATATTAGAGAAAGGTTTCCCCCACATACTCCACATGCTTTTGAGCTGTTTCGTAAATTATAATGCTTTATTCAAAGTCCATTCACTTTGTAGTTTAATTCACAAATATCAAAATCAAAAAGCCATTACGAAATGACTTTTTGAATGTCAGAAAAGCTATCTTGCTTGCTGGCAGCAATTGGCTGTAGTGGCCTAGCCAACCCACAACAGTAGGTTATGCAATATAAGTCTCGTAGCCTTATTATTCCTTTCCTCTGTTTGAAATTTACTGTTAGTGCAGCGAGCAAACCCAGAATTTACATAGCAGGACCAATTTCGCAGTGCATGATGATGAAGGGAACATTTTTGGTTTGCATGTCCAGTGTGATCTTATATGCAAACACATTAGATCGGATGTGCTCAAAAACTCCCCCCTGTTCTTGATTTTTCAACCATCTAAAGCAGGTGGGAGAGTCCAAGCTCATCAGACCAAATCTTGTAAAAAATTGCATGTTCAATACACGTCCATTTATTTCTTCATTTAAATCTAATGAAGCTTTGATTTTTATGCGTACTTTTACATTGGAAGAAATCTTGAAACTGTAACTTTGTGTGTATTGATGTTGTTTTTGTTTTATTCAGGTGTACTGTCTCTGAATTGCTCATGTGCACACGATTTTTTATGTTTCAATAAACCTATAACAGAGTGTGCTGGGAGAAGAATTTGCTTTGCTGCGGAAGTTAGGACAAGTAATGGTTCAATATTAGTCAAGAAAGGTATGAAATATTTCATTGTACAACAAAACTTAGCAGATGAAATGTTCAAGCTGGGATTTTTCTCACACAACTATTTTCCCAATGAAAATAAGGTACCCACCGAGCTGACCTAAAGGTGCATGCATGCCATTCTCGGATTTTTCTTTAGTTTCCTTTTTTCTGTCATTTTTTGATTATTTCATGCATGCTGTTTTATTGTTATCTTCAGGCTCCTGCTGGCCTTTCGCTTGTTATTGATTCAATGTGGGGCTATTATGAGTACATACAATGCCAAAACGTCTGGGGGGGGGTATGGGGGTGATACACCCCTCCCTGCCCCAATCTTTCATCTAGTTGGGCAAGTTACAGGAAGTTATTGGGCAAATTTTTGAAAATGAGATAAAAATACAATCTGATGCTCTGCATGACTTAAACAATTAAGTCAATATTATGAAGATGAAATGTTGTTCCATAATTTTAAAAAGTTCATGGGGGGTAGGATTTAGTACTCATACACATCAAATCTGTTTGCAATTATTAAAAATTTTGTGATATTTGGCAATTGCATGAAGTGCGTTAACATGATATGTGGAAACTCCGTGTAATTTTACTACGGGAAGCAGTTGTTTTGAACTAGTGAAACGAATTTGATGAACGTTTAAAGTGCGCCTTCCGGCAAAAATTTTTAACAGCGATAATAAATTTAGGTTTAACAATGTAAGATCGTTCCATTTTTATTGCTATTTAAAGTTAGCAAAAATACTCCTCTTAATGGACCTTTTCCGTCGTTCGAAAAGTCTGGAACGACTTACCTTTGTGACGTCATGCAAGGGATTCCTCAATACAAGATACATATACCAACTACCTTGGATGACGTCAGAATTTGGCTAGACCCAGACTTCATGCCACGACGGACAAGGTCCATTGAAAGGCAACTTTAAACCTCCATCACAAGAAAATTTGACCAAATTGAAAACAATTTTCCATCCATACGTTAGATATTACACTAAGTTTTGATATCGCTAATAAAAGTTTTTGCCGATAAGCACACTTTAACTCCTACGTGCTCTTATATTTTGGCCTTAAAACCATGGCCCGTTGTTGCCCTCTTCTTTTTCGTGAGCGATAGTCAACGGCGTTTCTTATGCCACTAAACACACTGTTTCCTTGGGGGTACTGTAAAAAAGTTATAAGTATGTTACAAAGTATTCAGAAAGTATTTACTGCACTTAGTTAGTGACTAGTGAATAGAAACCAAAATGGTTTTACCAGATTTATCACAAGCTCATAATTTACACCCATCAGCTGTTTGTTATGGATTAAAGTAGACGAAGGTGAATGTGTTTTGTTTTTCGATCATTCTTTGTCTAAAGCAATAATTTTATTGGCAATGCTGAGCAACGTCAATCTATGTCGTGTAGAGAACGTCCCTTGTCTGATCTATGTCGTGTATAGCAAGGTCACGTGCTCGATCTATGCCTTGTATTGCAGGATCACGTGCTCGATCTATGTTGTGTACAGCATGGTCGCGTGCTCGATCAATTCCTTGTATAGTATGATCACGTGCTCGATCTATATTGTGTACAGCAAGGTCGCATGCTCGATCTATGCTGTGTATAGCAAGATCACGTGCTCCGATCTATGTCGTGTTTAGTTTAGTTTGGTCAACCCCATTGTTCGACTTTGAAATTGTGTGATCGTGAACTCCCTACTGCTAGAGTGTTTTTTAAGAAATTCAAAGGTGTGCCGTCCATTTTATTGAAAGTGTAATAATATTCTATTCAGGATGCCAGTCTCCTGGTCTTTGTAACCGATTTGAGCATTGTAAAACTTCACCCGGCGAGACGTGCCTTAAGTATGGATGTTGTTCTACCGACTTATGCAAAGTTAACTACACTCTCTTTCCGGCAAAGTCTTCGTCCCCAAGCCCCAGCCTCAATCCTACGCCCTCAGTTGCAAAACCGACGATGATGCCAGCATCCACTTCCGCCTTCGAGCACTCGTCGTCACAAGTTCTCTCTGTTACTGAACCTCTTATGGCGGTGACAACTTCCTTTGCATTCTCGACGACAGGCTTACTTCGAACGGAATTGATGTCAAGTAAGCCAATGACGAAGAGAAATTTTTCGAAAACTGATGAACCTGTGATGTCTACCTATGATGAAATGATGCCAACCGTCAAAATGTCTATGACGAAATTGCAGGAACCAATGGAATCATCCACCATGTCGATGCAACCAAAGGAACCAAGGGAATCATCCACCATGTCGATGCAAGCAAAGGAACCAATGGAATCATCCACCATGTCGATGCAAGCGAAGGAACCTATGAAATCGTCAACCATGTCGACGCAAGCGCTGGAGCCAATGAAATCATCCACCATGTCGTCGCATGCGCAGAAGGCAACCAAATCAGCTGCCATGACGCAATTGAAGGAACAAATGGCATCTCCTTCAACTGAGATGAACTCATCTTCGAAAATTGAAACCTCTTCCATTTCTTCAGAATCTATGCGTAGCACTGGTGTTGTCGTTTTGTTAACAGCAGGCCCCACCGAAGACCTACGTCCGCCGTGCAAAGATTCTTCCGTGAGCATGCGCAGTCTGAATATACTCGTTCTCATTGCAATTTTTTGTTGTTGTATGTATTAAAAGCGCGTGTCTTTGTTTCTTCTCATAATTTTGTTGAAAAGACACGGTTATCGCTTGTGAATTTTTTGTTGAAAGAAAGCTTGTATTTAGTAATAGGGATATATGAGATGTATGAGATGTAGCGATTCACTTTGAGATATTCATCTGTCAGTATTTATAGCACAATAGTATTTTTATTGATGAATATGGTGTAACTAATGCGTAAGGTGTTGACGTTAAATGTTTTGTTCGACTGGTTTTTTAGGTGACTCTATTTATATGTGAGTAACACAATAAAGCACTTAACTTCTCAGTGATGTCGTCATTGTCGGTTGACATTGCGTCATACAACTTTGACGTCACATTGCTTCTTACAACTTTTGACGTCACATTGCTTCATACAACTTCTGACGTCACATTGCTTCATACAACTTCTGACGTCACATTGCTTCATACAACTTCTGACGTCACATTGCTTCATACAACGTCTGACGTCACATTGCTTCATACAATTGCTTCATATAATGAAAACATAAGTTGCATAGCAAAATATTGGTTATATATGCCTTTAAAAAATGAGAAATCTTTACAAAGACAATTTTGACTTCCTGAGCATTTTCACGAGTGAGTTATGGTCGATTTCCTTGTTCACATTATCTTTCAACTTTCAGCTCATTCGCATTCATTGATTCTTCATATTTTTTTTGCTTTCGAGCATTTTACGTAAACGATCGAATTAAGATCGTTTTTGAATTTTTTCTTCCCGGAAATCGCCCCTTTTTCAGTGCAAATTCATGCCAAAATCAATTGAAAAAAGCTCCCATTACTACCTCGTGACAAGATTTCAGATTAGAATATATTTCGATTCTTTTTTGTAAAGGACACATATTTTAGTTAACAAGGACACATGTCCGATTCACGAGGACACAAGGTGTGTAATAACACTCATTTTAATGCTTGCAGAGTTCACATCTTATAGAAACTCGGCGAAGGACTGGAAAAACTCTGCCTTCGGCAATAATACTAAACGCATTTTTGAGCCCATTCCACGACTCGCTATTATAATCTTACCATAATAGCGAGAGCCGGCTCTATCACAAACTCTTGCTTTGGGGCGCTCATTAATACGAAGCGTTTATTGGATCATTTACGATAAACAAATAACATCATTGTGGCATTACATTGAATTATATCATTTCAAAGAACTTTCATTTTATCATCGTGAAAACATTTTATTTTTTACAAGTCGAATTAAATATATGAATACGTGTATAGGTGGCAAAGCAAAAGCACCTATACACCGTCACAGAAAACTACCATTTCCTAAATCTAATTACGTAATGTGATGTCACAGTGCTGTTAGTTGAATAATGGACAAGATTGAATTTCTCTAGAGAGAAATGGTTCCGTACGTCGTTTAAATGGTCTTTGCATTACCCTAAGAAAACTATATGGAAACTTCGGTTTCATAAGCACTTCAAGTGACGAGTGGTTACGTTAATTTTGTAGAGAATCGTTAAGGCGAGGTTACTGTAAATTATTGGAGTGTCTAACAAAATATACCAACTCCCAGTGGGGGATCTAGGGTAAGTCAAAATAAATTACTGCGGCACATTTTGGCATGTATTTACATTTCTAAGTACCTTAGAGGCAAATCCATTGGTAAAATTATATTCTTTAGAAATTCAAAACCAGTAAGGGTTTTTCTGAAAATACTTTGAATTTAATATTGAGCGGCCATAATTTATTTTGACGAACGCTGGATCCGCTTAAGCAAACCCCAGTATCTACCCCGCCACCACCCCACCTCCCTTGCCAGCTATGATATGTACCAGGTGTCTTGGATTAATTGTATATAAAATAAAGGACGTGCTTGAGAAATTGACTCGACCCACAGTCGCAGTATAATGAATATACAGTAGAGCCACTCCAATTTTTCGTACCATGCATATCTTATTACTAGTGTGATCACCATAGTGGCAGCCTGTCAATTGCTTTTTTTGACCAATTGGAATGATGAAATGGCTGACGGCAGTCAGTAATCTAATTAAATATAGAGCAGCCAGTTGCACAGCAAAGTGGACCTACTGTATATTCCCCATACTGTGCCACAGCCATGTTTCACGTGTTAGAAGTGTGCTCGTTCTTGATCATCATCAGCACTTTACGTCTTTTAAACCTTTCCACCACCCGTTGTATCTTCGTCACACCCTTGCTTACGCCGAGTCCTACCAAACTGCCAACGAACCCACCGATGGCCGCGCCCACTACGGGCACTGGCACTACTATTTGGCCAACGATAGTGCCGGTTGTGCCGGCGACAAACTGACATCCGGTTTGGAATATCCGGTCACGTACTTCACGTTTGTATTGTCTCACGGTGATTTTCCCGCGGTCTTTGCGTACTTTAGCACGTGCCAACATGCTGGCCGTCACGGCGATGTCAACAAATACCGCTAACACGACGCCTGCGGCCGCGTGACCAAGCGACGTAGCCGTAGTCTCGATGCCAATTGTTGCTGTATTCTCGGCAGCAGTCCCCGTCACAACTTGCATTGCTTCCATTACATTCTCTCGGGTTCTTTTGCTATGTTTACGTAATGTAACTTGAGAAAGACGGTCGTACTGTACGATCAGTTCCTCCATCATTGCAAATCTTTCGAACATCCGAAAAGGCAGTAGCATGAACTGCGAGATCACCCAGTGGCCTAATGCCTTCGTGAAAAGCTCGTTTTCAGCTCGTGAAACAACGGGATTTGGAAAGTTCGCAATTGCCAGCAAAATTGCGGCGACAATCAAATTCTGTCGCACTTTGGTTCTGTGCTTCGTTTTCGAAAGCAACCCGGTGCTTGGTTCTTGGTCATGTTTCGCGTCTTTCTTAACATGGTCAAAGTTTGTTTTATCTGTTCTTAACGACAGTGCAAGCGTCATACTGAAGTCTTTATTTCTCGCTTCATCGACTCCATCCCTCCTCCAGTCTGCTTCCACTCCGGACTTCATGTCGATAACACAGCTCGTATTGAATTCTGATCCGGTTTTCGTGCTCACATCATCAAACGACCGCATTCCTCCAAGATGTTGGTCAGTATCGGTCGATAAATCTGCACACATTCCAGATGTCGTAGTGAGGTCATCGTTTACGAAATTACTCTCCCTACATAGTTCATCCTTTGAGTGGATGTGCACTTCAGTTCGCCCATGGTCTTCCTTTGGATTTTTACATATATCGTTTAGCATGCCTATTGCACGTACATCCTTCAAACTGGCACGTGTGAATATATTTTTTTCACTCATTGTTCTCCATTCACCCTTTGTAATGCTTTCAAATGGAATCGTTGAACATGCATTCCGAGTCACAATCACTCCGGTTATTTCACGTCGGTCATCGCTTCCACGACCTCGCTCCGAATTCGTTATTGGAAGACAGTTCTCCGCTTCCCAAACGGCAACGAAAATGTCCAAATCCGTGTAAATTACATCCAGTAACGTCTTCTCGACCGGTGTGAGTATCAAAACAAAACGATCGTAAAAGAAAAGTTGGAATTTAGTTTTCATCCGGCGAAAAGAGTGTGAATTGATGAAGTCGTCGAGTTTCCAAAAATCAATGTCCTCATTATGGCTTATGACTTTCATGCCGGCGCTTTTGACTCCGGTTGTCATGGCTCTAGGCAATTAGCTTATGTTGTTGGCAGATGTCTGTGTCGGCCGTCTGCCAGCTCTCATTTCGACTATTTAGACTATCGTGCATGAGCATAAATGGCCACTTTATTGGCCTTATCAACGAAAGACTGATTTCTAAGGAATCCTTTCTTTTATATTGTTTTTCTCCCTTAAATAATCGATGATGCAACGTATATTTTATTTATGCCTGCGAGCTCGGTCCTTTGAAATATTTATGCTTTTCATCGTCGTAAGTTCTCATTGTAAAATCCCATTTTGAATGAATAATTGACAAATGTCCAACGCATGTTTTCATCGTTCGATTGCATAAACTTTTCTTTGTGTTTCGAAACCTTTGTATCAATAACACCATTTTTCATCTTCAAGACTCCATTGAAGAGAAAGTTGAAATTTTGCAAGTCTGAAACTGTGTTTATCTGTACATTTACCTAAATCGTATCGCGTGGGATGCGTCAAATTTTATTATTATTTTTTTCTCCATCTCTAGTTTTTCCCACCGATTTTTTCCGATGTTTGAAAATACTGACCTGTCGTTATACTTGATTGTTTTCTCTCGTTCAAGTACACTCGAGAGATGCGACCTATTTATTCTACGAAGTTTAACTTTACAGATATTTTTGGTAAAACTCTCTTCATTCCAAAATGTTATAACTACACTGATTGCGAACGGGTTTGTGTTAGAGGGCAAGTCACCCCTCCCCCCGCCCCTCTCCCATTGTTAAAATTCCATATCAGGACAATTCTTCGAGACTACATGTAAATTTTCGTCTAGTCTAAATTCTCTCGTGACAAATTTTACAAAATGTTTCATGGAGAATAGGCTATGGATTTTTAGTGTCTAATGTATCGTTTTAGTAAAGATATTGAAATCGAAGTCGCATTCTGGTCTATATATTCGGCAAATCTTTTATAGGTTTTACTTCAATATTCTTGCCCTGCTGGAGGTAAATATCCTACAGGCGCCATTTGTTAAAATTCTACCAAAATAACGTCAGTTTGCAATATACATTTAGTCAATAATTCAAGACATCAAGCACGCATGGGGCTACATCGCAGCGCCTTGTCTCAACTTGCAATCTCTTAAAAAGTCCAGAAACGTCGTAGTGGTTTGCAGCCATCAGGCGTGACTGTGATCTTTTTGCCAGCAAAACTTTGAATGCCGCAAATGTCAAAAGACGATGAATACATTTGAGCATGTGCGGTGGAGTAAACTTAATTCGGAATTTCATGCAACAGCGAAAGATTATGTCAACCTATCAAGGCATGATTACCATCGTTTTGTTGCCGAAGAATAAAGTTGAGTTTGATTTTGTTTCGACTTTGTGGTCATGTTCTCGTGTCTAATTATGTTTGACCTTCGTCATCTTGCATTCGCTTCCATCACATGCAGAGTTTTGACCACATCTCCCGCGAACATGCCCTCCGAAAAAGATTATGGTTTGCCGTTTCGTTTGCGATTTATGATACTGAATAAAAGATGCGTGAAATCATTATTCGCCGTGGCACTGTCTGTTTTGCGTGTATACTTGTTATTATTCATAAGTAAATGCAAAAGCAAGCTTCCAGTTACGGTTATCAAGTTTCAAGCTTTTTTTTTCGGTGTGGCGCTTTCCTAGAGATCTAGGAGAAAGACAGAGTTACTCAAACTTTCAAATTTGAAGACTCTAACTCTTCCAACAATTACCATCGAGAGCAAATGGTTGAACCAACCACAATCCTGCTGACATGATGCGTACAGCGTATTATATGGTGCCGCAATTTACGGTAGGCATTGCCAATTAAAGTGTACTTCTCAATGAAGAAACGTTTTTGTGATTGATGTTCATCAGATTTCTAATATATATATTATCCCACTCGCTAGAAACATCCTTACTATAACTACTATCTTTACATCCACATATACTAATTTGCAAATTGCCCTAAATCACAATGGTTTGACGAGAAGGAATCTCAGTTTTTCTGTTATGTTTTCCATTCCAATTGCCAAAAATAAACACCCAATCACCACAAGCATTTACTAAGTATTATAAATTCAATTCAATACATCATTATTTGACATTGAAATTAAAAGCTCCAGAGGACTGAGGACAATGTTCCTTAAAGTTTTTAACATGAAATGACAAAACGCACACCATTCTACGTATGGTAATTAGAAAGAATACCAGTGAAAGACGAGCATGGCAAATGAAAACGAAGGCAAGAAATAGCGAGAGCGTGCCTTTTTATTCTTTTTCAAGTTTCAAACTCTATGAAATCAACATTTGTGAAGTTCGCTGAATCGCTTGCAAAGTTTTCTCCACATTTTTTTTGTGCTAAGTCAGGTATTTATCTTTTCAATAGGAGCATTTTTATAAGAGAGAGCGCTAACTTGGGGTGGGTGGGTAAATATTTATGTGTTTAACTTTTCCCGTCTGATTCTTTTGAATGCGATTGTATAATTTAAAGTGCAGCTAATCGTGCATGCAGACTTTAGGCAAAACTATTATTCATTTCTTCAGAAAATTCATTCGGAACTATTGTTTTTCCATGCAGTAAATGATCACAAAAATACTTTCATTGTTGGTGATTAGCAATGGTTAGCTTTGCTACTGAAAATATAAACAGTTTCCTGGACGCAGGCTCTTATTTTTGCTGTGATGGCAGTTTTAAGTTCTTCAAAAATAAGAGCCATCCCGAAAGAGGAGTGTATAAAAGTGATTCAAAACTTTGCCAGACGAGTACAGGTTTGCTTGCAACGAAACGGTGGACATTTGGAACGCATCTTGGGAAAGCCATAAATTGACTAAAAATTGACAGAAATAGCCGAAACTCTTGTGAATAGTCTTCCATAAACTGAATGATGTGTGGTTGTAATTTGAAATAAATAGCTTTTTAATTAAAGCCATAATTGAAATTTTCATGGGTACGAATCTTTTTGGGTCACCCTGTATTTGTGAGAGGTTATAGTATTAATGAGAAACTACGTGGAAGGAAGAAATCTAGTCAAGTTTGGTAGCGATTCTAAACAAAAATTTTACGCTAAATTATTGAAAGTTCTCCATGTCAAGTTTAAAGGATGTCGATTAGCAATTTACACCACCAAGTGTAAGCACTTTTATCAAGTCGTGTGCCAGCGGAAAGCAACAGACCAAATGATATATTTTATATAGAAAGCCTTGTTCGTCCTTGGTTCGTCACTGTGTCGTCGTCCCAGTTCGGGTTGTAGATTGAGGATCAAGTGCAAGGTTGAGGTTAGGAGGGGATGTGAAAGGGCGTTCAGTTTGCCCTCTGTTTCCTGACTATTAAAAAATGTAAGAAAAGACTTCCCGAGGGAAGTCATCGAAAAATTTAATCAAAAGACTTATTTTTTTAGGGCATAATTTTTGCAACAGATCCCATTTTCTTTTTTTTGTGTGGGATTTTTTTCTGAAAATATACTAAGTTTCGCATTCCATTGTAGAAAAATCAAGAATAGAAATGCCTTTTGTACACCTTGTGTACACTATTTTCTGCCCTTGATATGTTCTTGACATTCACGGTACTCGTTCACTGCAAGTCTTATGCTCAACACACCAAGCCCAACAACAACGGACTGACCCTCGAAGGTTTCGAACCCCACATCCCAACCTGAGAAGCCTCACTCTACACACTCGACCAGTGAGTGCTTTCAAAACAGATGGAAAATTTAATGTACTTATGATATTGTGTTTAAAGTAATGATAAAAAAAAGAAAATCAAGGAAATGGACAAAACATCAGTGGAATCAACTTTTAAACCATTGACATCTTCACCACAACAAATCAATGTTCTGTCAGAAATAATCATTTAGAGTCAGACTGATCACACAACAAAAAATATGATACACCAATATGGTTCGCGCAGCATATTTCAATACGGTATTAGTACTATGATTTCTTTCAGCAACTGGTATCAATAGTTATTCAAAAAATGATTTTCCTGAATTGCTCTTGTGCATATTGTGTTGCCGTCAGTCTTCAGACAATGTTGAATGTATATGGTGTTGGTTAAGACACGTTATAGTTGAAAGGATTGAGAAGCGAGGTGAATGAAATGAGCATCTTCACATTGTTGTCATTTATTTCATCGGTTGCCTCACCGATGAGCGTTTCGTCATTACATATGTAAAAGGTATTAGCGTCTTTGTCGTTCTGGTATTCGGCTATGTTGTCTGGAAATGCACAGCGAATCATATCAAACTGAAACTTTAGAAATGATCGAGTATATATGACTACGCTTCTTCCTTTTCCACAGCAAATTTCGCAGTAGCCTTTATCTTCCCTCCTCGCTAATCAAATGTTATTGTTATTCATATCAACATTCATCCTTCCATGTTGTCAAGATAATACTAACAAATAAGCTGTTACAAGAAGCCACTGTGTATGGCGTTCCAATATCTGGTCTGTTGCGTTTTCCTGCTACTTGCTGCAGTAGTTTTATATGAAAAACATAAGCTTACAATGGTGGAACACTTTCAAATGCTCAAATATGGAAATGTTGCGGTACATTTATTGACAAAAATTTCTTTATGATTGACGTCGTTGAATGAAACTTTGCATTGTGAACATCCAATGGTAACGTTCAGTTTTCGTTAAAAGTCGCTTCCAATAAACTTTAGTCGATTCTTCCCCTCTGCGTGATCTTCTACTTCCTCCCAACTTTATCGATCAACTAATCGCCATCCTCAAGTTACGCGAAAATCATTCGATCTCTCACCATATAACCATTGTTCATTAACATTTTTGCCCTGTTCACTCGAGAAAATAAACATGAACGCAAAGACTTTTGTCGATTTTCCTCTAGAGATTTATAATAGACAAAGACATCGGAATCTTTGTTCAACTTATCTTTTCAATTTCATTTTGTCTCGCTTTAAGGCTGATTTCCATTCAGTGCAAATTGAGATCACTTTCTTTTGAATTGTAAGCTCTCGACCACAACAGTTTCACACTGCCGCATACAATTCAAATGAAAAGTGATCGCAAAAAGTCGATCGCACGACAATTTGCGTTAATGGAAATCAGCCTTTACGCTTATGTCGAGTTGCCGTGATTGTGCTGCGTTCACATTGGTGTTCCAAAATGATGCACCAAACAAAAGAACTTCGTTAAAATTCTTTTCAAAAGGCACACCAACATGGCGGCCATGACGTTGGTGCAATACAGCGTGAATGTTTTGATTCTAGAAGTTATGAAAAATTCCCGAGTAAAAGAAAATAGTTGTGCTTTTAACAAAGATATTTAATAATACACGTGTAGCTGACAATATTTTATGCACTCATGGGCATAGCATGATATAACATTGAAATTATAACACGTCGTCCTCTGAATCTTCTTTTTTGTTACACCCTGTAAAATCACAGTTTATGGAAAGTAGGTCCACTTCTTGAGCAACTGGCTGCTGCATATTTAAATAGATTATATTTGCTGCCATTAGCTATTTCATCTTTCCTGTTGCATGGTCAAAAAAGTAATTGACTGTTCTGTCTGCCACTATGGTAATCACATGCATAATAAGATATGCTTTGCACGAAAAACTTCAATGGAGTGGCTCTACGGTATGTTTACCATACTGTCGTATAACTTACACACAAATGATATTATGATACACAATGATTGATTTTCATGGTAGCAGAGAAACAATCGAATGGCATGGCTATGAAGATAATATGCGCAAAATATGGTTGTATTTTTACGAATGTACAGTGCACCTATTGAAAAGCTATAAACATCTGGTTTTACACAAAAACAATGGATGCATGAAGCAACCCACTATCACCATGTGATTCTTAGTGACATTGAGACGTCAAATGAATTGCATGGATCAATTTCAACTAGAGAAAGCAATTTGAACGAACTTAGAAATGTTAGTTTTTAGAGTTTTATACATTGTTCTAACTGGGATACATGGTTACTTGCTTGGAACTTTTTTTGACAATTGGAATGGCAAACGAAAAAAAAGCAAAAATTATATTTTTTTACGTTGAGCCACGGTTAGGGACGACTGACAGAACGTTTCTGCCTGCGAACTTCTAAAAGAAGCCTCACTTCCACGAACATTATTGTTTCGTATTGTCGCATGATTATTACTTTTGTGGCGAGTACCTTGATTTCTATTCCAGAGCAAAAAATCATTTCAAGCGGTTTACGCTTTGCAATATCTTTATACTATAGGATACAGTAGAAAATAGTATAATGTAGTGCAATTTAATACAATAAAGCTGCACAATGAATTAAAATTAAGTACAATGCGGTGCGATATAGTATGACGACATATTCTACAGAAGAATTATGCTGTATATTTAAAAAGTTCGTGGTAGTACAATAAAATACTTTGCAACTTTCGAGCGAAGGTATTTTATGGAGATTGAGAGACATCGTGGGATCTTTTGTAAAGTTTGTCCCCTTAAATCGTGTGAAAATACCTCGTCTCCCTTGATTTCAATTCATTGCAGCTTCGTATATCCAGATATATATATATGTGTCTTCGTTTTTTTTTATTTCAGTTCAAATTCTTCTTCATTGGACTCCCTCATGCATCTTAGCTTCATTGACGTTTTCAGTGATAAGCGGAAGCTCCACCAATCTGACCACTGTCCTTCAATTTCCATAAGCAAACGGCAAAGAGCATCACAATAAGTTGTAGAAGCTCGCACACGGTGATCGCAGATATCCCTATCCATAACCCCAGTTGTCCACCAATGTCCGCCAACAAGTTCACAGTCTAGAAAAGAAATTATGTTACATCTCAACACATGTCAATGTGTTCTTTCCCTGTTGGGAAATATGTTTTAGAATTTGTAAATTTTACGTGATTCAGCTTTTAGCTAGCAGGTAAAATTCTTTAACGAACTATAAACTGTACAAATTATATAAATTATATCAATTATATTAGCTATATAAACTACACAAACTTTACAAACTATATAAACTTTATTAAATATAAACTATAAACTATAAAAAATATATAAACTGTATAAACTATATTAACTATATTAACTATATAAACTATAAACAGTATAAACATAATTAATGAACTATAAACAATAAACATTTGAACAAGCGAAATTAACGAATTATGTAAAGATGAATTCCACAAGATGAATATCCCTTCAGGTCGATGCTCTAAACGGATGCAAACAGGGAAAATTATATTTACAATATAACTTGGTTGATTTTAACGATTTACCTCTGTCTTCAAAATTGGCAATTGCACTATACAGCCAGGGCTGCAAAAGACTGATAATTGAGGGGCTCGTATTTTCAAATATATATATATTTTATAATCCTTGATCAAAATTTATTCCAATAGAAACTAATGCAGTAGAACATATGTATACAAATATCAACCCTCCCTCCCCCCGCCCCCACACACACAAACTTCCGCAGTAAAGGCACTAGTTAAATTGCTCAATTTCAAACTTTCTTTACATTTTCCAAAATTCTTTACGTTTTTATAAATGTATGATCCATGTTTTTGGTCATGGGGAAAATAACTTTATACGCTGAAACACTTTAGTTCTCGTTTAAAAGTTAAAGTCACTGATTTTCAAATATATTACGCGACTGACATCATGCCAACTTACCCCATATGAAAAGGATTCTTCGATTTTTTCATGGTTCAGCTCGCTATAGAAGACGTTCAACCGTAGGAGATTTTCGCTTAAGAAAGATGAAACATTCGTTAAAGTATGAAAATTTGGATTGAAAACACAATCACAAGTATAGAATTCAATCCACCTATCCCCGTCCTCTAGTCCCTGTTCTTTTAAATATTTCTAAAAGCGAAGAAAATAATTCATATTGTTCATCTGCTCTCCACTAAAAAGTCATTTAAAGCAAATACGGGTATAAAACGCACTCCTTGCGTGTATAGCAAAATGTGATTAGAATCCTTCACCTTATAGGCTTTCGAAGGCCATGTTGACGAGCTGATCGTCTTCTGAATCACTTCCTCTCTTAAAAAAAAAAGACAGACGCCAGATGTGCAAATTGTCACTCGAGGTTGTTGAAGATGTTGGTGCGAGCAATTTCAGCTTAAAAGAACGCTCACAAGTAGGACGATGGTATAAAAACTGGGAATTGCAGAAGATTGATAGTTTGAAGGAGGCTCGTATTCATAAATTCGTATCGATATTAATGGAAACTAATGCAGTAGGGCATGGATAAATGATTACTACTTCCCCTCCTCAATTATCGATCTGCCGCCTTCCTGAAACTAGAACTGGCCTTTTTTGAAATAGCTTGTAATGAGAACAAGACTGAGAATAAGAACTGTAATATTTTTTTCGAGTTGAAACGTGTAAAAGATAATTCTGCTGCTCTATTCACGAAATAGGCTCTTGCACCTTCGTAATTATACTCACTCGCAGGGCTGACGACAGCTTTGTATACAGGGTAATTTGTCTTTATTGAATAAATTCTTCACCTTGCGAAGACATAAATCTGCGCAAAAAAACACATTTGCATTAGATCCATGGATTGGTTCGTTCGCCAAGTTTTTAAACTTGCTCAAAGTAGTGGCAGAAGCCGTTTGCAAATTTTCTCACGTTATGTATAGTACTGAAGACATTAACATTGTTCATTTTTTAAAATCTATCGCTTTTACAGCGTGAACGCCGAAATATTTGCGCAGATCGAGTTACAAACGAACTGCTCATGCCTGCCGCTTGATTTAAGCCAATCAAGAAGTACCTAGAAAATGCTTTCAAAGTTCACCTAATTCAAAGCTCGTGAGTTGAGATGAAAAATTAAACAAACTTGTCGAAGGAGATTTCAACAAACTCCGGAACAGAACAACGTACTTGTTGCAGTATTAAAGAGATCACAAGGGTCAGTTGAGGGATATGATGCCTCACTACACTTGCAGCGTATCCGTTGACTCAAAGCAAGACACGATTGAAGGCAAGCCTAGGTAAAAATTCGTGAATAATTAAGGTGAGGTTGAAGAACTGACCTAGTTCTTTACTAAGGGACAAAACATGGCAGCAGTTGAGGCCCGTTACTAAGGGGTGCCCCTGGTTGCATCTGCACCCTCCCCTCCCCCATAAATATTTACGAGGTGTTTAGAAAATTCAACAGAAAAAAGTAATAAACAATAATTGAAATAATCTGGTTGAATTCAACCAAATAAAAACGATCCTTAAGACTTAGCCCGTCTGACCCCGCCGCAAAATATAGAAAACGATCCGACATTTCTGATGTAGAATTTTAATGTATGTAATGCATGATGATATACATTTTAACGTATGTGATGTATGATGATATACATTTTAATGTATGTGATGTATGATAATATATATTTTAATGTATGTAATGTATAATGATATACATTTTAATGTATGAAATGTATGATGATAAACATTTTAATGTATGTGATGTATGATGATATACATTTTAATGTATGTAATGTATGATGATATATATTTTAAAGTATGTCATGTATGATGATATTTTAATGTATATGATGTTTGTGGTGCACCAATTTTGATGTTTGATTTTCTCTACTTCTGATGAATGTGATTGATCCTAACTTCGTTGTGAGTAGGGTGTGATGTTTCTGTTTATCGATAATCTAAACTGTTCATTGGCTATCTGCGTTGAGAAAGTCGTGGTACTTTTGTTTGGATTATTTTAAACTTTCACACAACCTGTTGTGAGTATATCGTGATGTTTCTGAAACGTCGATAAATGTTGATCTTCGGTAGTTGATCGTGAGCCAGGCAACTTTTGTTGTTGAATCGATCCAATCTGGTAATCTTTGTCTGAAGAATATGACAATGAAACTGTTCAATAAAATAGCATGTGTCAATGTTGGTTGAGATGAATGAGCAAAATAGAATGAGGACACTATTTACACTATTTATAATATTAAGATAACGTGTGTCAGTGTAGATAGTAATGGATGAACAACAAAGCAAGGACAGTCTTTACAAAACCTAAAATATTAACTAAAATAACGTTTGTCAGTGTACATAGTGATGAATGAACAACAGAGAACAAGAACAGTCTTTACACTAACTAAAATATAAACTAAGATAACGTGTGTCAGTGTAGGTAGTGATGAATGAACAACAGAGAACAAGAACAGTCTTTATACTATCTAAAGTATAAACTAAGATAACGTGTGTCAGTGTAGGTAGTGATGAATGAACAACAGAGAACAAGAACAGTCTTTACACTATCTAACATATAAACTAAGATAACGTGTGTCAGTGTAGGTAGTGATGAATGAACAACAGAGAACAAGAACGGTCTTTACACTATCTAACATATAAACTAAAATAACGTGTGTCAGTGTAGGTAGTGATGAATAAATAACGGAGAAAAAAACAGTATTTTCTTTATCATAAACGTTAACACAAACAACATTTTACTTTCTTGATTCCCACTGAAGTCGACATGCCAGGGGATGCACTGAAACCCTCTGCATGAGGAAAATTCATCAATCCCTGACCATGTAATGAAACACGAACACCGGCCTCAACTGAGAACGGTCCAATGTACTGCTCTTGCTCCACATTCATTATGAGCACAAGTCCTAAATAGTCCATAACTAATCCTTAAAGTACACATGTTTTCCCAAACGAAATGTGCATGGCAGAGTTATTATATCTTCTGGCACGAGTTTTACCCATTTTCGTACCTTGAGATGGTCCTGGTTTAGTGGCCTTCAAGACTCGAACCCGATTACTGTCTTTATCAAAACCATTGTTGAACGTGTAGCAGTTACCGTATTTGTTATTCCAGCGGCGCGTCCAGAACTTGCTTAGATTTCTATGATAGCACATTGTAATGATCATTTTGTTGAGAGAACTCACCAGCTTATTAAACTTACTGTGAATTCAAAATGGTTGTTCACAAGGGTTGTGTGTGGTGAGAAAAGAGGGGTCATGATATCTCCAACGTAACTAGCCCTCAAGTTTCGTTCTTTTTATATGTAAATTTTAGGACATTATCATTCGTCACTTCTTTAAAAATCTAAATTGTTACTACAGGAATTGAACAAAAAAATTTACGTAGCAGGATTAAATTTGAGGGCTGGCTGCACCACTGAGAGGACTATAGAATAAATTTGAAAATCCACCTTTAAAATGTAAAATGTGACTCTTAATGAACAAGATGGCGAATGTTCAATGCTATGTCATTTTGAAGCCGTAAGTCGTATATTTTGTAAAACATAAACTTATTTTCCACTTACAAGTCGGCTGCCATTGGCTAGAATTCTTAACTACGAATAACAATGAAAATGTCGTATTTTAGTCACTATAGCAAAAAACGGGGAGATATGCGGGGAAATATTGTAGGATCATTTAACGACTCGAGTATTTTGATACCCTGATTTGCAATCCATGCCTTTCCAGCTGCAGTTAAGAATCATTGTGTTGAATTGATGGCCATGTTCATACAGATCTGTTTCGTCCATTTCACCAATCATTTGTTCGACTTCCGAGAAAAGTTTCATTTCCGCGTCAACAACATCTCCATCCGGGAACTCCTCTTTATCGTCTTCATCGTACGAATTCGATTCATAATCTTCGTTGCTCACTCGGTACATGTCGTATTCAGACGAGTCGTATTCAGATTTGCCATGTGAACTGATCTTGTTACTTGGACTATCTGTGGTCTGTGTTGCATCTCGACGACGTCGAGTGTTTTTTAAACCTGATAACGAAGGATAAGTGCTTACGTATTTACACAATGCAGTTTGGTATTTTCATCAGGATTGATCAGAAGTTTACAATAGTACTGAACAGACATAAAGGTAGACACAGAGGTAGACACAAAGGTAGACATAAAAGTAGACATAAAGATAGACACAAAGGTAGACATAAAAGTAGTAGACATAAAGATAGACATAAAGGTAGACACAAAGGTACACACGAAGGTAGACAGAAAGGGAAAAAAAAGTTCGAAACAGAGGGAGATACAAGTATAGACAAACAAGTAGAGACAAAGAACATTGAAAAGACGACTCTTCCGACTCTTATAAAGAGATAACTTTTTCAAATGACGACGTTTTAAATCCTTGAAACGACAAATTAACAATCGAAAAGGTAAGGTTAGTCAACCGTAAAATTGCCATTTCTAGATGATCTTAATTTTTGAAAAGATTTTGCCCCCCCCCCCGCAACCCACCAACAATAAAAAGGTTCCTACGTACCCCGGTGAAGGCAATTCATGTTCATCTCTCCAGTAATAGAGATGTCATCTACAAACCGTTATTATATGCCCAAGATTCATAATTTTTCTCAAGAAATTTCAGAACTTTTTGCGGCACGGCATCTTTGCGTATCATATTGAGGTTGCACACTGTAACGGCCGGGAATGCGAGACGCTAGAAGAGAAATCGTTTGCTCAATACAACTACCCCCTCCATTTGAAAACGATCGCCGAATTTGCAAGATATATTACAATGAATGTTTAATGAAATATATGGTAGCGTAGCAGGTCTTCAAATTTCGCCATGGTATTGAAAAAATCTCGTCATTCATATCCGTAGAAATCTTTTATTTTACATACCATGAACATCAAAGTATCTGCCTAGCATAAATAGGGGTAGCCACGCCGATTGGTGTGCATGAAGAAGGGGGTATTCATACATGCATGTTATAAACTCTAAAACACCATTGATTTCAAAGTTACGTCATAAGGCCAAACATCTACTCTACTCCCCACAATTGTCAAGTTGTTGTCGCCACTTGGATAATATAAGATTGATAAAAACACATGCAGAGAGGTAAATCATCGCCGCACTCGGGTTATGGGTGTATGAGACCTTAAGTGGTCGATTTTGCGGGATTTCGCAAGAGAAACGCTGTAGTTTTTTGTGTTTGAAATGATTGCACCTTCAGTAGAGCACTTTTACTGGTCCCATGGGGATCAACAATAGAATTGGGGGGAGGGAAGGGAGCCAGCCACGTTGGCGTTCGATTTGAAATAACTTAAAATACTATTGTTTCAATCCGTGCACCGATAAAGCGGTTATAAAGTCAAATTAAAATTTTCTTCACTGTATCAAACAGACTACCCACAAACCTTTTCGAAGCTAACAGAAACGGTTGTGGCAATTGGCTTGGACAGGTATTGCTGAAGTAGTCCCTTTGCCTGATATACAAACATGCCAAGTGCACCCATACACACTAACGACCAAAAGACCCTGGATAAAAGTGTTTTCGAATTCGCCAGTTGTCCGATGCCGTGCGCTGACGTGTCTCTCGTGAAGCTCAACACCAGTTTACGAAATGTATTGCCTTCCTTCTTGGCAGAAGATTGAACGCATTTCTTAGACGGCTGAAATGGCGATCTCGTTTTGCGAATTGTGGGCAACGAAAAATTTTCTCTGTCAATGGGTGTTCCAGGTAAAGACATTTCCCCTCCGTGTATGGGATATCTGCAAATGAAAAAAGCAGATGGCGTGAGTTAAACTTGGCCTAACATCGTGCAAGATTATCTTGGGTGCATATGTAATGAATACAATGATCACTTTTCGATTTGGATTTCCCACTTGGTTTTTCCATTAGATTTCAAATTTCACCCTTCGACTCTCGGACTTCACTCAATTACAGATTTCACTCTAACAATCACGAAATGAAAACCGAACTTGAATGACCACACCTGCTTTTGAACAAATGAATTTTGTCCTAAAAGGTGTAGATACAAAGGAAGACACAAAGTTAAACATAAAGGTGGACATAAAGATAGACATAAAGGTAGACACAAATGTAGAAATAAAGGTAGAAATAAAGGTAGACATAAAGGTAGACACAAAGGTAGACACAAAGGTAGACATAAAGGTAGACATAAAGGTCGATATAAAGGTAGACATAAAGGTAGACATAAAGGTAGACACAAAAGTAGACATTAAGGTAGACATAAAGGTAGACATAAATTAGACACAAAGGTAGACACAATAGTAGATATACAGTTAGACAGAAAGGTAGACACAGAGACAGCCAAACGGAGGTCTCCTTCAAATAAGAAAGCAGAAAATAATGGTCAAGTAAAAATTACTCTTAATTTTAAACAGGAATACAGTACTTGGATGACGTTGGCGAGATACGACTGCATGTGATTTAATATAGAATTAAACATCCGTCAATTGTTGCCGACTATTAAATTTAAGATTTAGAGAGAGCAATAAAGTCAAATATTTGTCAGCTCAGCGATAACACAGGTTATGGCTTACGACTCCGATATAGGTTGACAGCATTTACGCCTTATAAGGTTCGAAGGGGCAGGTGTGCGAGCCTTGCGCTTTGCTCTTTTTTTCCCGACAGGGTGTGGATCATCTCTTTGCCAATTTTCATGTATTTGTCGACATAAAGTTAGACGTATAGATTTTAGATCTTGAATTGAACATGGGAAGATCCTCTGATTAAGCTCTCGACGATTCAAACTTTCGCACTCGATAAATATTAAAAGACGAGACTCATGTCCGATATGAACTATCCTAGTTTCAAGCATCGTTCAAAAAAGGCAACTCTGTTGCTACATTTGAGTATACTTCAAAGCAAAGTCGTGGCTGATTTCTCAAGCTTTTTCACAAGCAGTTTAAACACGAGCAAAATCGCATTTTTCAAAAAGATTACTTGTAATTGTCACATTTTTTAGAATTTACAGTCTTAGGAGGCGAAGCTAGCTAGAAAATGATATAAAAAAATCGTTTCTACAACAACACTGACCTTAAGCTCGACGATAATTCACAAAGAAGACAGTTACGACTATTTGAAACCAGTGGTAGGAGTTTTCTTGTCCGCACACGCTCCGGGCCTGTCCCAATCTTCCTGCCCACGGATTTTTTCCAACAATGATATGAATCGTTCGTTCGTGCCGTGTTGGCAAGAACAGGTGATTAGGGCTTTAATCAAAAAATCATTACAAAAATGACGGGTTTTCGATTTTCAATAACCTTATGCAAATCGCATCTGCTTATGCGAGTGTTTGGTGAACTAACATCAATCACAATTCAGATGAAGGCCTTTCATTCAATTGAAAAAATCAGAAATGTAAATAGATGGATTAGATAAGAGAAAAAATATTGATTGATTGATATCGTTAAGTCTATCTATTTCCGAAGGTTTTTTATACACCCAGTATGACAAGCCCACGTGTTGTGTAAGCATCGGCGGCTACGTGTGTATATAATACGACTCTTATATTACAAGCTCAAAAGCTTTCCTGTTCTTGGGAATGTAATATACCTTCTGAAAGTTAAGTCTGCTCAATAACATACCGGCGGGATTCGTAAGCGACTACGCATGAAATTTCAACCATTGGCTAATTTCAAAATGTCTTCTTTTTTGATACACCCTGTTTAGTTCGAGTTTTGTACATTTCAGACCAAAAATTCCACGAAGCTGGATTCCACGTAGAAGGTCCAAGTTACAAGTGATCTGATTGATCTTGAAACTTGGTTTCATAAATGTATTCTAGTTTGGTAGCTTTGCATCATCATGATCGAAAATAACGCTTAAACATTATGACTTTATGCAGTCTAGAACCTTCATCGATAGTGATCTCATGTTAAAACATCCTTATTTTCTCCAGTCCAGTGTCTTCATCAGGAGTGGATCTGATGTCGAAACTTGAGTCATTATATACTTCAGTCAAGTGTCTTCATTAGAATTAATCTGACGATCAAACTTGAGCCCTTATGTACTCCAGTCCAGTGTCTTCATCAAAAGTGATCTGATGTTGAAATTTAAGTTCTTATATAATCAAGTCTAGTGTTTTCATTAAGATTGATCTTATGTTAAAACTTAAGTCTTTATATATACTCTAGTGCAGTGCAGTGCTGTAGAACTAAATTTATCAGAGGGAGGGCTCTCTTAACGTTTTTGTTAATAGTGCCAATTTCTAAAATTACCAATTTCAAAAGTAGAAGGGGAGCTCCTCCCCCAAGCGCCCCCCACTTCTACACCACTGGTGCAGTGTCTTCATCAGAAGTGATCTGATGTTGAAACTGGAGTCCTAATATACCCCAGTCTAGTGTCTTCATCAGGAATGATCTCATGTTTAAACTTGAGTCCCTATTTACTCCAAGTACCATGCAGTCTAGTGTCTTCATCTGCGTGATCTACAAGATGTGGAAGCTGCAGTCTTTGACTGTGCCAAGGCCTCCCTATACTCTCTGGCCGCCAGCAAGTTCTTATATTCCAGTGGAGATGTTTTTATGGCAGGGTTCCTTCCGAAGATTTAATAAAAGACAATGAAATGCGTAATAAAAGAGAAATTACAAAAAACACATCAATAAATGATGAGTTATGACATATTCGAGTCGAATTCAATTAAGTAAGCTTTCAATTAACACCTCCAGTTCGTAACATTATTGCTCAACACAATTTTCAAAGTGAATTTCTTTTCAAAAGAAAACGGTTGCGAGCGCAACAGAATACATGAATAAACACCCCTCCGCCCAACTGAAGTTTTAGTCACGGCCCTGGAAAAATCATGTCGTGTTTTCCCTTCTTTTTCACGAACCATTTCTATTAATGGATTGAGCCTCATGACGGATTGACTTCATCCTTATTGTTCGGTTGTAGACCAATTTCACTTCTCCGTTTATCAAATAATCACTTGACCGACACACTCGCCGGCGCGGCCTTCGAGAACGTCATATCTTAGACAAAGCTATGCGTGAAATCACATCTACAGAGCGACGTTTTAACACGAACAAATTACTGCAAAGTGCCGCAGTAAAAACAGCGCCTGCATAAAAGATTCAACATTATATTGCTTTTGTTCGGACGTCGAGAAATCGTTGCCGAAAAAATCTTTTTTCGCCTTTTAACTTCGAAAGAAAAAATCATCGGATGAAATCGTTGTCACAATAAAACGGTAATTTTGTCGCCATTTCTACGCAGGTGTAGTAAGAATTTATGCAACACAATAAATGGGATGATATTGCCCGCTCACGAGTACAAAGTTCAACTTATTAAAGACAATTTTTAATACAAACAAAAGCCTCACATACATGTTTATACACAGATACGAACGTCGCAGTATATTAATCATATTCATATTACATTAAAAATTCGCTTTCCGCCAGGCAAATCTCTGGCCACGATCATCACAGATAAATTAAGTAGAATAAATGGGCGTGTATATTTCGAAGCGTGAGTTTTGCATCTAATGCATCTAATGCAAAACTAACGCTTCGAAACGGAGCGTTTTTTAGTTACGAAGCGTTCACTTGATTGGGGGCGTTTATCGTAACATTTACGGCAACCTCATGATTGCACGTCTATTCAGTTATAGAAATAAGTTCTGAGGCTAGACAAGGTCACCAAATTCCAGGTAATATGACATAAAAGATGCTGAAATTTTATCAGCGTTATGCAATTGCAATGCCACCCGAGCAGAAGTGGATGAAGGTTAGGTAAGAATCACTTCGACCATATATGCAAAAAATTAACCAGATACGTTCGAATGAGCTTTAAAACTCCCCCCCGTTCTGAACTTTGCAAATTTATAAAGCAGGGGGAGGCTAAGCTCATCAGACGAAATGCATATGTGGTCACAATGAACAGAATACTTTACTATAAATACATTTTTCGTTCAAAATAGTCAACATCAAATTTATGGGCGATAATTCATTTCTCAAAGTGGCAATGAAACGAAAATTTTGCAAGTTAAATTATGTTTGCAATGACCAGAACTTTTGAAATGACAATGTACTTTCTGAAACAGTAAATGTACATCTCTTTTCATTCTCGTGATATCGACGTTTTTGTTATTTCCAATTTATACAACTTGTGACGTCATGTTGCATGATGAGTTCCCACAATGTTTCAAATACTCTTTAGTTTCATGACAATTTTAGGTTGATACCATTAGGCAGCACTTTATACCATTAACCCCGTCACAATGAAAGAAACTCTGTCCTTGTTAAGTAAAGTATCGGTAAACATACCTAACAATTCTAGTTCTCCTTATGCAATGTGACGTCACAAGTTAGATAAATCGAGCAAAGCAAGAACCCCAAGATCTCAAAATTAAAAGTGATATGCATAAACTGGTTTAGAATGTCCATTGTCATTTTAAAATATCTCTTCAATAAAAGTATTACTCGGATAGCAAAACTTTCGATGCATAGGCACTTTAAATATTCTTTAGAAATTTCTAACCAAGAACGTTGTTCTTAGAATCTACAAGAAGCTATTATTCTGAAGTAAATCCCATATCCACAACTGCAGGCATTTTTATCATCTTAAAAAACTCATCTTCACATCGTAACAATGTTCTCGTTCTTTTTATTATGATACAAAAGAAAATGGTTGCTACCGCTCGCAGGAGTCTTTACATTGTGCACGCTCCATGAACAAACTCGCACAAGCTGGGGGTTACTATTGACACGATTAAACTATTCGAAGAATTCAAGTCTATCGTCAAGACAAGAAACATGTTTTTTTTAAAAAAAATATGCACGATAGCGAGTTTTTCGTACAGGATCCGATTGTGATTGCACTCACAATGCGGCCAATCAACAGGATTCGCGAGCGTTTCTCTCTCATTTATATATAAATATACTTATATATACACATAAGGATACAAGCATATGTTAGGGGATATCATGGAAAATCCAAAAGTCCCTCTCGTATCCTTCGTTGACGTGATCCAGCAAGACATTTCGTCTCATCTCACAATATCTGCAATTCATGAGAAGTATGCGATTATTCTGTTGTTCAAACTTCAAGTAAGAAATAAAAGATGTAAACTGTGTTTGCACTGGGTAATGCGAACCGAGAAGACCTTTGGGAGAACTCGAGAGCTGATCAGTGCAAGCCCGAGACCGAAAGTCGAGACTTTCACCTGCTCGAGAGATCTCGCAAACGTCTCCAAGGTTCGCATGAGTCAGCTCAAACACAGTAAACATCTTTGATAAATCAACAATATCCATAAGAAGCATATAAATCGAAAGCACATGTTTTAACATTACCAGTTAACATGGTTTCACGATTCTTTAGTAAATTCTCCTTACATGATTTAACCCTCTCGAGACGGACTTCTTCAAAAGTTTGCAAACATTTCGTTTGGTGATTCGTGCTGCACTGCAAGATCCGTCTCAAAAGAGTTAATCGACTGAGCTCAGACAGGTTTGCGCAGTCTTATGCAAACAAGTAACGTGACCGACCTGTTTATTTACTCGTCTTCGGCTAAAATCTTTCGTCATTCACTGACCGTAAAAACAAAAGCTTTCCGAAGAAACGAATCATGACAATGTTCATAAATTTACAAAACATGTCTACTTAAGTCGACCAATTAAAACAAAGTTCTCGGTGCTAAAAGATTTATATCGATATGGAAATATCTTTGAAGATTAACAAAAACCCGCTAAGCCGTAGTTTCGAGTGATTGGTTGCTTCTCGTCCAATCGGAGACGTCCTTCTTACCTGTACTTATCTTGGACCTTTTGCTTTATACAACTAAGGTTTTCCGAACTGATATCGCGCTCCAGATACTCCGAGAGCGTCTCCGTCGCCATTTCGAGATCTTTCTGATTGTCCTACAACGAGCGGCAAGAAAAAACAAGAAATTTTCGAATTGCTCGAACCATCTCCCCATGAAGAAAGATTTGACGAAAGAAACTCAAAAATTACACGCACAAGTGATGCATCAGGAATGATTAATCAGTGGGTGGGAGGGAGGGGTGCTCTTGTTTTTATTATATTTCGACAATATTTGGCGACCCCCTCTCTTTCGTTCACTAATGTACGACATTTGACACCCCTTCCTCTCCTTTGGTAAACAAACGTACTTCGCGACTTCAAATTTTCCTAACTTGCAGTCTAAAAACCTCAGACGAAAATCAGCTTTTATTTTAAAAGCGATGTTTAAAGCTAATCCTACTGATGTCCGTGAACTTAGGCCATTGTAGGTAAAACCTTTAAAATGCAGAATCCTTTAAACATGTGCGAATAGCATGCTTACTTCGAGAAGCAAAATTACAATCTAAAACGTCATTCGCACGAAATGACAGCTCAGCACACCCTCTATTGTACCCAAATGTACGTATTGATCATACACACTCTCTACCTGCGTGCATATATATGCGAAGTAAATGGACAACTCGCGGAAATATAGTGAACGTGCATGTTTCGACGTACCTCAAATATCACGGTCTGGTTATTCTTTCGAAGGTAGAACGCAAAAACGTAGGTATACTTCAACGTATTACGACACAGGGAAAGAACTTTGACAGCTTTCTTAAGAAATTGAACCTGCGTTCGATCAGAGAAATAAAACCACGATAAGCAAGTCTTTCCCTGCAATTATGGTTTGACGAAAGTGTGAAGTAGTGCATGCATACTGTACCTCTATCCAAGACATGTTAAATTTTTGCATTTCGTTCATTTTTAACGTCACCTTCGTATCGAGCTAGAAGAACACAAATACAACAGGTCAACTCGAATTCCCTTGCTCCAGTTTTCAGACTCTAGATTTCAAGCAGAGAAGATCGATTTCGAATTATATTTTGGTATCGAAACCCTTGCACATCTGACTTAGGACCTCGACGAAGGATTAGTCTTCACGCAGATGGATCCACGATAGTTTTTCAAAGCGGGGGGAGGGGGAATGTGGGGTGTGTGCTCAAGTTTGGATTAGACTTCAGTGGATATATTTTTCTATTCGTTCTTCATAAAACACTAATCACAATTGCTTAGGCTTGACTGTTCGGTATACTAGTATTTTGTATGAAAATTTTTACATTCCTCTGCACCCCATGTGGCACACCCCTCTGCACCCACTCTGGCACACCCCTCCCGTAAGGCGATTTAATTTCTTTATCGGCTCGTCGTGCACCACAGATTCGTCTTTAGTCGGTAAAAAATATTTGTAGCGAGGAGATAAACGATTTTCTATAGACGCCATCGTGCCATCTGACTCTGAAAACACACCTACGTACAGCTTGGTCCTGTACAGTTGTGGAAAAGTCCTGCAGTAAAACTCGACATCGCAGGCTCGCGCAACACAAGTTGAAAATCTTTCCCCCAAACCGCTCACGCAATAAGGTATGCTTCAGAAACACGAAATACATTATACAAACATACGCCAAGTATATGAATAGGAGTAACTCCTTCATGGCTTCGTCCGTATAAAAATCACTGGGAATAAAGAATTTCTGGCCATGGTTCAGGCTCACTAACTTAATATATCTTACTTTTTTAAAATCAAGCAGCGGTAGGGATCCTAACCTTTCCAACATTCTGATTGGCTGTAGCAGCGGGCGGAATTTTACGATATCCGACCGCGGTCCGGACCTATTGCTAAATTCTTGACCGAATCCCATAGCTAAATATGCTTGAACAAAGAGTTGCTTCCTTTTGTTTTGTTTTAAAAAGGAAATTGTCGGCAACTTTTGATCGCAATAATCTATTTCACGCGAGTTTGATGTTTTCCAAAATAAAACGAATAGCAAAGTTTTGATTGCACAAACCAATAAGACTGCCGTCTTTAGCAGAAAAAATTATCCGTTTTTCATTGTCTACGTAGGTCCGGATAAAAAAATATTTCCCCTCAGTCTCAAAAACATCTCTCGGCCAGCGTCCTCGGCGCTTTTGAAACTCGGGAAAATATTTTCCATTCGGACCTCCAAGCCAGTAAATAATATGTACGTCTTTGCATTTCTCTACATCGGCCTTTCATATTCTACGATTGTGATTCGCTGCGACCTGTGCACGTGCCTCTATTTTGATTGGCTAATCGTGGACCGATTGTACGAGTACAACGAACACGATCTCACAATACCTCAAATTCCAGCTTTGCGCTTTGAATATGGTTCATATAACGATTACAGTAGAAAAGGTATCTTTCGAGAGACGATCTGGATTTCTGAAAAAATGAAGAAATGGAAACCGGGAATTGAATAATCGTACGGCGGTCGTAGAAAATATCACCGCTGGTGAAAATTCCCAGTCTACGAAAATTCTTCATCGCGAAAAATGAATAAATAACTTACGTTTTGTGCCTCTCTCGCATTTTGCGAGTCTTTCTCGTCGTAACGATTACAACTGTACCTAAGATTGGAGAAAGATATCGACATTGTAAGCTTTCATATTCTTTGAAGACAGTTAGGGTCCGTCATCGGGCCGCTTTGTCGAAATTTCATTTCTTTCAAAAAAAGTGGAAACATCATCACGCGAAAGTAAAAGCTCGTACGTTCTTGAGAAACAAAACATGCAGTTGGACAGCGAGTGAAAAAGACTTAACAACAGATCTCTTACCAATTCGATCCATGAGGTTCCCAAGGACCAAGGCACACCCAGCAAAAGTCTGCCTAAATGATTGAAAACACTGCTCTTACAATGTTTGATTGACGTCATTAATAATCGCACGCGGTGAAACGATGACCGTTTGTATTCGAGAATGGCATGTTTCCCACAAGAAATGGAAAAATTTGCATTACTATTTGCTTTCGAAGTTTGCAAGGTGAAAAGAGTAACCGCTTTCAAGTTTTTTCTTCTTTCGCGCAATGCAAATAAGGAATCCGTTTTACCTTACAATTATTGTTACGACACACCATGTGATTACATCCACCATTTTTCTCGATCGTTACTTGACATTTTGGACATTCCTGTCGGAAAGGAAAAAATGTAGTTGAAATACAGTAGAAATACAGTGGAAATACAGTGGAAATACAGTGGAAATACAGCGGAAATACATTAGAAATACAGTGGAAATACAGTGGAAATACAGTGGAAATACAGTGGAAATACAGTAGAAATACAGTGGAAATACAGTGGAAATACAGTGGAAATACAGTGGAAATACAGTGGAAATACAGTGGAAATACAGTGGAAATACAGTAGAAATACAGTGGAAATACAATGGAAATACAGTAGAAATACAGTAGAAATACAGTGGAAATACAGTGGAAATACATGGAAATAAAGTAGAAATACAGTGGAAATACAGTGGAAATACAATGGAAATAAAGTAGAAATACATTAGAAATACAGTGGAAATACCATGGAAATAAAGGAAATACAGTGGAAATACAGTGGATACATGGAAATACAGTAGAAATACAGTGGAAATACAGTGGAAATACAGTGGAAATACAGTGGAAATACAGTGGAAATACATTAGAAATAAAGTAGAAATACATTAGAAATAAAGTAGAAATACATTAGAAATACAGTGGAAATACATTAGAAATAAAGTAGAAATACATTAGAAATAAAGTGGAAATACAGTAGAAATACAGTAGAAATACAGTGGAAATACATGGAAATACAGTGGAAATACAGTGGAAATAAAGTGGAAATACAGTAGAAATAAAGTGGAAATACAATGGGAACGTGAAAAGAGCCCATCCCAACTGCTTTTATTTCATTTTTCATCCAACATTTGCACAACACGAAGCATGGATATTGCAGTCTCCATTTCTACAAAAATATTTCAAAACGATCGCCCAAGCTCGGCATACGTGTGTACGCAGCTAAGCCACAACCCAATGTCTAAAAAACGAACATTTTACGGTGTGCGTGCATAAACGAATGCATAAAAATTTTCCGATCTACCTTCGTGTTCGCAGATATCCAATTCGCCGTTTCGCTATCGTCGTTGCACTTCTTCATCCATTTTTTCAACAACTTCAATAGAAAATCAACGAATAATGCCACACTCGCTATTCAGAAATGTCATGTTAATAATTAGTTGACTAAGCTTATTGCGAGCAATGTTTCTAGTGAAACACCATAATCAAAAATAATAGACCTTTCACTTTTTAAACTGGCTGTACGGGTCACAAGCGCGGGAATCTCGCTTCGACGTTTGCCGCTCATGGCAGTTAGGAGGACAGCGAGTGGAAGGTTTACAGATGTTGTTTTACATGATATGCTTATTAAGTTTAGAAATGAAAAACATTATTTAAGGTGTTTCCCCAAAAACATTACTCGCAATAAGCTTGGTCAACTTACTACTAACATGACTTCGAAAGAATACATAAGATTCACGGTGATGGTATGTTATCAACTGACGTCAAAGCGGCCATGTTCTTAGACTATTTAAAACATCTGCTGCTCAGTAGAGTGCGAAACACTGAACTGAATGAAACTGGAATGCAAAATGCCGCCAAAACCTGAAGCTAGCAAATTGACTAGTCCCAATCCTTCCACGCACGGCCAAAAAAAGTTCATTCAAAAACAAGCTGCAATGCGGTGTATTTGACCGCGTGCCTGGCTTCATATGGGTAGCTTACGGGGTAGCTTAAGCATTACAGTTTTGCGGATAGTTTATGGTGGGAAATCAACATAATTCTTTTCAATTTAGATGAGTTTCTCTACCAACATGGCGGCCAGCGAAAACACTCTGTGGTCACACCGGAGTGGCCAGCCTGCAAATTTGGTGCTGCTGTGCAAAATTTCTGTTTTCGCTCACTGCAAAAACAACAGACTTCAAAAGAAATTAACGATTACAATATCCTGAAACTTAATAGCAGGACCAACATTCGCGGGCTGGCTGTTATTGTGTCTAAACTCATATAAACTTACACTACAGTTCACCGGTTCGTGAATGGGCTCTCCGCAACCAAAGCTAAATAATGTAAATAAAAGATAAAAAAACCAAATAAACTTTGTTTGAAATAGCAGTAAAAACTTGGAGTGCCTAAGAAAGAAAATAATTTTCCTTAGGCTGGCTTTATTTCTAATAAACTTTACCAAAATTCGTGGCCACATAAGCACGTCACTGCATTTTGTCCCGTGTAGCTTGCTTTTACAGCATTCATACAATCAGGTGCGGGACACCATTTTATTAAACGGTTATTCTAAACAAAAAGAATCGCCTGTTTGAGTAAAGACAGTTCAAGGTCTCCGTTGTTCGTTCATCACTACCTACATTGACACACGTTATCTTAGTTGATATTTTAGGTAGTGTAAAGACTGTTCTTGTTCTCTGTTGTTTATTCATCACTACCTACACTGACACACGTTATCTTAGTTTATATTTTAGGTAGTGTAAAGACTGTTCTTGTTCTCTGTTGTTTATTCATCACTACCTACACTGACACACGTTATCTTAGTTTATATTTTAGATAGTGTAAAGACTGTTCTTGTTCTCTGTTGTTCATTCATCACTACCTACACTGACACACGTTATCTTAGTTTATATTTTAGGTAGTGTAAAGACTGTTCTTGTTCTCTGTTGTTCATTCATCACTACCTACACTGACACACGTTATCTTAGTTTATATTTTAGGTAGTGTAAAGACTGTTCTTGTTCTCTGTTGTTCATTCATCACCACCTACACTGACACAAGTTATCTTAGTTTATATTTTAGGTAGTGTAAAGACTGTTCTTGTTCTCTGTTGTTTATTCATCACTACCTACACTGACACACGTTATCTTAGTTTATATTTTAGGTAGTGTAAAGACTGTTCTTGTTCTCTGTTGTTTATTCATCACTACCTACACCAAGACGTTTTATAAAGTATGCAATTTTGGTGGTGTAAATACTGTTTTCGTCGTTCGCTGTTCAAAGTCAACAAAATGAAACAAAGTAAGAGGAGGAGCCATTACTTACAACAACAAAACTATTTGCTATGAGATGATGATACTTTCTTTTCACTATTTGATCACTCAAAATTCTTCTACAAAACAAGAACAACGACTTAAAGTGATTCGACAATAGTATAAACTGGGGTGATGCTGCCATAATTGGCACGTAGGTACCACAAGGAACGGTATGGTATCATGATGGACACGGTGCGACCTGTGGTTGGGGATGGGAAGAAGATTACGATGGAGCAATAGGTGTAAATAGAATAGAATATTCATCATTGCTACTTAAATTGAATTTAACATCTTTTTTCAATATCCTTGTCACCATCATCACCTAATCGCCTTCGGCAAAACTATGGCACGCTCCCCCCGGATAACTCTGGTGTCATAGTTGTTTTATTCACAATATCATTAAGATCAAAATCAATAAACATAGTCCAACATACCCTACAAAAGTTTCATTCGCTAAAATATCACAATTTACTGCCGGGCAAGCAATATTCTGCAAGAGAAGAAAATGGAGTTAGCGGTCAGACTTCAACTACTCGCCGCCAACTTGCTTATAAGAGATATTGATATAATATCATGGGGAAAACCATTTCCTATTGGTCATCACAGTAGAGGAAATATACAGTAGATCCACTTCGTATTCAACTGACTGCTGTATATTTAACCTCATTACTGCCTGACCATTTCCTATTGGTCATCACAGTAGAGGAAATATACAGTAGGTCCACATCATGTGCAACTGACTGCTGTATATTTAACCTCATTACTGCCTGGCCATTTCCTATTGGTCAAAAAAAGCAATTGACAGGCTGCCACTATGGTAATCACACGCGTAATAAGATATGCGTAACACATGAAAAAATTCAATGGAGTGGCTCTACTGTATACTCACTGTACTATGACTGAGTTGCACATTAGGACCAGGACCAACATTAGCGGGCAGATTGACACACACCGCTGACACATTTAGACCGAACCACGTTATGTCGCAGCGATCCCACTTTACTCACATGCGTACCTACCTCTTTTTGTTCGTCCATAATTTTCGACGTCAAATATTCCTTCCAGCAACGTAGGCAGAATTTATGACCGCATTCAAGACCTTCGAATCTTAGCTACACGGCAAAACAAAATACAACAGTTTAATTTCAAATTGTCGGCGGTAATTGGTCGGTTCCTTGTGGGAGTACGTTGCGCATTAAAGTTTTTAAATCATCTACAGTCTTCAAAAACATCCACAAAGATATATGGTCATAATGCATGCGGCGGTCCCTCTAGCGTTGAGTGACATTTTCCACGGCTTGTCAGTCTCGTTGCGGTGTAAACTATTATATATACCTATAATAGTTTAACGTTAAATGTATACTGGGTTAGCAATCACCTACTTAGCAGGAACGGACGATTAAAACAACAAATCGTAAAGCAATTTGATTCTGGGTAGACATTTTGAAAGATCAAAATAAATATAGACGAAAGGCAGAGTTCACAATGACGTGCAGAATAACCTGCACAGCCTGGAAATTTTGCATACCACAGCAAATTCGAGCAAGCCTCCAGAATGAGCGCGTATCAGAAAGTTGAACATGCATTAAGATCAAATTTTCAATGGAATATGTATGAAAATATGGTAAGGTCACGTAAGCAAAATATGGAATTTCTCGGATACCTGTATAATTGTTTTGCTTTTGCAGAAAGCCAAAAAAATTGCAGTCAGCCTTAATAATTTAAATACAGTGGTGCAAACTAGCTGTACTTATTCTTTCACGTTATTTATTCAAGCCTAAATGCTCGAAAATCATGGTTGGTTAATGTTGCAAAATGCTACGGGAGAAATCAAAATTTCACACTTTTTTACGTGTGTAAGCAGTGACGTATCCAGCCCGCAAATTATGTACAGCCCGCAAATTAGTTAATGCAAATTAGTTAATGCGGGCCGGTTGCACGAAGCCTGGATAGCGCTATAATAATAATTGCATTAACTAATTCCATTGGATAGCAACTTTTTTAAAACTTTTATATAACCTTTTATAAAACTTTTATAAAAGCAACGAATATAAGATTCGAACTGAGCAATCACTGAAATAAAATATTGTTTCGAAGATTACGAAATTTCTTTGTCGTAAGACAAATACAAACAATTTTTTTACAAATTAGAAAATTTGTCCTATACAATGAATAACGCCATCCAGGCTTCCCAGGAGGAGACCTGCGAGCGGGCTAAGCCACTGTGCTTATCTTCTTTTCACTATAGTCTGCAGTTGGCGAGACTACCTAGATTCCCAACATCTGACAGTCGTGTTTTCACCTTAGCCAAATGCAGTTTACAGTTGTCAGTCCTGGGAGATGTCAGTCCCCACCCACACACACGCCCTCCCGTATTGCAACGTCACAAGAGTGACATCATCAAATGTCCCTCCGATAAAAAACACACACAAACCAGAGAAGAAGACATTTGTAGGCAGATATCGCATGCGATGGGGCCTGTGGACGCTGAATTGGATCGCGAGGAACGTTTATGTGCCGTTCTTGCTCTTGTTTGGGACATCGGATTTACTAAATGTGCCTCGCGGAACAACGTTTCTTGATCACCACAGTAGAACCTACAAAATAATAATAAAAAGCGTGCGCTTATTGGTTTGTAGTCGAGTTGGCACAAGCCTGCGCAAATCGATCTGAGCTCAAACGATTAAATCAATCAAAAGAATTTGCAAATCAATCATAAATACATGCTAAATATAAATATTATAATAGCTAATATTTTTGAAGTAAATGGCTCTTTTAAAAGCACTTTGCTGGGCTTTAATATTTATATTAAGAATTCGCTTCCCGCCCGGTATATCCCTGGTCACAATACATGCTAAAGGAAAAATTAAAAAACATCTGTTTTGAATTCATCTGTTTCGCATTATTGTTACTTTGTGCAAGAAATAAAAGATGTTTTTCGAGTTAGCACTGGCTTATGCAAACCTCGGAGACGTTTGTGAGAACTCTCGACCTTCGGTCTCGCGCTTGCAAAGATCTGCTCACAAGTTCACCCAAAGGTCTCCTCGGTTTGCATAAGCATGCGCAAACACGGTAAACACCTTTTACTCAACTCAAATTGTGTTTGTCAAGATCTTGAAAACAGCAGTACTGAATGATTACTTGTTTCGTATAGTACGGTCAACGACCTAATGAACGCCCGAGGCATTTATGTAGTAAACTCTAGCAGTTCTAAGGATGGGATACGAGGCGTTGATAACACCTTACAGTCAAAAAAAACTAAGTGTGTTGACTAAGATACTAGCTATGTATTTGGCGGTTTTTAAACGTATTTGCTTTATAAAGTAAATGGTCCGAGCCCGGGAGTATCGTTAAATGTTTGTGGATGTGGTTCGTCCCAAGGTTAGTAAAGTAGCGTACCTACTGAGAAAGACTGTTGCTTTTGATGCTGATCGACGTTTCGAAAACCTCAGCTGTAGTCATCTTCTGAGTCAAGTCACCTGACTCAGAAGCGTCAGGTGACTTGACCACAACAAGTCACCTGACTCAGAAGATGACCGCTGCTAAGGTTGTGCACACGTCAGTCAAAATCAACAACAGCAGTCCTTCTCAGGACCCTACTAACCTGGACGATTTACATCTACGAACATATTTGCTTTAAAGTGCCCTATCAGCAAAAACTTCCATTAGCGATGTAAAAACTTGGTGTAATATCTAACGCATCGGTGAAAAAAATTTTCAATTTGGTCAAGTTGTCTTCTTGTTATGGAGGATTAAAGTTGCCTTTCAATGGATCTTGTCCGTCGTGGCATGAGGTCTGGGTCTAGTCAAATTCTGACGTCATCCAAGGTAGTTAGTATATATATCTTGTATTGAGGAATCCCTTGCATGACGTCTCAAAGGTAAGTCGTTCCAGATATTTCGAACGACGGAAAAGCTCCATTAAAAGGAACATTTTGGTTAACTTTAAATAGCCATAAAAATGGAACGATTTGACAAACTTAAAAACTTTTTTCACCGATAGGTTGAAAATCACACCTAAATTTAACATTGCAATTAGAAATTTTTGCCAAAAGGGTCACTTTAAATCATGCGAGCAACTGCGACATCGATGAAAACTTTCAGACAGAACACAAGGTGGTTTGCGTCATTTGCAACGGAAATAAACATTATTTTAGCGGGGCATCCTCACCTAAAAAAGTAAGGGGGAAGTTTTACGTTCTGCGACTGACTTTTGCACTCGCGTTTGATAGAAAAGCCTACAATGTTAGCCATAAGCCATGCTGACTTTTATATCTCTATCTGTTTCACTTAAGGTGTTATGCCTTCCAAAAAGATTATTATACTGGATATAACTAAACTCGAGATAGGAGGGGTGGCTCATATATACATACATGCATAATTTACCATATAAAATTCCTAGTTTTCTACCTACTATAACCTGCATACTAGAATACCAGAAGCCAACCCTAACCCTAACCCTAACCAATCATCAATCTTCCTCTAGCACTGATATGAATTTTATAAAAATTTCTAGTTTACCGAGAAATTAAAACTAAATTACTCATGCTTATTGTTGAGCCGAGATAGCTAGTCATGTGGTTGTCTGGATGTTTTTATTTTTCAAAAGGAAGTGATGAAGCGGGATGATTTTTCTGCGGAAAACTACGAACATTTCATGCCTGTTTCATTTGGCAAAGAAATGCAAAAAAACATAGAACGATGTCCGACTTCAACAGCATTAAGTCCTTGCACAATTAAAGTAAACTAATACAGATCATGATTGTGACGCTTATCACAGGGTATGTACCTTTCAAGTAACTTTTCTTTATCCCATTTGAAATGACTGAGGAGTATCCTGGCAACCGGTCTCGACAGCTGAAAATAAACGAAATTCTGGTGAATAAAATCTTAACAAAAATTCATGACACCAAGATCTCATTGCTGCACTAGATTTCAAAATGCATCGGAATGATTTCCAAACATCGTAAAAATTACTGAAATGTTTTATTCTTCACAACTGATTTGCAAATTTTCCTTCGTTGTGTAATTTATTGCACTCAGATCGATTTCCCACATTTGCGCAGGCTAATGCAATCTGTTGACCAATCACTGCACACATTATATTGTTCTTATTTTATAATTCCTGTTAAAATGAATCGTGATTACAAATTATCAGCTTATGAATAAATGAATACAAGCCCTCCAGATTTCAATCTTTTGCAGTTCCTAAGTGGCTTCGCACTTCACAAAAATTGAAAATGTTTCCACATTGCTCATTGACACTTGCAGTCAAAGATAAATGCCTCAGAGACAAAGCCCTTCTCTACTGCATTTTTGACATTACAGCATACAAGAACATTGTAACTATGGAAAGGAAGCCAAATAGAAACTGGCTCGTTCATGTTTGAGAAAAAATCAACTGGGAATTGACCGGCAACAAGGCCCTGGGCCATCTGCTATGCAATCATTTGTTCCCAAACAGCAATATAACACACCCCGCGGCTAAAACATGAAGCCCTGTCTACTGCAACCACGTTTGCATCATTAACATGCGAATAACAATTTTGAACCATTCGTAACAGAAGAGTAAAACAGTGAATTCTGTCAGCTCTGAATTGCTTTTCCCAATCTAATCACTTACCGGTTTCAACCGCAAAAATGTACATCGAAATAACGATCTATAGGCACGATTAATGTCCAAGGAGATCACTTTGTACACAGTACAAATAACAAATATTCATAAAATTATTGAAACATAAACACAACATATTTCTCATTTTTTGGTGACCAATAATTTTCGCCTCGAGCCGCGGGATAGAAGTTCATGAATGGAAATCGAACCGTAGGATGATATACAATAGTTTGCCCGAATTTGCATCATTCAAAAAACCCCGAGGAAAATACATAATGTAATCATAATAAAATTATAAAACCTAATTCATTCGCCCTAGTTAATGGCGATAGTTTACAACAGCAGAACCAACCTCGAAGACGTTATTTACTTCGTCAATCGTCGTGTTCATGTAGGAAACGATAGTGTCTGGCGTCAAGACCTCGTATGTAAAATCGTCTGCGACACTTGCAGAGCACGGCATATCATAGTTCGAGTCAAAACCTTCATCTTGATCGGGGCTCAAATCTTCACTGTCGTCAGCTTCCTCGTCTTCGTCGTCGTAGATGAAGTCTTCCTCATCGCTGTCCATAAGGCGTTGCTTTTTAGAAGCAATCTTGAGGCTTTACAAAGGCCACAGCGCCCGTTTTCCAATGCAATTTTTTGAAGGACAGGGAAACTCTCTGTTTTGTTGCTTTTGCGTCCCTTTCACCAAAAAGTTTTGGTCACATGATTAAAGTTCAAGGATGTGACGTCATAGTTAAATTGCATCGTCTTCTATTCTTGCACGCTAATGCATTAAGATTCATAAAAGACGCGCAAATGGGGAAAAGGGCCAATCTGACCAAGCACCCTTTGTGCTCGGAAAGTGTGTAGAAATGAGGCGTTTTTACTCCCCACCAGCGTTTCATTAGATCGTGTGTTAGTTCTGCAGAGTTCAGAACATCACGCTACGTGAACGAAAATCTTGGAAATTAAAGTTTTGCGAATGCATATTGTCATATTGTATTTTTTCAATCAATCATACGCCAACGACGTCGTTGTCGCGCTTATCGGCAGATGTGAGACGTGCTTACACTGTTCAATTTAAGAGAGAATTAAAGGAAACGTCAACGTAAAAATAAGCTCGATATCAAATCGCACGATGTCACACCACCATCAAATAATCCATCAATACTTGTAGGTTTACATGACCGCGCATTCCTTATATGGGAACCCGGAATGCTATAATTTGAAGCCGACTAACTAACAGTCCCAATCAAATGAGAAGTTCGCTATGAAGATAAGATACTTGCATCAGTAGTCATAACAAATTTTGGACAAGAACCATAGATTTTGAGGAACAATGTTCAAATCAGCACACTCTAAAGTAAGTGTACGAAAACAGGCGCGTAGCCAGGGGGGAGAAGATGGTGCAATCCCCCCGTTTCGTTCATGACAGTTTCACATTGACAGCTATGTAAGGTTGCTTTTGTTAGAATTCAAACAAAATAAAAATCAAAAATATACAATCTTGAAAAAATAATGTCGGAAATTCGAGTGTCTTCCCCAACCTGGTATAGAAATTTGACAATGGATGATGACCTGATAACCTTCGACACCAGGCTCCCTCCTCCATCCAATAGACCCTTAGCATTGTGGATGCAAAGACTTAAATGAGGAAAAATGCGAGTGAACGTGCAAGCGAAAATTGGCGTAAGAGCTGGTAACCACGCGAAATGAAGGAAGTATAAGACCGTGAATCTTTACGATGAACATTTGCAATGTGATTTCAGTGAAGTGAAAACAATGATATGCAGGATCCGTCGAACTAAAATACATGAAACTCTATCTGAAGCAAATAATTGAAGCCAAATCTTAATACACCCAGACACGCGTGTGTAGTGTTTCGAGATTCTCTCGCGGAGTGAAAATTGATTGAACTACACACGCGTGTCTGGATGTAATCTCGCGTGTCTGGATGTAAGATTCGGCTTCAAAAATTATTAGGCTTTTCTATTACAGGTAGTGTTCCATATATTTTAGTTCAGTGCCAGGATCCGATTATTAGCAGGATAAACTCAAATTAAGCTGAAGGTGGATCATCTACCATGCGGCTTGCGTTAGACAGATAACACTTATAATCCCTTGATTTAAAGTTTACAAGTTTATTATACTATATCTACACGGTTTAATTTGGAAATTTTCCATTACGTTAGCATGTGCGAATCGATCAAAATAATTATACACAATATAGATCTATGAAGCGGACTTTACGTGTGCCTGCCAGCCTATGCGTGTACTCCTGTGTACCCCCGGCTGAGCAACAAAAGGATGCAAAGACCCGACCTCAATAATTCGCCAGGAAAGCAACCATACAACTGGCTGTATTTAGGGCATTTAAACGTAGTGTCGACGCTTGAGTTGCGGCATCGAAGGCTTAGCCAAACGGCCAGCAACATATCGATGATCGTCGTGATCTTCGTGTTGATCGTGGGTTTTCGGTGGTGACAAAATATACTTGCACCCATCTCCCAAAGGCTGAAGCACGCATTGCACATACTTCCCGATGTGCTTTGCGATATAAGAGAGAGGTGCCGATCCCTGACTCAGAATTTGGTAGTGGAAGTCTTTCAGATTGAATTTCTTTCCGAGTTTTTGACGCGCCGCCTCGCGCAGTTGTGTTATCCCCAGTTGTCCCACGGTGTACGCGGTAGCCTGGCCAAAGACGCTCTGGTAACGCGTCACCTCCTTGCGCGCAATGTCCGTGCTATCCCATGCGTATTTGTCGAGAAGTTGCAAAGCTTTTTGACGCGTTAAACTTCTCGTGTGGATTCCGGAGTCGAGGATCAACCGAAGTGCTCTCCAAATCTACATGACGAGCAAAAGATACGGTCAACTTTTCCACCGATGAAAGGACTTAAAAAATTTTCGCCCCGTTATTTGATTTATTTTTTACAGACGAAAAGTGGAGCAGTGAAAGCCAGTCCTTGCAAAACAGTGAAGTCAAGAAAAGAAAGAAAGCTTCGTTGCATATAGCATTATGTGATCAGAAATATGATAAACGTTTCATCAACCTCGCTTGCTCGGTATTTACTGAGAAATAACCGACCACCTCTAATTTTTAGAAAAAACCTAGCCCTACGGGCTCGGTCTGTACAAAAAAATTTCGGCCCGACATTTCTCCGTAAAGACCTCGCGCTCTCGGTGAATAAAGGTATAATAATTGTTGCTCTCTGCCACATAAAGCGCTGGGTTGCAACCTATCAAAAATTACTTCTTTATTTTACGTCGTTGACTTATAAACGTGCTTAGATAAAGTAATCAATTGTGCACCAACCTGCCACTTCAGCATGCCGTACTTTTGCGTAAGATTATCGTCATAGATGTCCGTTTCAGAGACGAGAGGATTTTCCGCGTACAACGCCCAGCCTTCGATGAGCGCCGTGTGATACGTAGTGGAATGGAGCCAACTGATCGTATCATCGCAGTAGTCTTTGAAATGCTCTATGCTCCCCTGAACCTATACACGTAAAGTCGTCATGTCAAAGCAATTATGAACGAGGTCAAAAGAAATGGCAATATCATTTTCGAATCTTATTTAAAAAGGGTAAGTCCTTCGGGGGACTGCCGCTCACTATCGAGTGGCTAACAATTTCGAAGCGGAGGGTCTGGAAGTCCTTGTCGTCTTGAAAAGAAAGAATGATATGAAGAGGGGAGGATCGTTCAGTCTTGAATAGGGGAAATAATTTAGTCCCTAAGAGGATGGCTTGATGCTCTTGAAGATTTGAAGATGGAGGGAATAATGTGATCTTAAAGAGATGGAGATGATGTACCGGTGGTCTCGAAAAGACGGGATCGTGGTCTTGAAGAGGAAAGACTAATGCAGTCTTGAAGCGAGGGGGATGGTGTAGTCTAGAAAAGGGGAGAATAATGTAGTCATAAAGGGAGGGCGATGGTGAAGTTTTAAAAAGGGAAACTAATGTAGTCTTGAAGAGAGGGGGATGGTGTTGTCTTGAAGAGAGGGAATAATGTAGTCATAAAGGGAGGGCGATGGTGTAGTTTTGAAGAGGGAAACTAATGTAGTCTTGAAGAGAGGGGGGTTGTCTTGAAGAGGGGGAATAATGTAGTCCATACACACTATATCCTCTTTACTTTGAACCTTCTCCTCTTTATTTTCTCCTCACGATTAACAAACTTCTTCGAAAATTCTTCCTTCCTTTGAACATTCAACTCATGTCTTCACTTTACATGATTCCCAAAATCAAACTAGACATTTCAAATTTTCTCTGAAGGACAAGTAACCTAAAACCCCATGAAAACCCTAAAAATCCTTGAGTTTGTTTTATACAAGAGAAAAGATACTAATGAATGCTTTGGCATTTTCACGTCTGATGATCCAACATGTTTTCCCAAAACTTAATATGTAGAACATCCCATTTTTGGTTTTATAAATACCCATTTTCCAACTGGAACTGCCCATTTTGGAAAACAAAGAAACCTAAGGACAATGACCCCTGCTTGGCATTCTTTCGACTTGTTTTACACTTGTATATACAGTCACGAAAATCTTCGATTTCTTCCTGGAGCATTAGCTCCATGCACTTACTTTATAAAGTCAGCGATGGGCTTGCCGACAAGTTCGACGTAATATCTTGAAACGGACGTGTTCACATATTCTCCCTTTTCGCTTCTCCATTGCAAGTTCTCTTTCTCCGTGATATTCTTCAGGAAGTCGGGAGCGACCACGAACTTCATGAACCAACTGCTTAGCACGCCTGAAACAACCATCGCAAGCCATTACGGTGTGAAGGAATGGAAGTTATATGTTGAAAATTCGGCAGCAAAAACACGCTGTTCAAACGCAGCTCAAAAACTAAGAAGATTAATTGCAGTTTACAGTGATAACGATTATTTCTAGCTCGAAAGCTTTTTTAGCCACTTTTTCCGTGTATTTACATGCTGCTGAGATTAACCATTGAAATACAAAGAAATAACCTTGTTGAAGGGGTTACACTTGCATATTAGCCATCACAGTAATTTTCAAACTTAAAATATCTGGCTGCGAATCATATGCCCGTGTTCTAAAAGCTCTTTCATATGCACACTAACTGAGCGCACGAGACACAGAAAACGCACTTCCACAAATTGATGGCAAACTCGTGGTCGTTTAGGACACCAGCGACATGTTTTAAAAACTATTCTAACTTTGAGAGCAGCACTTTTACAGTCTAGCTATGACATAAGAACGACGTTATGGCTGATATCGGTTTGGAGGAGAAATTAAAAACAGAGTACGTTTGCGTGTATATTGCATGAACTACTAAAATCTGACTTACATATTGATGATTGGTATTGTAAGCGGCGGAAAGGAGTTGCATTGTTACCTGATTCGCCATGCAGGGAAATATCTAGAAACGCATGTTTAACAGCATCAACTCCGACTTTGCAATCTTCAACGGAGCGCACCATTCCTCTCTTGACGCCTTCCTTCATGTTCGCAATGTACTGGTATATGGCGTCTCTGTGCTCTTTCAATTTTTCCCTGTTGAAGAGATGGTCATTATGTTAACAAGGGATTACGAAAAAGTCGACGAGGGTTTGTTAATTGACTTTATATTTAGTTTAGCTAACGCAATACGAGGGACGAAACTTGAGATAAAACTGCCGAAAAGGATGTAATGTACTGTTTTTGATGATAAAAATTTTACGGTGTAAACTTTGGTTCGCAACATGGTCTCTGATCCTACAAAGATTCCACAAACTTTGCTCCAGAGACCTGTCATAGTACTATGCTTTGGGGTTGTGAGGCTCTTGAGGTAATGAGAGATTTTCTACGAGTTTTATTCTGAAGTGTTAGGGTCTTTCATTCCTTTTGTGTTTCTTAGGAAAGACAGAGGAAAGTACCAGTAAACGATGTTTGAAATCCTAAATCAATGTATTTGATCTCTTTATACTTATGTCATAGTGAGGATGGTACATAAGAAATCAATGTACTTGATCTCTTTATTCTCATGTCATAGTGACGATGGTACATAAGAAATCATTGTACTTGATCTCTTTATTCTTATGTCATAGTGACGATGGTACATAAGAAATCAATGTGCTTGATCTCATTATTCTTATGTCATAGTGACGATGATACATAAGAAATCAATGTACTTGATCTCTTATTCTCATGTCATAGTGACGATGGTGCATAAGAAATCAATGTATTTGATCTCTTTATTCTTATGTCATAGTGACGATGGTACATAAGAAATCAATGTAGTTGATCTTTTTATTCTTATGTCATAGTGAGGATGGTACATAAGAAATCAATGTAGTTAATCTCTTTATACTTATGTCATTGTGAGGATGGTACATAAGAAATCAATGTAGTTTATCTCTTTATTCTTATGTCATAGTGACGATGGTACATAAGAAATCAATGTAGTTGATCTCTTTATTCTTATGTCATAGTGACGATGGTACATAAGAAATCAATGTAGTTGATCTCTTTATTCTTATGTCATAGTGACGATGGTACATAAGAAATCAATGTAGTTAATCTCTTTATACTTATGTCATTGTGAGGATGGTACATAAGAAATCATTGTACTTGATCTCTTTATTCTTATGTCATAGTGACGATGGTACATAAGAAATCAATGTAGTTGATCTCTTTATTCTTATGTCATAGGATGGTACATAAGAAATCAATGTAGTTAATCTCTTTATACTTATGTCATTGTGAGGATGGTACATAAGAAATCATTGTACTTGATCTCTTTATTCTTATGTCATAGTGAGGATGGTACATAAGAAATCAATGCACTTGATCTCTTTATTCCATTAAAACTTTAACACACATACCATAAGCATTTGCAAGCAAGCTTTAATTCTCTTACATATAAGACTCATCCATCACCCTTGTTCTTTTGAAGCTGTAATGATCGACTCAAAGATTATTGTATGGCATTGCAATTCGCTCTTTCAATTTGTAATATGAAACGCCCATCAAGAAATGTCCATGTCACATTGATCTACAGTGAACTCATTCCTGAACCTTTATTTATGATAAATAACATGTATACAAAACTTGTAAATCCAAAGTTCTGGTAAATACCAAAAATATATATTCTCTGAACAACTCCGAAAGGCATCGTGAAGCACTGAAATACAAAAAAAACCTACTAAAAATGTCCAGTCTTGCTCTCTGGTTGAATATTTGACATGAACAATTGGTATATGTCTGTCTTAAAATTTGCAAGTAGCTACACATACAACTGCGACTTTAACTAGCACGTTTCTTCTATCAATAAAGATTTCAAAGTGTCCAGTTATTTTGCGCGGCTAATTTTTAAATTTCAACCAAAACTCTGAAGTATGACGGGAGAGTATATCTCTGGGAAGAAAAGTGTCGCTTCAATGTGTCGAGCGTGATTGATAAAATTCTTTTCCCATTTGTAATCTTATTTCTTCTTAGACGCCATTATCATCCCACCTCTTATCAAAAGCCAATCTCTCGAATCTTGTTCCCACGCATTTCAGATTATTATCATCGAAGGCCGTTCAATATTGACTGTCAGCGAATCGCTAACTATTATGTTTTTTTTACAAATGTGCGAGGAATTGGGCAGGGTCGCGAAACGGTCATTTATTTTTACAAGCTTGCAAACTAATCTTATCAAACGCCGAAAGGGAGCGATGATTTGAAAACGTTACGAGAGTTGATGAAGATATCATTCTTTTGATTAATTTATTGGACAATATATGGCATTGACGGTTTAGTTGGTGGTTAGGGCAACCACCCTAACAAAATGACAAAATGATAAAGACTAATGCATTTTCATTTTTTAAAGATAATTTTAGAGATATGATCATTTTCCTTATCACACAGTCATGACATAAGAATAAAGAGATCAAGTACATTGATTTCTTATATACCATCCTCACTATGACATAAGAATAAGGAGATCAAGTACATTGATTTCTTATGTACCATCCTCACTATAACATAAAAATAAAGAGATCAAGTACATTGATTTCTTATGTACCATCCTCACTATAACATAAAAATAAAGAGATCAAGTACATTGATTTCTTATATACCATCCTCACTATAACATAAAAATAAAGAGATCAAGTACATTGATTTCTTATGTACCATCCTCACTATAACATAAAAATAAAGAGATCAAGTACATTGATTTCTTATGTACCATCCTCACTATGACATAAGAATAAAGAGATCAAGTACATACTTATGTACTATCTTCACTATGTTATAAAATAAAGAAATCAAGAACATTGATGTCCTATGTACCATGGTCACTATGACATATAAATAAAGAGATCAAGTACATAGGTTTCTTATGTACTATCTTCACTATGTTATAAAAATAAAGAAATCAAGAACATTGATGTCCTATGTACCATGGTCACTATGACATATAAATAAAGAGATCAAGTGCATAGGTTTCTTATGTACTATCTTCACTATGTTATAAAAATAAAGAAATCAAGAACATTGATTTCTTATGTACCATGGTCACTATGACATATAAATAAAGAGATCAATTACATTGATTTCTTATGTACTTTCGTAAGTCAATTACATAATCATAAAAAATGAAATATATCAGCAGGTTCTCGAAGCACAAATCCCATGCAAACAGATTCTTTTATTTTAGTAAACTATTCTAATAAATTGCAAGATGTTAAGGCTTCATTCAAGATAGCTAATTTATAACCTCTCAAGGCAAAGATGACGAACGGCCATATTGTATTTCATTCATGTTTCATTTAAAAATCTAAGTAAACAGATGCTTAACATGCGCTAAAAACTTTTCGACGTGTTTATAAATTGGCTTTTTAATCAAATGAAATGTAAACAAATCAGAATGCGAATGTCAAACCTATTCTAGTGGGAAAGTTTTTTGAAGGCTTATGTTGGACTTGATTATACAAGTGTACGAATTTGACATCCCGGCTGGCATTTGAAACTCAATGCTGTTTTTTTCTTTAATGACTAAATTAGAGAGTTTTTTTCTCCCCGATGAAACTCGTGTAATTTGAAACACTTTGAAATTTTTCTATTTCCAATTAGTCCAGACCTCTTCAACGGGGACTGTCGTTAAGCATGTACAATTTAAATTTCCTAACTCCAACTTTTGACCAACCGATTTGCCATTGATTTTTTATCAGACGCTAAAAGTCTCCTCATGGTTTTTCTTATGTGGGTTTGCCTCAATTGGTTTTTATGAGAACGATCTCCTAGCAGGCAATGCACAAGAAGGGTTTTGCCACACAATTTTTCACAGCGAAAATCAAATCAGCAGAATAATTTCAGCGATGAATTCACTTCGAAGAAAGAAAGCAAAACAAGCCGTAGCCGTTAATTTAAAAGACAACATATCATTTCTCTCGGAATGTTGTTGTCAAACCCTTTCACGTTATCGCGTTTGAGATCGCACAAATTTGAAATATTTTTTCGGCAGCTTGTTTGTGTAGAAGAATGTCACGTTTGTGTTGGTCCTAGTTACAGCATCTAATCAGCAATATCTCTCAGCGCTGTTATTGAGCTCAGAAAGATTGGTGATGTAATTTTTTCGAAGTACACATTCACAAAACAGGATGTATCAAGTATAAAGGGTTTGTTTGCAATTCGCCACACTCATAAACATCAATTATACGGTTATTAAAGACTTTAAGTAACAATTCTGAAGCTGGCAAAATGGATAAATTTTCGTTTTGTGCTACCATACTGCCAGCTTTTCAAATGTGACGTAAAACATTAAAGAAGTTGTTTTAGAAATCAGTCTGTAGTGTGAACAAAAGATTTCTCCACGGAAATCCTCTACACATACCCGACATTATTATCGCACCTTATGAAATGGTGTCAAAATTACAAAACCGCAAAATCGTGACTAGTTTTACGACGCGACAGCCTGTGAACTCTAAGCACGACTGTGAAGTTGTTAAACGCTATCTTGGTCGGTCGTCGTTCGAAAACCACAAAAATAACTAGTTTCCTCGAATACCTCGACTTGCTTGGCTAAATAACGACGGTTTACAGCATTTGTTTTATCGGATTTGAAACACATGTATTTAATGATATATTTTAAGTGTTCAACCTGAAATGACGTGAAACAGACATACATATTAATTGCTGCTTTTGAAATTCAACAAATGGAAGGCAACTTACAATATTTTTATAAGTGAAGGTCTTAATTGCTTTAGAAAGTCATAAAATGCCTCCGTGTTACAGATGAAATGTAGCGCTAGGGCAAGATACTTTTTCCCTTTGCTCTTGAACGATTATATAGTTGTCTAAATCCTCACATGTGTTTTTCATTCGAAAAGGAGCTTAAAAAGTCAGGGATAAAAGCAGATAAAACAATGGAAACTATCATATCTGCTTTTTGTCTTCAAATTAACGATGAATCTAAGCAAATCATGACAAAAATGTTACAATGCACTGGTGCATTTTCCTATGATGACTTGCGACTTGTCAATGACAATCACGCCATGCGAAAGTGATATAGTAGCTCGTTAATCTTCGACTCGTTCACGATACAAATCACAAGCAAATGATAAAATTTATGAGATTAAAGCATCTGCGTTACATATATTTTTGACGCTTCATTTTAGCATAATGGCCGAAAAGCTATTATGGAACCAAAGTAGATTTTCCTAAATTAAACTTTTTCGACAAACTTATCAAAGAAGGATTTAAGCTACTACCAAAACTAGGGAATCTTTTTTGAACGCTGTATGTTTGGTCTCTTTGGCTACCAGAGATGTGAATATTCTGGACTCAAACCCGTGTGTTTTAGCGGTTTAGCTGCTGAATCATGCTTCTACGCTTTTGGAGGCACGCAACAATAACAAGTCGATGTATATTTGACAGATGTCAAAAATTTGTGATACGCTTTGAATTTGAATTTGAAATCACTGATCCATCTTTAGATTAGAAAGTACAGTAGTTGTAGGTACTGTGAGATCCACTACGGGTGGCAAGAACAGTGAAAAAGATAGTGTCGCGTTACTGTTTTATTCCCGTTAGAAGCCGAAAACTTTTAAACTGGCGCGTCTTAAAAACGCGAGGTTTTCACAAAATGCAGCTCTGATTTCCAGAGAGTGGTTCAACCGTGCGAAGATACAAAAACAGTTCGTTTCATCGAGTAAGCACGATTTTTATCATTGATTTCGGCCTCACTGTCATATCTGATACGAATTCGACAAATGACACGGAAAGGGTACTAACTGCTTCTTTAGACAAGGCAGCTGACGAAAACGCCATTCGCTTTTCTTTTTATAGGGCATGATGCTCCGACGAACAATCACAAGCCAAATTGACTTCTTTTTCACGTGTGCACGCCTCATGCCACATTTACATAATATAGACTTAATTCACGAGGCGTATCCGCAAACTGATGCGGAGGCGGACACCACTCCTCCCATCTCCTATCTCCCCACTCCCACCCCTCAGTGCAGCAATCTTTTGCTCGCGATCACGCAAAAAACATTGCGCGTGCATGCTAAGAAAAATTTTTGAAAAAAATTGTCTGACAAGGCGTACATCTAACTATATAAACAATGCAGCACGCTGAACAAGAGTAACAGTATTGATTGAAAAAAATCAAAGAACAACAAAAAAATTAATTAAATTCTCTGGCTGCGTGGGTTTCAATACGTCAGCAACACTCGGAAGAGAGCAGAAAATTACGCATGGCTTTCACCACCCAGTTGGAACAAATCTCGATTAATGAAACAAGGTGTTTTGTATAAATCTTCACAACTAATGCCAGCCACTCAATCCTATTTGAACCGGATCTCTTTAAGACAGACAGAACTATTTCAATTTGATAGGTTTATCCAAACATCTATACCGACCACCTTAAGAGATTTTCCCAACCCCTAATACAAAATGCTGTATTGGGACTTGCATCTCGAAAAGACGACGCGGCTCAATTTTTCGCAATAGGTCCAGAACATTCGCCGAAAACATTAATTGCATGAAAATCGATCTCAATATTCTGCGGCGTAGCATCGACCGTCGATGCATGGATTAAAATCTTGCTTACTTGGCATGTTTGTGAAATGTGATTTAAATGCATTTCGAACATTGGATTTATCGCTGCACGTCAGGAAAACTGCCCATCGCATTGATGGAAGCGGAAGAAAATGTGTCAATAAAAAATATCTAACATACACTAGGTGCCAAAAAAATGAGTCCAGTTCCAATATTGGAAAAATTGTGGAAAAAAAGTGTACAACGAAATGTTGCTACAAAGCTGGGAGTGTCCAAAAGAGCTGTGCAGCGAACCGTGGAAAGATTTAAAAAGACGCAATGTTCTTCCAGCTTACCAAAACCTGGTAGACCACGTATAACAACAAAAAAAGAAGATCAGTTTATAAAGCCAAGTTCTTTGCGCAACAGACGAGCAACTGCTAGCAACATTCAATCGTCAATTAACGCCACCTGAGAGAAAGCAATCAGCAAAACAACAGTAAGATAGAGATTGGCTGCAAGTGGTCTGAACTGAAGAGTTGCAGCTTCCAAGCCGTTGCTTCGCCCGATAAATAAGCGGAAGAGATTCTTATGGGCCAAAAAATACAAGCATTACAGCGTAGACAATTGGAAAAAAGTACTTTTTACTGATGAATCAAAGTTTGAAATACATGGAATTAATCGCCGTGTTTATGTGAGACGAAGATGTGGTGAAGATTGTCAAGTCAGTGCCTCAAGTCCACAGTGAAGCATAGGGGTAGAAACATTCAAGTTTGGGGCTGTTTCAGCTTTAAGATGTTGGAAGTCTTTACAGAATAAAAGGCAATCTTGACAAAAAGCAATACCATTCTATTCTCCAAAGGCATGCTGAACCATCTGGCAAAAGGTTATGCGGGAGAGGATTTACCTTACTTCAGGATAACGATCCGAAACACAGCTCCAACTTGTGCAAAAATTATTTAAGGAACAAAGAAAATCAAGGTGAATTAAAGCTCATGGCATTTCCGCCTCAATCGCCCGATGTTAATCCAATTAAACACTTATGGGATGAGTTAAAAAGAGAAAAAGTGAAACATGACGTAACAAGCCAGGACAGGCTATGGGATGTAATCTCTACATGTTGGCATAGTATTGAACCATCTACACTGCAAAATCTTGTTAAATCTATGCCAAAAAGAGTTGAAGCCATTTTGAAAGCTATGGGAGGACATACCATGTACTGACATTGCTTTTTCGAGAACTTAAAACCTAACATTGTTGTGACAGAGTGGTGATATGGTTCAAAACTAAAAATATGCATTCGATATTTAGTGGACTCATTTTTTTGGCACCTACTGTATCTGCTGCTTGTTAACACGCGGGTAACGTGCCAGGAGACCACAAATCATTGCAGAGGATTATACAGTTATCATGCCGAAATATAACTAAATACATGTAAGATAAATGACTTGTTTTCTATTCTCCCGCATGAGGTGTTGTTTTGAGACACTTTCGACAACTGACTCGATTATTTAATAGCGTTTTCGATACGAACAGGTGCAGCATAAAAAAGTAAATAATTTTGAAAACGTATCTATAAAAATATGATCCGGCCATACAAGAATCAAAAATCAAAATAAAAAGCGAAACTCTTGTTGAAGGTGTTTGCTACACTTTCATGCCAGTCACGACTATTTTCTAGCTGCATTTCAACGACTCGAACGTTATTAAAACTATTCCAGTTTTTTGAGCTGCACCCGCGTAAACCATTCCTCCAACCTTTCTCTAAGAACCTTAACGATAACCTGCATTGATAACGTAGGAATGCAGAACATTTTATCGATGGTGACAATCATCTGTTTTATGGCTACTTAGATAGTCCTACAGGGAAACTATTGAGGTGTTAAATCTTCATAAGAAAATTTAAGTTTTTACCCATTGTATTCGCTCATGACAGCTGTTTGGATTCGTTTAACTCGAGTTCGTAAGGCTTTTACACTTCCTTACCTTGCATTGAATAGACATATTGAGCGTATATATTTTTATCATTCTGTTCCCCTCCCCAGTTAAAAATGATACAGGTGAGATGAAAGCCTAGTTTTGCTAGTTTGCATTCCTTTTTTCTTACGACAGAGAATCGTTTATAAAGGTGCATGATTTGGACAAGAGCTTGAGCAAATGGTCAGTCATTGCCAATTCACTGAAATCGTGCACATAGCTACTCGCGTTGCGTCAGTATGGAACTCTCTTTCATGTTTAGACCAGCCGAGATTGTGTGCGGGTGAGAATGAAACGAAGAAAGCTGATCGAGAAAGCACATTCAAGCCAGCCCGTGATCAAAAGATTCTTCGAAATTCGGCTTAAATGTCAAAAAAAAAATCAGGGCATGGTAAGAAAAAGAAAATGCAAACAAAAACAACAAGTTAACATGTTCGAGCAAGTCTGAGATGAAAAGTCTCATCTTAATGCGGCTTGAAATTTAAAAAATCAGGGCATATCAAAAACGAAAGCAGTCTTCTTTTATGCAATTCTTCCCGCGTTTAAAATGTAGCTGACTACGAACAAAATTGTTGTTGGCTAGTTCACAAACGGAGCATAGAAAAAGAAAACTGGTGGGTTCAACATACCGTAATTTTTTCACATCTTCCAGGTTGTGCGGTTGATAATAATCCAAATGAAAGAAAATATCCTTTCCGACTTCGCAAATCGGCTGCCAACAAAAATGGTTCGGTCCCAGCATCCAGTCACCGAAGTAACAGTTCACGTCGTACGGTTGACCAAAAATGTGCTTCCGATAATCTTTGGCCTGAATAAGAGCTTTGCGCTCCCTGAGTTTCAAATGGTTCTCGTTCACGTTCAGGGATTCCAGCGTCGCTAACATCTCCATGGCTTTGTCTGTGATCTTCTTGAGATACGACGGTCTCGGATTGAACGGTTCGTATATGCCTCGCATTACCGAGTCATCGTTGATGTATTTCATGGCCGGGTCGTGATAGGACTGGTGGCGATGCAATCGGAAATATTCCTTTTGGATTTTCATCAAGAATGTACGCGAATCGTCTCCCTGTATGCATGAGGATACAAAAAAATTGAAAGTGTCCTCCTTGCGCAAGGTGCGTGCGTACGTTAAGAAGGACAAGAGCGTTTCTCAACAATTTATCTCAGTTATTTCAAATATCTTCGAGCGATCTTGCTTATCCGGGTGAACTGCCAAGACGGAGGACAGACTTCCAAATCGACTTCCGTATTCGTCTACAAATTAATTTCGCATTAGGAACTATCATCAAAGCTCTAAGTATAAAAGTGTACGTTCATTGTAAGCGCGTTTACCATATGTATATAAATAGACAATTACATAAGTATTCGAATGCACGAAGAGCGCATGTGCGGTTATGAGAGACATTTATATTAAATCAAACGTCTTTATCTTTATCAAGCGTTTGACTGGCGCGGTATGTTATTAAGAACGCATCAGAGCGAGATCGCCTTATCATCAAACTGAATTATTTGTCCTCGTTTGCGAATTCGCCACGTCCGCATTGTTTTCGAATGCAAACAACGTTGCGAGTGTACATTCATGTTTATTGAGGACATGTCATTGTAAGAGACACGCTTACACACACAGACGCACGTTATGACGCACTTCGGTTAGGTCGAAGCGATGTCATCGATAGCACACGCCACAATCGCGCGCGTGTGAGGTTCTCGTGAGAATAAAAAAAGGGGAAAAACGATTCATAATCATCACAGCTGTAATCAGTGTTGCCAGATGGGCGGTTTTCCTGCCCAATTGGGCTGGTTTATAAGCCTGTTTGCGGGAAATTTTGGGAGGTTGCGGGTTTTTGGGCTGGAAATAACTTTTTGCGCGATTTTTTGGGCTGGAAAAAATTTTGGTGATCTAGCTTCCACGTGTTTTTGTTTTTGTCGTGGTAAACAGCAATTGCGCTAATATTGTAGTGACGTACATGAAGTGCGTATATTATTCATCTAGATTTATGTATTAGCAATAGAGGAAATAGCCAATCCTACACTTTCTCAAACGCGCTACTTAAACTTACGCACTTTACTTTATAATTACGTAAAACTACTCAAATTTCAAGTACATTATCCGCCTTGTAATAACTGCACCTTGTTTAGCCAAATATATAAAAAGCCTGTGAATAAATTGTAAAAGATAGAATACTCACGACTGTTGTAAATAACTTCTTCGCTAGTGAATAAAACTTGGGCTACTTTTTACTTGTTTTGATGCAAATTTGGGCTATTTCTTGCAAAATATAATTGGGCTTTTTTTGGGCTACTTTTAAAGGTAGCTCGGGCGGGTTTGCAGGCTACCCATCTGGCAACACTGGCTGTAATCTTTATCGCAAACTTTTAGCAGTCATTAGTGTTGTGCGCGCACTCGTCCCGTTTTGCAAAATCCTGCCAAACTTTGAACATAAAATCGTCATTTTTAGTTAGCTGTATAATAGGGGCGTTCTATTAGTAAATTACTTTCACTGTCAAACTGCGCACGACGGTGAACGATTCACAGCAAGCTAGCATGTTTGAAAATCGATCGCTCGGTTTGAAGCATGGCTTTTTGACTGTTTTCCTTTGTTTCTGGACGATGCTTTGACTCCCAATTTAATCAGTCGAAATCGTCGATGATCCGGAGTCTCGGATTAAAGTTTTGGCAATTTGACGATGAAAAGAGTCTGTTTAGCCTGATGCATGACGCACAAAATATTTGGACTTCGGATGGGAAGGATTTGATTATATTTTGCCAAAAATTTCCTGTCAAAGATTCAGCATGATGCATTTCTACATGCTCGAATTGCAAATGATGCAAAACGATGTTTAATCAAATATAGCTTCCCATGCAGATGGCCTTTGAGAGGTAGCTGGCTTAACAGTGTCACGCTAGCCCGTCGTGCCAGCTGGCAGGGATCGCAATGTGAACGTTGTACACTGTGTTTGAGGTCGACTTTCATCAACTGAATGGATGATGTACCCAGAAGGACGCATTGAAGCTTGTGTTTTGTATCTTAGACCATTTCCAAAAAAAAATGAGTCAGATGACAATTTATTCTTTGTCAATTGCAAAGGACACAAGTCTTTACCGCCTGCGGGGAATTTGATGAATATTTTTGTTATACATACAAGTAAGATGCAGTGAAAAACGCCACTCGGGTGGAGATCGTGCAAGGCAGCGTGGTGCTACTCTTAAAGCCCAATTCACAAGACTAAAAAACCAACCTGGGTTCGACCCAGGTTCAAGTTGACCCAACTTAATTTTGCTTGCGTGTAAACACTACAGGCTTAACCTCGGTTAAATTCAACCTATCTCTAGAGATGGGTTAAGTTAAACCGAGGTTAAGGTTGGGTACGTAATGTTTACGCGTAAAAAAATCAACTTGGTTAATTTGAGCCTGGGTTGAGCCCAGTGTCGGGTGAATTGGGATTTAGTTCAGCGATCTCGTTAAACACTGATTTTAATTTTGAATAAAGCGTGATCATGCATACTGGGCTGTGTTCCAAGAGTGGCCAAGCTTGTGAACGAACATCTGAGCTTGCGAACGTCTCACAACAAAACACGAAAAATGATAAGACATTATAAGTGCGAATTAAAACCTAACTAAAAACCTAGCTTGCTCGCTACTGCATGCATAAAAACCGCATAAGACTTTATGTGCTATATAAATGCATTTATAAAATAAATGTCTGATCTGTTAGGAAATTGCGATGGACGCTTGGAGACTGAATATACAAGCTTGTGAATGAACATCTGAGCTTACACAAGTTTTCACATAATTAGAAACGAAAATAAAGAGATTATTTTTTATAAGGCGCAGAAGTTCAGCGACGTGAATTCTAACAACCGTGTGAGTCTTTGTGTTAGAAGTGCGTTCGAAAACAAATGCTTGGATCTGTTAGGTAATGGTGATGTTTTAAACTTGAACATAAAACGATAGTTCGACGAAATGTTTTTTTATGTAAAAATCATATGCTTGAGGTTTATAATCAAACAAGAATCCGCATTTTGACGACAGCGCGCGCATATGAATGGGATTATAACGTTCAACTTTTCGATTTGGATTTCCCACTTGGGTTTTCCATTAGATTTCAAATTTCACCCTTCGACTCTCGGAGTTCACTCAATTACAGATTTCGCTCTAACAATCACGAAATGAAAACCGAACTTGAATGACCACACCTGCTTCTGAACAAATGAATTTTGTCCTGAAAGGTGTAGATACAAAGTTAGACACAAAGGTAGACACAAAGTTAAACATAAAGGTGGACATAAAGATAGACATAAAGGTAGACATAAAGGTAGACATAAAGGTAGACACAAAGGTAGACATAAAGGTAGACATAAAGGTAGACATAAAGGTATACATAAAGGTCGATATAAAGGTCGATATAAAGGAAGACATAAAGGTAGACATAAAGGTAGACACAAATGTAGACACAAAGGTAGACATAAAGGTAGACATAAAGGAAGACATAAAGGAAGAAATAAAGGTAGACATAAAGGTAGACACAAAGGTAGACATAAAGGTAGACACAAAGGTAGACATAAATTAGACACAAAGGTAGACACAATAGTAGATATACAGTTAGACAGAAAGGTAGACACAGAGACAGCCAAACGGAGGTCTTCTTCAAATAAGAAAGTAGAAAATAATGGTCAAGTAAAAATTACTCTTAATTTTAAACAGGAATACAGTACTTGGATGACGTTGGCGAGATACGACTGCCTGTGATTTAATATAGAATTAAACATCCGTCAGTTGTTGCCGACTATTAAATTTAAGAGCTAGAGAGAGCAATAAAGTCAAATATTTGTCAGCTCAGCGATAACACAGGTTATGGCTTACGACTCCGATATAGGTTGACAGCATTTTCGCCTCATGTGGTTCGAAGGGGCAGATGTGCGAGCCTTGCGCTTTGCTCTTTTTTTCCCGACAGGGTGTGGATCATCTCTTTGCCAATTTTCATCTATTTGTCGACATAAAGTTAGACGTATAGATTTTAGATCTTGAATTGAACATGGGAAGATCCTCCGATTAAGCTCTCGACGATTCAAACTTTCGCACTCGATAAATATTAAAAGACGAGACTCATGTCCGATATGAACTATCCTAGTTTCAAGCATCGTTCAAAAAAAGGCAACTCTGTTGCTACATTTGAGTGTACTTCAAAGCAAAGTCGTGGCTGATTTCTCAAGCTTTTTCACAAGCAGGTTAAAGACGAGCAAAATCGCATTTTTCAAAAAGATTACCTGTAATTGTCACATTTTTTAGAATTTACAGTTTTAGGGGGCGAAGCCAGCTAGAAAATCATATAAAAAAAATCGTTTCTACAACAACACTGACCTTAAGATCGACTATAATTCACAAAGAAGACAGTTACGACTATTTGAAACCAGTGATAAGAGTTTTTCTTGTCCGCACACGTTCCGGGCCTGTCCCAATCTTCCTGCCCACGGATTTTTTCCAACAATGAAATGAATCGTTTGTTCGTGCCGTGTTGGCAAGAACAGGTGATTAGGGCTTTAATCATAAAATCATTACAAAAATGACGGGTTTTCGATTTTCAATAACCTTATGCAAATCGCATCTGCTTATGCGAGTGTTTGGTGAACTAACATCAATCACAAATTCAGATGAAGGCCCTTGATTCAATTGACGCGCGCGAAAAAATCAGACCGAGAAAATTACAAAAAGTTGTTCATTCGCCACGGTCCTTGACACTTAGAAACGACACAAATATCAAATTGCGCACAAAACAAAAAAAGGTGAAAAATTACTTACGCACGGGACGTCCATGTGCGTTGTCCTACTGACGAAATGTCGAATGGAATGCTTCGAGGTCGCTCCTTGTAGGGCTATTCCCTCCCATCATATGAATTAAATGTTAACTTACATTAGGCACATGCAAAGGAGCAATATTTTTCAAGCCTTACACTCATCGAGCATCTGATGTTTGAAAATTATTGTAACAATCAGATACTTGTTGCGCTTGTGACGATTTGGATTTCGGCATCATTAAAATGGTCGACATCGTAAGTTTGCCTTGTGGTTGCGGAGGGAAAGAATGATTCCCGTCAAAAAAATATCGACGATGTATGTAGCTACAGGGCGTATCAAAAAAGAAGGCTATTAGAAATTAACCTATTGTTCTAATTTCAATGTTCCGTCACATTTAGATGAATGAAGAAAGATCTTTGTATGAAATTTCAATGCCTGTCCAATTGTTGTGCATTGAGCGCTGCATGTTTCGTTTAGCTACACTATTTAACTAGTGACCTAAAGAAACAGTCCATAAGGGTTTCCTGTAGATCTCTAGCTCTTTAGTATTAGAAATCATTATTAGAAATGCAAATAGATGATTTTGATAAGAGAAAAAAATATTGATTGATTGATACCGTTAAGTCTATTTCCGAAGGTCTTTTTTTATACACCCAGTATGACAAGCCCACGTGTTGTGTAAGTATCGTCGGCTACGTGTGTATGTATTACGTATCTTATATTACAAGCTCAAAATCTTTCCTGTTCTTGGGAATTTAATATACCTTCTGAAAGTTAAGTCTGATCAATAACATACCGGCGGGATTCGTAAGCGACTACGCAATGAAATTTCAACCATTGGCTGATTTCAAAATGTCTTCTTTTTTGATACACCCTGTTTAGTTCGAGTTTTGTACATTTCAGACCAAAAATTCCACGAAGCTGGATTCCACGTAGAAGGTCCAAGTTACAAGTGATCTGATTGATCTTGAAACTTGGTTTCATAAATGTATTCTAGTTTTAGAGTAAATGGTTTGAACCCGGGAGTATCGTTATATGTTTGTAAATGATGATCGTCCAGGTTAATAAAGTCCTGAGAAGGACTGTTTTTGTTGTTGTTGACTCTAGGTTGATACTAGGAGGCAACATTTTCTACCATCAACCACGTCACAACAAAGGGAACTCTGTCCTTGTTAAGTAAAGCATCAGTAAATATACCTAACAATTCTAGTTCTCGTTATGCAATGTGACGTCACAAGTTAGATAAATCGGGCAAAGCAAGAGCCCCAAGATCTCAAAAATTAAAAGTGATATGCATAAACTGGTTTAGAATGTCCATTGTCATTTTAAAATATCTCTTCAATAAAAGTATTACTCGGATAGCAAAACTTTCGATGCATAGGCACTTTAAATATTCTTTAGAAATTTCTAACCAAGAACGTTGTTCTTAGAATCTACAAGAAGCTATTATTCTGAAGTAAACCCCATATCCACAACTGCAAGCATCTTTATCATCTTAAAAAACTCATCTTCACATCGTAACAATGTTCTCGTTCTTTTTATTATGATACAAAAGAAAATGGTTGCTACCGCTCGCAGGAGTCTTTACATCGTGCACGCTCCATGAACAGACTCGCACAAGCTGGGGGTTACTATTGACACGATTAAACTATTCGAACAATTCAAGTCTATCGTCAAGACAAGAAACATGTTTTTTTTTAAAACAAAATATGCACGATAGCAAGTTTTTCGTACAGGATCCGATTGTGATTGCACTCACAATGCGGCCAATCAACAGGATTCGCGAGCGTTTCTCTCTCATTTATATATAAATATACTTATAGGAAGTTTTGTTTGTTTGAATCTCCGTAAGTACAGTGCTCGATGTTTAAGAGCAGAGCGTAAATATTGATAAGAAGAAGAAAATACACAAAAACTACAATTTCATCCCGACAAGCCTGTTTCGTGATTTCTCACTCTTCAGGGGATAATATTAAATGAATACAAAAGCATGTGCTAGATTATATATACAAGAGGAAGTTAGGGTAAAAACTAAGAATTACAAAATATGTTGAGTGTATTGTTACAAATTGGATAAAAGTGCCTTGTGTCTATGGCGACAAGAGGAGATAAGTTCGTTACGTTTGTTGAGTGATGATAGTTGTGGTTGGTAGGTGATAAAGAATTTTTCTTTCAGGTATAGGTTGCATCTTTTGTTGGCGCTGTTGTACGGTTTACTGTGAGTGATGATGTTCCATGAGATATCGTGAGCGATGTTGTTGTCTTTTTGTGTCCAGATGTGTTTGCTGAGTTCGGTGGAGTTTCTTAGTTTTTTGTGGCGGAAAGAGATAGTATGGTTCCTGTGTCGAGTCCTAAATTCGTTTTCTGTAAGTCCGATGTAGGTCTCAGTTGTGTTAGTGTCCAAACGTTTAACAGTGGCTTGGTAGATGACAGATGATTGTAGGCAGTTTCCGTTAAGTGGGCAGTTTTGTTTTTGTCGGCAGTTGCATGTTTTAGTTTGTGTATTTTTGTCATTGATGGTGTCATTAGTATTGTCAGGTTCTCTCAATATGCGTTTGTTATGGTTATTAATAATATGTTCCATATTGTTCATGCAGCTGTAACTTACTTTAATTGTGTTGCGGTTACATAGTTTTCTGAGTTTGTGGTCTATGGGAAAGTGCTTGTCAATTAGCGAAATGAATTTGAAGCCGATGTTTGTGCTGACGTTCTTGCTGTATGGTGGGTTGTACCAGAGTATGTTATTTCTAAGTCTGTTTTTCCGTTTCGTAGTATCAATAAATATACTTATATATACACATAAGGATACAAGCATATGTTAGGGGATATCTTAGAAAATCCAAAAGTCCCTCTCGTATCCTTCCTTGACGTGATCCAGCAAGACATTTCGTCTCATCTCACAATATCTGCAATTCATGAGAAGTATGCGATTATTCTGTTGTTCGAAGTTCAATTAAGAAACAAAAGATGTTTACTGTGTTTGCACTGGGTAATGCAAACCGAGAAGACCTTTGGGAGAACTCGAGAGCAGATCAGTGCAAGCCGAGAGCGAATGTCGAGACTTGCACCTGCTCGAGAGATCTCCCAAACGTCTCCAAGGTTCGCATGAGTCAGCTCAAACACAGTAAACATCTTTGATAAATCAACAATATCCAGAAGCATATAAATCGAAAGCACATGTTTTAACATTACCATTTAACAAGCATTCACGATTCTTTAGTAAATTCTCCTTACATGATTAAACCCTCTCGAGACGGACTTTTTCAAAAGTTTGCGCACATTTCGTTTGGTGATTCGTGCTGCACTGCAACATCCGTCTCAAGAGTTAATCGACTGCGATCAGACAGGTTTGCGCAGTCTTATGCAAACAAGTAACGTGACCGACCTGTTTGTTTACTCGTCTTCGGCTAAAATCTTTCCTCATTCACTGACCGTAAAAACAAAAGCTTTCCGAAGAAACGAATCATGACAATGTTCATAAATTTACAAAACATGTCTACTTAAGTCGACCAATTAAAACAAAGTTCTCGGTGCTAAAAGATTGATATCGATATGGAAATATCTTTGAAGATTAACAAAAACCCGCTAAGCCGTAGTTTCGAGTGATTGGTTGCTTCTCGTCCAATCGGAGACGTCCTTCTCACCTGTACTTATCTTGGACCTTTTGCTTTATACAACTAAGGTTTTCCGAACTGATATCGCGCTCCAGATACTCCGAGAGCGTCTCCGTCGCCATTTCGAGATCTTTCTGATTGTCCTACAACGAGCGGCAAGAAAAAACAAGAAATTTTCGAATTGCTCGAAACATCTCCCCAAGAAGAAAAATTTGATGAAAGAAACTCAAAAATTACACGCACAAGTGATGCATCAGGAATAATTAATTAGTGGGTGGGAGGGAGGGGTGCTCTTGTTTTTATTATATTTCGACAATATTTGGCGACCCCCTCTCTTTCGTTCACAAATGTACAACATTTGACACACCTTCATCTCCTTTGGTAAACAAACGTATTTCGCAACTTCAAATTTTCCTAACTTGCAGTCTAAAAACCTCGGACGAAAATCAGGTTTTATGTTAAAAGCGATGTTTAAAGCTAAGCCTACTGATGTCCGTGAACTTAGGCCATTGTATGTAAATCCTTTGAAATGCAGAATTCTTTAAAAATGTGCGAATAGCATGTTTACTTCGGGAAGCAAAATTACAATCCAAAACGTCATTCACACGAAATGACAGCTCAGCACACCCTCCATTGTACCCAAATGTACGTATTTATCATACACACTCTCTACCTGCGTGCATATAGATGCGAAGTAAATGGACAACTCGCGGAAATGTCTATTGTACCCAAATGTACGTATTTATCATACACACTCTCTACCTGCGTGCATATATATGCGAAGTAAATGGACAACTCGCGGAAACATCTATTGTACCCAAATGTACGTATTGATCATACACACTCTCTACCTGCGTGCATATATATGCGAAGTAAATGGACAACTCGCGGAAACATCTACTGTACCCAAATGTACGTATTTATCATACACACTCTCTACCTGCGTGCATGTTTCGACGTACCTCAAATATCACGGCCTGGTTATTCTTTCGAAGGTAGAAAGCAAAAACGTAGGTATACTTCAACGTGTTACGACACAGGGAAAGAACTTTGACAGCTTTCTTAAGAAATTGAACCTGCGTTTGATCAAAAAAATAAAACCACGATAAGGAAGTCTTTCCCTGCAGTTATGGTTTGACGAAAGTCCGAAGCATACTGTACCTCTACCTCAGACATGTTAAATTTTTGCATTTCGTTCATTTTTGACTTCACTTTCGTATCGAGCTAGAAGAGCACAAATACAACAGGTCAACTCGAGTTCCCTTGCTCCAGTTTTCAGACTCTAGATTTCAAGCAGGGAAGATCGATGTCAAATTATATTTTGGTATCGAAAACATTGCACATCTGACTTTGGACCTCGACGAAGGATTAGTCTTCACGCAGATGGATCCACGATAGTTTTTCAAAGCTGGGGTTCTCAAGTTTGGATTAGACTTCAAGTTTGGATTAGACTTCAAGTTTGGATTAGACTTCAAGTTTGGATTAGACTTCAAGTTTGGGTTAGACTTCAAGTTTGCATTAGACTACAAGTTTCGATTAGACTTCAAGTTTGGATTAGACTTCAAGTTTGGATTAGACTTCAGTGGTTATATTTTTCTATTCGTTCTCCATTAAACATTAATCACAATTGCTTAGGCTTGACTGTTCGGTATACTAGTATTTTGTATGAAAATTTTTACATTCCTCTGCACCCCTTGTGGCACACCCCTCTACACCCCCTCTGGCACACCCCTCTCGTAAGGCCATTTTAATTCTTTATCAGCTCATCGTGCACCACAGATTCGTGTTTAGTCGGTAAAAAATACTCGTAGCGAAGAGATAAACGATTTTCTATAGACGTCATTGTGCCATCTGACTCTGAAAACACACCTAAGTACAGGTTGGTGTAAAACTCGACATCGCAGGCTTGCGCAACGCAAGTTGAAAATCATTTCCCCCAAACCGCTCACGCAGTAAGGTAAGCTTCAGAAACACGAAATACATTATAAAAACATACGCCAAGTATATGAATAGGAGTAACTCCTTCATGGCTTCGTCCGTATAAAAATCACTGGGAATAAAGAATTTCTGGCCATGGTTCAGGCTCACTATCTTAATATATCTTACTTTTTTAAAATCAAACAGCGGTAGGCATCCTAACCTTTCCAACAATCTGATTGGCTGTAACAGCGGGCGGAATTTTACGATACCCGACCGCAGTCCGGACCTGTTGCTAAATTCTTGACCGAATCCCATAGCTAAATATGCTTGAAAAAAGAGTTGCTTCCTTTTGTTTTGTTTTAAAAAGGAAATTGTCGGCAACTTTTGATCGCAATAATCTATTTCACGCGAGTTTGATGTTTTCCAAAATAAAACGAATAGCAAAGTTTTGATTGTTTACTTGTCAACCATTGTTGAATCTGACTGCACAAACAAATATGATTGTTGCCTTTAGCAGAAAAAAATATCCGTTATTCATTGTCTAGGTAGGTCCATATAGAAAATATTTCCCCTCAGTCTCAAAAACATCTCTTGGCCAGCGTCCTCGGCGCTTTTGAAACTCGGGAAAATGTTTTCCATGCGGACCTCCCAGCCAGTAAATAACATACATGTCTTTGCATTTCTCTACATCGGCCTTTCATATTCTACTGTTGTGATTCGCTGCGACCTGTGCACGTGCCTCTATTTTGATTGGCTAATCATGGGCCGATTGTACGAGCACAACGAACACGATCTCACAATACCTCAAATTCCAGCTTTGCGCTTTGAATATGGTTCATATAACGATTACAGTAGAAAAGGTATCTTTCGAGAGACGATCTGGATTTCTGAAAAAATGAAGAAATGGAAACCGGGAATTGAATAATCGTACGGCGGTCGTAGAAAATATCACCGCTGGTGAAAATTCCCAGTCTACGAAAATTCTTCATCGCAAAAAATGAATAACTCACGTTTTGTGCCTCTCTCGCATTTTGCGAGTCTTTCTCGTCGTAACGATTACAACTGTACCTAAGATTGGAGAAAGATATCGACATTTTAAGCTTTCATATTCTTTGAAGACAGTTAGGGTCCGTCATCGGGCCGCTTTGTCGAAATTTCATTTCTTTCAAAAAAAGTGGAAACATCCTCACGCGAAAGTAAAAGCTCGTACGTTCTTGAGAAACAAAACATGCAGTTGGACAGCGAGTGAAAAAGACTTAACAACAGATCTCTTACCAATTCGATCCATGAGGTTCCCAAGGACCAAGGCACACCCAGCAAAAGTCTGCCTAAATGATTGAAAACACTGCTCTTACAATGTTTGATTGACGTCATTAATAATCGCACGCGGTGAAACGATGACCGTTTGTATTCGAGAATGGCATGTTTCCCACAAGAAATGGAAAAATTTGCATTACTATTTGCTTTCAAAGTTTGCAAGGTGAAAAGAGTAACCGCTTTCAAGTTTTTTCTTCTTTCGCGCAATGCAAATAAGGAATTCGTTTTACCTTACAATTATTGTTACGACACACCATATGATTACATCCACCATTTTTCTCGATCGTTACTTGACATTTTGGACATTCCTGTTGAAAAGGAAAAAATGTAGTTGAAATACAGTGGAAATACAGTGGAAATACAATAGAAATAAAGTGGAAATACAGTGGAAATATACTGGAAATACAGTGGAAATACAGTGGAAATACAGTAGAAATACAGTAGAAATAGAGTGGAAATAGAGTGGAAATAGAGTGGAAATAGAGTGGAAATACAGTAGAAATAAAGTGGAAATACAGTAGAAATAAAGTGGAAATACAGTAGAAATAAAGTGGAATTACAGTAGAAATATAGTGGAAATAGAGTAGAAATATAGTGGAAATACAGTAGAAATAAAGTGGAAATACAGTAGAAATACAGTGGAAATACAGTGGAAATAAAGTGGAAATACAGTAGAAATATAGTGGAAATACAGTAGAAATATAATGGATATACAGTGGAAATACAGTGGAAATACAGTGGAAATAAAGTGGAAATACAGTAGAAATATAGTGGATATACAGTGGAAATATAGTGGATATACAGTGGAAATAGGTGGATACAGTGGGAGCAAAACCATGACAATACGACAGATTTAAAATTATAATAAAACAAATTCGAAGAAACAAGACATCTTGAGATTTGCAAAATGAATCAAAACAAGACGAAGTAAGCTGTAAATTTTCGACTTTATTTCAAAGTCATCCTCAGACATGGTAACACTTGAGTCACCCACTTATTTCCTTGCTGCGGGGATGACTTTGAAATAAAGTCGAAAGAACAGTTTACTAAAATCTTGTTACATTCATATTTCTCAGATGTCTTCTCTTCGGAATTTGTTTTATACAATACAGTAGAAATACAGTGGAAATACACTAGAAATAAAGTGGAAATACAGTAGAAATATAGTGGATATACAGTGGAAATACAGTGGAAATACCGTAGAAATAAAGTGGAAATACAATAAAAATACAGTGGAAATCATTGAGTTCTATAATAACTGGAGCGGCTAACTTTACTGGGGCGAGGACGCCAAAAAAATGGCGGCCAAAGGACGTATTTCCGCTGAAATGATCGCTTTGCAGAAAAATAATATTCTCGACCTCCCCCTGGTGTCTATAGTAAATTAGAAAGAATTTTTTCAAAAACAAACACGATATTACGGAATATGGATATCGTTACTTCGGATGTTGTTGGATGTCGTAGTTTCCACAAAAAGGAACATATCGCTTCTCACAGGAGAGATAGTTGTTTGTTTTATTGAGTCCGTAACGCATTGAAAAGCCATAAAATACATATTAAAGATCGTATTTTGTAAGACTGACTTGAACGCCAAATATACTGATGTTTTCCTAGTTTTGTTTATAAAATTCTGCATACTTTTCTGTCATTTGTTAATGCATGAAATCGTAAATTTACCCATTTATTTACAAAATAGTTTCCCTAAAGCAAAAAAGACCCTGCACACATTTTGCTCTGTGAGTAAGTATCAAAAAGAAATGATCAGCCCCAACGGTACCCATGATTTGGAGCAGAGCTTGTTATGTTCTATTTGCTGACAACATGCATTATTGTATGCTTTTTTAAAGAAAAGTTTTTCACTTTTCGAAGCTTTTCTACAAATTTTTTGCTTCTTTTTTCTTATCATGAGATTGATGATATAGAGGTAATATAATCCAATAACTTTCTAATTTCTAAAAAGCTTTTAAGCTTCTAGCATAAAAGTACACTATAGGTATGTAATTCATTTGGTTTTATTGCCTTGCTATGACATATCTACTTGCACTTCATCATTCTTGTATGAACAAAACACCAGATGTGGATACTCAGAGAACAAAATGCACTACCAACTGCTTATGAAATTTATTATTGAGGTGAAAACTGTGTTAATCATTCAAATTATAGTGCACTTTATTGCAAATATAGGAAAACAAAACAAAGTGAAAAAGAAAGGTAGAAGTATTAAAACTACAAATGAATTATAAACACCATTGAAAGCATAAGTGTTTTGATGATTGTTTGCATTTTGCCCAATTCATATATCAATACAACAAAATCAAAATGTGCTACAACTTTACAAGTATTTGATGCAGTTGCACTTCAGAACATCACAAAAAGGTTACTTAAAGTAATTTCTATACAATATTGTTTGTTTTCATTTACCAAACCTATGCAGACTTGAGTCTTTTTGAAATTTCATATGAAACTCAATTACAGAAAATCCGTAAATATCCAGAGATTTAATATGTACTTTTTTAAAGAAACAAGTAAAAATCCTACAATTGTGGCGAAAAAAGCCATAGCCCATTGCATGAAAAAAAGCAAAATAGCAATGATAACAAATAAGCTAACTTCTCTCTCGTGAACCGTTGAGATGAACTATGATATACTTTTTTTTATAGACTTTCGCACAATCTGCGCGAAGTGCTGGTTCACTGCTCTCGAGACTTCACTCGAACGATGGGACTGTATTTTGACAATTGTATTTAACACTTGATAGGATATTTACAGTGGTTTGTGCACGATTTATGATACGGAGTTCAAACGTTGGTTCTTTGCGACACGTATGTTATTGAACGTTGAGATTACGGCCAACCGTCAATCTTTAAACTTGAAACTTATTCAAACGCTATCGCCTCCTGCGATACGACTTCCAACTTATCACTTTTGTACTTCTAACAACGTCTGTTTTTCCGAATGCCGAACCAACGCTTGCAAGCTCTTATTTATATTATAATTATTAGGATTTGATTTTTGGGCGTTTGCATGACTTGCAACCCGCCATTCCGTTTATAGAGTACCGTCATTACCTACATCCTACCGCAATGCCACATTGGGTAGAAAAAGTGTTCCTAAGTATTTTGAATTTACGTACAGGATTTCCACTGAAACCGCAGTTTAGTAACTATATACGTATTTGTCTATTAATATATGACTTAACATTTTACAGTTTATATCTTAGTATCAAAAATATGACACAGTCACACACTACATAACATAACATGACAATTTACAACATAGACTAAAGAGTTTAATCGATCAAACAAGTTTGACGCTGGTAAGAAAACGACGCACATCTGCATTCATACATGTGTAGCCGACATATATTATAGCTCTTTCGTCAATAGTAGTTATAAATGCATCCTCGTAGGAGCAGATAACTTACAACCACAGTTGACTCGCTGTTATGAATTTAAGGTTTTTACCTTGATTTTCATCAAAAAATTGCTTGCCGAATCCCAAATACACACATACATTTTCCTCATTCTTTCCTCAGGAGGGAGTGGGAAATTGTGAAATTTTCAGAAAAGCGGTCAATTCCGGTAAATCTCAGCGGCAAAGGACAAAATCCGCCATTTTTTTGGCGTCATCAGATATCTAAGGCCGCGCTTGAGATAGCCGCTCTACTTATTATAGAACTCAATGGTGGAAATACAGTGGAAATACAGTGGAAATACAGTGGAAATACAGTGGAAATACAGTAGAAATACAGTGGAAATACAGTAGAAATACAGTAGATATAAAGTGGAATACAGTGAAATACGGTGAAATGGTGGATATACAGTTAGATACAGTGGAATACCGTGGAAATAAAGTGGAAATACAATGAAATGCATAAATACATTGGAAATACCGTGGAATACAGTGAGAATATAGTGGATATACAGTGAAATACAGTTAGAAATACATTAAAAATACAATTGAATAGAAGTAGATACAATGAAATACAGTGGAATACAATGGAAATACAATGAAATACATTAGAAATGCAGTGGAAATACATTAAATACAATGGAATACATTGAGAATGCAAGGAAATACATTAGAAATACAGTGGAAATACAGTAGAAATATAGTGGATATACAGTAGAAATACAGTAGAAATACATTAAAAATACAGTGGAAATAAAGTGGAAATACAATAAAAATACAGTGGAAATACATTAGAAATACAGTGGAAATACATTAGAAATACAGTGGAAATACATTAGAAATACAGTGGAAATACAGTAGAAATATAGTGGATATACAGTAGAAATACAGTAGAAATACATTAAAAATACAGTGGAAATAAAGTGGAAATACAATGGGAACGTGAAAAGAGCCCATCCCGACATTCGAAACAAATTCAGAAACTGCGTTTATTTCATTTTTTTATCCAATATTTGCACAACACGAAGCATGGATATTGCAGTCTCCATTTTTACAAAAAATATTTAAAGAGATCGCTCAACCTCGGCATACGTATGTACGCAGCTAAGCCACAACCCAATGTTTAAAAAACGAACATTTTACGGTGTGCGTGCATAAACGAATGCATAAGAATTTTCCGATCTACCTTCGTGTTCGCAGATATCCAATTCGCCGTTTCGCTATTGTCACAAGCGCGGGACTCCGTGATTCGCTTCGACGTTTGCTGTTGATGGCAGTTATGAGGACAGTGAGTGGAAGGTTTACAGATATTGTTTTACATGATATGCTTATTAAATTGAGAAATGAAAAACATGATTTAAGGTGTTTCACCAAAAACATTACTCGCAATAAGCTTGGTCAAGTTACTACTACCATGACAGTAGAAATACAGTAGAAATACAGTAGAAATAAAGTGGAAATACAGTAGAAATATAGTGGAAATACAGTAGAAATATAGTGGCTTTACAGTGGAAGTACAATGGAAATACAGTAGACCAAAAACCATGACCAGCCGACAATTTAAAGAAGTATAGTATAAAACAAATTCCGAAGAAGCAAGACATCTTGAGATTGCAAAATATGAATCAAAACAAGAATATGAAATAAATATGAATATAAATAAAAATATGAATCAAACAAGACGAGAAGTAAACTGTAAATTTTCGACTTTATTTCAAAGTCATCCTCAGACAGCAAGTATACCGCAAGTCACCCACTGCATTTCCTTGCTGTCTGAGGATGACTTTGAAATAAAGTCGAAAATTTACAGTTTACTTCTCGTCTTGTTTTGATTCAGCAGAAATAAAGTGGAAATACAGTAGAAATATAGTGGATATACAGTGGAAATACAGTGGAAATACAGTAGAAATACAGTGGAAATACAATAAAAATACAGTGGAAATACAGTGGAAATACCGTGGAAATAAAGTGGAAATACAATAAAAATACAGTGGAAATAAAGTGGTAATACAATGGGAACGTGAAAAGAGCCCATCCCGACATTCGAAACAAATTCAGAAACTGCGTTTATTTTATTTTTTTTGTCCAATATTTGCACAACACGAAGCATGGATATTGCAGTCTCCATTTTTACAAAAAATATTTAAAGCGATCGCCCAACCTCGGCATACGTATGTACGCAGTTAAGCCACAACCCAATGTTTAAAAAACGAACATTTTACGGTGTGCATGCATAAACGAATGCATAAGAATTTTCCGATCTACCTTCGTGTTCGCAGATATCCAATTCGCCGTTTCGCTATTGTCGTTGCACTTTTTCATCCATTTTTTCAACAACTTCAATAGAAAATCAACGAATAATGCAACACTCGCTATTCAGAAATGTCATGTTAATAAGTTGACTAAGCTTATTGCGAGCAATGTTTGTAGTGAAACACCATAATCAAAAATAAGTAGACCATTCACTTTTTAAACTAGCTATACGGGCACAAGCGCGGGACTCCGTGATTCGCTTCGACGTTTGCTGTTGATGGCAGTTATGAGGACAGTGAGTGGAAGGTTTACAGATATTGTTTTACATGATATGCTTATTAAATTGAGAAATGAAAAACATGGTTTAAGGTGTTTCACCAAAAACATTACTCGCAATAAGCTTGGTCAACTTATTACTAACATGACTTCAAAAGAATGCATAAGATTCACGGTGATGGTATGTTATCAACTGACGTCAAAGCGGCCATGTTCTTAGATTATTTAAAACATCTGCTGCTCAGTAGAGTACGAAACACTGAACTGAATGAAACTGGAATGCAAGCTGCCGTCAAAACCTGAAGCTAGCAAATTGACTAGTCCCAATCCTTCCACGCACGGCCAAAAAAAGTTCATTCAAAAACAAGCTGCAATGCGGTGTATTTGACCGCGTGTCTGGCTTCATATGGGTAGCTTAGGAGTAGCTTAAGCATTACAGTTATGCGGATAGTTTATGGCATGAAATCAACATAATTCTTTTCACTTTAGACCAGTTTCTCTACCAACATGGCTGCCAGCGAAAACACTCTGTGGTCACACCGGAGTGGCCAGCCTGCAAATTTGGTCTTGCCGTGTAAAATTTTCTATTTTCGCTAACTGCAAAAACAACAGACTTCCAAAGAAATCAATGATTACAATGTCCTGAAACTTACATAGCAGGACCAACATTCGCGAGCTGCCTGTTATTGTGTCTAAACTCATATAAACTTACACTACAGTTCACCGGTTCGTGAATGGGCTCTCCGCAACCAAAGCTAAATAATGTACGAAAAAAAGATCAACAAACCAAACAAACTCTGTTTGAAATAGCAGTAAAAACTTAGAGTGCCTAAGAAAGAAAATAATTTTCTTTAGGCTGGATTGATTTCTCATAAGCTTTACCAAAATTCGTGGCCACATAAGCACGTCACTGCATTTTGTCCCGTGTAGCTTGCTTTTACAGCATTCATACAATCAGGTGCTCGACACCATTTTATTAAACGGTTATTCTAAACAAAAAGAATCGCCTGTTTGTGTAAAGACAGTTCGCGGTCTCCGTTGTTCATTCATCACTACATACACCGACACACGTCATCTTAGTTTATATTTTAGATAGTGTAAAGACTGTTCTTGTTTTCTGTTGTTCATTCATCACTACCTACACTGACACACGTTATCTTAGTTTATATTTTAGATAGTGTAAAGACTGTTTTTGTTCTCTGTTGTTCATTCATCATTACCTACACTGACACATGTTATCTTAGTTTATATTTTAGGTAGTGTAAAGACTGTTCTCGTTCTCTCTTGTTCATTGATCACCACCTACACTGACACATGTTATCTTAGTTTATATTTTAGGTAGTGTAAAGACTGTTCTCGTTCTCTCTTGTTCATTGATCACCACCTACACTGACACATGTTATCTTAGTTTATATTTTAGATAGTGTAAAGACTGTTTTTGTTCTCTGTTGTTCATTCATCACCACCTACACTGACACACGTTATCTTAGTTTATATTCTAGGTAGTGTAAACACAGTTCTTGTTCTCTGTTGTTTATTCAACACTTTCTACACCAAGACATTTTATAAAGTATGCATTTTGGGGGGTGTAAAGACTGTTTTCGTCGTTAGTTGTTCAAAGTCAACACAATGAAACAAAGTAAGAGGAGACATTACTTACAACAACAAAACTTTTTGCTATGAGATGATGATACTTTCTTTTCACTATTTGATCACTCAAAATTCTTCTACAAAAGAAGAACGACGTAAATGATTCGACAATAGTATAAACTGGGGTGATGCTGCCATAATTAGCGCGTAGGTAGCACAAGGGACGGCATGGTATCATAATGGATACGGTGCGACCTGGTTGGGGATGGGAAGATTAAGATGGAGCAATAGGAGTAAATAGAGTAGAATATTCGTCATTGCTACTTAAGTTGATTTTAACATCTTTTTTCAATATCCTTGTCACCATCATCACCTAATCGCCTTTGGCAAAACTATGACACGCTCCCCCGCGGATAACTTGGGGAAGCGTGTCATAGTCGTTTCATCCACAATATCATTAAGATCAAAATCAATAAACATAGTCCAACATACCCTACAAAAGTTTCATTCGCTAAAATATCACAATTTACTGCCGGACAAGCAATATTCTGCAAGAGAAGAAAATGGAGTTAGCGGTCAGACTTCAACTACTCGCCACCAAGGGTGGGGGGGGAGAGCGCAAATACGCCCCCTTTCTTTTAAATTGACAGCTGTATAAGTTACTTTTTTTGGCATGTCCTAAGTGACTTCCCCCCCTTTCACAACAGATCCAAATTGTGGATGTACTCACGTTCGCAAGTCACTTTCCCGAGAAGGGTTGCAATCACGTTAACAGTTTTGAAATCTGATATTTTACACGAAACTTTAAAAAATTGAAAGGCCAAATTGTGTTCGACACGAGACATTTGTACGCAAGACATAAATTCCATTGATTCTTCCTGGGAGACTATCATAACGACAGACGATAAATCGGATTTTTTGACCCATGCGAAAGATGAAATGTCAAACAATGCACAGTCCACATCGTGTGCAACTGACTGCTGTATATTTAACATCATTACTGCTTGGCCATTTCCTATTGGTCATCACAGTAGAGGAAATATACAGTAGGTCCACATCGTGTTCAACTGACTGCTGTATATTTAACATCATTACTGCCTGACCATTTCCTATTGGTCATCACAGTAGAGGAAATATACAGTAGGTCCACATCGTGTTCAACTGACTGCTGTATATTTAACATCATTACTGCCTGACCATTTCCTATTGGTCATCACAGTAGAGGAAATATACAGTAGGTCCACATCGTGTACAACTGACTGCTGTATATTTAACATCATTACTGCCTGACCATTTCTTATTGGTCATCACAGTAGAGGAAATATACAGTATGTCCACATCGTGTACAACTGACTGCTGTATATTTAACCTCATTACTGCCTGACCATTTCTTATTGGTCATCACAGTAGAGGAAATATACAGTAGGTCCACATCGTATGGTGTATATTTAATTTGACTACTGCCAGAACATTTCCTATTGGTCAAAAAAAGCAATTTACTAGCTGCCACAATGGTAATCACACGCGTATTAAGATATGCGTAACACATGAAAAAATTCAATGGAGTGGCTCTACTGTATACTGACTGTACTCTGACTGAGTTGCACAGTGAAATGATTCTATTGTTTATTTTTTATAGCTACTTTTGTATCTGTATTTTGTAGGCTTGCGCAGCATATTATTGTTCTTATGACTTCTGTTGGAACGTTGTCGCGCACACGAAGCGAAACAGTATCAGCTACTATCTTTGCACTTTGAGAATGAACACAATCGAATCGTGTTCGTGCGTACAGTCAATTTTGAGTTGACTGTCCGTACTCTTGCTTAATAAAAACAAACGTACGAGTCGTTCTCCACACTTCTGCTTTGAAAGTTTTCAAGCATTTGTAAGTTGTAACTTAAATACTATTTAAAAATTTCAACAATATTAGATAAGAGGGAGAGGGAGAGGACATGCAACAACTGGAAAAATCAGACATCGCAGTAAGCCTTCAAATTTTATAATTCACATTCATACATGGACAGTTCGGCGTCATGAAATCAACATAATTCTTTCCACTAGACGAGTTTCCCTAGCAACATGGCGGCCATCGAAAACACTCTCTGGTCACACTGGAGTGGCCAGCCTGCAAACTTGGTGCTGCTGTGCAAAATTTTCTGTTTTCGCTCACTGCAAAAACAACAGACTTCCAAAGAAATGAATAATTATAATATTCTGAAATTTACATAACAGGACCAACATTAGCGGGCAGGCTGACACACACCGCTGACACATTTAGACCGAACACGTTATGTCGCAGCGATCCCACTTTACTCACATGCGTACCTACCTCTTTTTGTTCGTCCATAATTTTCGACGTCAAATATTCCTTCCAGCAACGTAGGCAGAATTTATGACCGCATTCAAGACCTTCGAAGCTTAGCTATACGGCAAAAGAAAATACAACAGTTTAATTTCAAATTGTCGGCGGTAATTGGTCGGTTCCTTGTGGGAGTACGTTGCGCATTAAAGTTTTTAAATCATTTACAGTCTTCAAAAACATCCACAAAGATATATGGTCATAATGCATGCGGCGGTCCCTCAAGCGTTGAGTGACATTTTCTACGGCTTGTCAGTCTCGTTGCGGTGTAAACTATTATATATACCTATAATGGTTTAACGTTAAATGTATACTGGGTTAGCAATCACCTACTTAGCGGGAACGGTTGATTAAAACAACAAATCATCAAGCAATTTGATTCTGAATAGACATTTTGAAAGATCAAAATAAATATAGACGAAATGCACAGTTCACAATGACGTGCAGAAGCACATGCACAGCCCGGGAATTTTTGCATACCCCTGCAAATTTGAGCAAACCCCCCGGATGATCAGAAAGTTGAACATGCATTAAAATCAAATTTTCAATGGAATACGTATGAAAATATGCTAAGGTCAAGTAAGCAAGATAAGGAATTTCTCGGATACCCGTATAATTGTTTTGCTTTTGCAGGAAGCCGAAAACAATTGCAGTCAGCCTTAATAAGTTTAAATACAGTGGTACAAACTAGCTGTACTTATTCTTTCACGTTATTTATTCAAGCCTAAATGCTCGAAAATCATGGTTGGTTAATGTTGCAAAATGCTACGGGAGAAATCAAAATTTCACACTTTTCTTACGTGCGTAAGCAGTGACGTATCCAGCCCGCAAATTAGTTAATGCGATTTAAATTTCAGATCATTGGCATTATTAATTTCTTTAGAAATCTGTTGTTTTACAGCGAGAGCACACCTAAATATTTACACAACGGGGCCCGGTTGCACAAAGCCTGGATAGCGTTTTTTACAAATTTGAAAATTTGTCCTATCCAATGGATACGCGGGCTACGCCACTGTGCTCATGTTCTTTTCACCATAGTCTGCAGTAGGTGCGACTACCTAGATTCCCAACATCTGACAGTCGTGTTTTTAACTTAGTCAAATGCAGCTTATATTTCAACCCCTGGGAGGTGTCAGTCCCCACCCACACACACGCCCTCCCGTATTGCAAAGTCACAAGAGTGACATCATCAAATGCCCCTCCGATAAAAAACACACACAAACCAGAGAAGACATTTCTAGGCAGATATCGCACGCGATGGGGCCTGTGGACACTGAATTGGAGCGCGAGGAACGTTTATGTGCCGTGCTTGCACTTGTTTGGGACATCGGATTTACTAAATGTGCCTCGCGGAACAACGTTTCTTGATCACCACAGTAGAACCTACAAAATAACAATAAAAAGCGTGCGCTGATTGGTCTATAGTCGAGTTGGCACAAGCCTGCGCAAATCGATCTGAGCTCAAACGATTAAATCAATCAAAGAGAATTGTAAAATCAATCATAAATACATGCTAAAGGAAAAATTAAAAAACATCTGTTTTGAATTTATCTGTTTCGCATTATTGTTATTTTATGCAAGAAATAAAAGATGTTTTTCGAGTTAGCACTGGCTTATGCAAACCTTGGAGACGTTTGTGAGAACTCTCGACCTTCGGTCTCGGGCTTGCACTGATCTGCTCACAAGTTCACCCAAAGGTCTCCTCGGTTTGCATGAGACATTTGGGTGAACTTGTGAACTCCATGCGCAAGCACGGTAAACACCTTTTACTCAACTCAAATAGTGTTTGTCAAGATCTTGAAAACAGCAGTACTGAATGATTACTTGTTTCGTGTAGTACGGTCAACGACCTAATAAACGCCCAAGGCACTTATGTAGTAAACTCTAGCAAATCTAAGGATGGGATACGAGGCGTTGATAACACCTTAGAGTCAAAAAAAACTAAGTTTGTTGACTAAGATACTAGCAATGTATTTGGCAGTTTTTAAACGTATTTGCTATATAAAGTAAATTGTCTGAGCCCGGAAGTATCGTTAAATGTTTGTAGATGTGGATCGTCCCCAAGGTTAGTAAAGTACCTTACCTACTGAGAAAGACTGTTGCTGTTGATGCTGATCGACGTTTCGAAAACCTCAGCTGTAATCATCTTCTGAGTCAAGTCACCTGACTCAGAAGATGACCGCTGCTAAGGTTGTGCAAACGTCGGTCAAAATCAACAACAGCCGTCCTTCTCAGGACCCTACTAACCTGGACGATCTACATCTACAAACATATTTGCTTTAAAGTACCCCTATCAGCAAAAACTTCCATTAGCGATATGAAAACTTGGTGAATATCTAACGTATCGGTGAAAAAAAATTTTCAATTTGGTCAAATTGTCTTCTTGTTGTGGAGGTTTAAAGTTGCCTTTCAATGGATCTTGTCCGTCATGGCGTGGGGTCTGGGTCTAGCCAAATTCTGACGTCATCCAAGGTAGTCGATATATATATCATGTATTGAGGAATCCCTCGCATGACGTCACAAAGGTAAGTCGTTCCAGACTTTTCGAACGACGGACAAGCTCCATTAAAAGAAACATTTTTGCTAACTTTAAATAGCAATAAAAATGGAACGATTTGACAAACTTAAAAACTTTTTTCACCGATACGTTGAAAATCACACCTAAATTTAATATTGCAATAAAATTTTTTTGCCAAAAGGGGCACTTTAAATCTTGCGAACAGCTTAAGGTGTTATGCCTTCCAAAAGATTATTATACTGGATATAAATAAACTCAACATTGACCATTTGAATGAAGTACCACTGGCTGAGATGGGGGGGTGGTGGCTCATATATACATACATGCATAATTTACCATATAAAGTCCCTTGTTTTCTATGTACTATAACATGCATACTAGAATATAAGCCACCCCCCCTAACCAATCATCAATTTTCCTCTAGCACCGATATGCATTTTATAAAAATTTCTAGCTTACCGAGAAATTAAAACTAAATTACTCATGTTTATTGTCGATGCAAGATAGCTAGTCATGTGGTTGTCTGGATGTTTTTATTTTTCAAAAGGAAGTGATGAAGCGGGATGATTTTTCTGCGGAAAACTACGAACATTTCATGCCTGTTTCATTTGGCAAAGAAATGCAAAAAAACATCGAAAGATGTCCGACTTCAACAGCATTAAGTCCTTGCACAATTAAAGTAAACTAATACAGATCATGATCGTGATGCTTATCACAGAGTATGTACCTTTCAAGTAACTTTTCTTTATCCCATTTGAAATGACTAAGGAGTATCCTGGCAACCGGTCTCGACAGCTGAAAATAAACAAAACTCTGGTGAATAAAATTTCAACTAAAATTCATGACACCAAGGTTCGAGTCGATGTATACAAGATTTCGTTGTTGCACAAGATTTCAAATTGCATCGGAATGATTTCCAAACATTGTAAAAATTACTGAAATGTTTTATTCCTCACAACTGATTTGCAAATTTTCCTTCATTGTGTAATTTATTGAGCTCAGATCGATTTCCCACATTTGCACAGGCTAATGCAATCTGTTGACCAATCACTGCACACATTATATTGTTCTTATTTTATAATTCCTGTTAAAATGAATCGTGATTACAAATTATCAGCTTATGAATAAATGAATACGAGCCCCCCAGATTTCAATCTTTAGCAGTTCCTGACTAAGTGACTTCGCACTTCACAAAAATTGAAAATGTTTCCACATTGCTCATTGACATTTGCAGTCAAAGATAAATGCCTCAGAGACAAAGCCCTTCTCTACAGCAATTTTGAAATTGCATACAAGAACATTGTAACTATGGAAAGGAAGCCCAAATAGAAACTGGTTCGTTCATGTTTGAGAAAAAATCAACCGGGAATTGACCGGCAACAAGGCCTTGGGCCATCTGCCATGCAATCATTTGTTCCCAAACAGCAATATAACACACCCCGCGGCTAAAACATGAAGGCCTGTCTACTGCAATCACGTTTGCATCATTATTGTCGATTTCAGTTAACTTTTCAAATGGCGGTTGCCAAGTTACTTTCTAATGTTGCCAACTACATTTCCAAATATGGAATATTCGTTATGAACTTGTCAACTTGAGTTGACAAGTTGTGTAATTGAGTACTGAAGTTGTGAACTTGAGTACTGAAGTTGGGAACTTTAGTACTGAAGTTGTGAACTAAAGTTGCGAAGTACTAGCAAACACGAAAGGTCTTTGTACCCTGTAGACATTTGGCAATGAATCCGTTCAATAAGCAAGGAAAAGCTTTACAATAGAAAGTAGAAATGAAATACTTGAAGGTGGTTAAATAACCAGCGTTTGACAAACATTTTGAAACAACTAAATCTACCGTATAAGACTATATCAAATATAATAGATCTATGGGTGACACTCGTTCTATTGCACCTCGCCAGGGCGAACGTGATGTTCGAACCACGCGTACAAATGACGTTATTGCATACGCTGAATATCTAAAATTAATAAACCATCTATTTACGCAAAGAGATTCAGCAACACCTAGAAAATATCAAGTTTGCCTTCCAGCAAACATACCTAGAGGTCATCCATTAGTAGAATTTTGAATAAAGATCTTGGTTACTCTTACAAGATAATAAGTCAAATTCCTCGAGAGACAGAACGGCCGGACGTTATGGAGAAGTTAGAAGCTTACGTAGCAAATATTTCATTGATTGATTGCAACCGTATGCATTTCTTTGATGAGTCGCCTGTAGTTGTTACGAGTGGCAACAGACGTCGAGGGCACAGTATGCAGGGTACTCCTGCATTTAAAATCCAACGATGCTCTTCTAGTGCCACATTTACTGTAAATTTTTTACATAATGTAAACGGCGTATCGCATTATAACACTCTAAGAGGGCCGTCAAACGGATTAGAATTGCTAAAGCTTTTCCTTGCTTACTGAACGGATTCATTGCCAAATGTCTACAGGGTACAAAGACCTTTCGTGTTTGCTTGCACTTCGCAACTTTAGTTCACAACGTCAGTACTGAAGTTCCCAACTTCAGTACTCAAGTTCACAACTTCAGTACTCAAGTACACAACTTGTCAACTCAAGTTGACAAGTTCATAACGAATATTCCATATTTGGAAATGTAGTTGGCAACATTAGAAAGTAACTTGGCAACCGCCAATTGAAAAGTTAACTGAAATCGACAATAACATGCAAATAACGATTTTAAACCATTCGTAACAAAAGAGTAAAACAGTGAATTTTGTCAGCTCTGAATTGCTTTTCCCAATCTAATCGCTTGACGGTTTCAACCACAAAAATGTACATCGAAATAACGATCTATAGGCACGATTAATGTCCGTACAGTCCAAAGAGATCACTTTGTATACAGTACAAACAACAAATATTCATAAAATTATTGAAACATAAACACAACATATTTCTCATTTTTTGGTGACCAAGAATTTTCGCGTCGAGCCGCGGAATAGAAGTTCATGACTGGAAATCGAACGGTATGATGTTATACAATAGTTTGCCCGAATTTGCATCATTCAAACAACCCCGAGGAAAATACATAATGTAATCATAATAAAATTATAAAACTTAATTCATTCGCCCTCGTCAATGGCGATAGTTTACAACAGCAGAACCAACCTCGATGACGTTATTTACGTCGTCAATCGTTGTGTTCATGTAGGAAACGATAGTGTCTGGCGTCAAGACCTCGTATGTAAAATCGTCTGCGACACTTGCAAAGCACGGCATATCATAGTTCGAGTCAAAACCTTCATCTTGATCGGGGCTCAAACCTTTACTGTCGTCAGCCTTCTCGTCTTCGTCGTCCTCATCGCTGTCCATAAGGCGTTGCTTTTTAGAAGCAATCTTGAGGCTCTGCAAAAGCCACAGCGCCCGTTTTCCAATGCAAATTTTGAAGGACAGGGAAACTCTCTGTTTTATTGCTTTTGCGTCCTTCACCATCGAGTTTTGGTCACATGATTAAAGTTTAAGGATGTGACGTCATAATTAAATTGCATCGTCTTCTATTCTCGCACGCTCATTATTAGGATTCATAAAAGACGGGCATATGAGGAAAAGAGCCCAATCGGACAAAGTATCCTATGTACTCGGAAAGTGTGTAGAAATGAGGCGTTTTTACTCCCCCCCCGTTTCATTAAAACGTGTGTTAGTTCTGCAGAGTTCAGAACATTACGCTACGTGAACGAAAATCTTGGAAATTAAAGTTTTGCGAATGCATATTGTCATAGGGTGTAGATAAAAAGCGGACCCGGACGACGGACGCGGGCGCGGACGACGGACGCGGACGGCGGACGCAAAACGCGCGAATAAAATGCTTTTAGTCCGTTTGTAAAATACTCTTATTCCTACGTCCTAGAAATAAACATTGAAAAGCTAAAATAAAACCAAACTAAAATGATGCTTTTTAAGCGACACATAGGTATAGAAGCAAACTCGAAACAGCTTCGTGCAGCTGTGATTTTAATGATTGTAACGATGATATTTACAGCTAAATTTTGAAAGACTTAATTATGCAGAAATGAATAGGCAATGAACCCAAAATATGTGAAGAGTTTTGAAATTGTATATTTAATAGTCATGTTCATCTTCCATACTTCTTTTTGAAAACTTACTTTGAGGTGACCTTTTGCTTGCAATGCTTTTAAGTCAAACTTCAAAAAAGAGATTTGCGTATCAATACCAAATTTGTTAATGATTAAACTATATGATAACACCCAAATAGATTCTCTTTTTGTCTAAGAAAATTATGCCGAATCGGGGAAGGAATATCTCATGCTCATGTCTCATCTTAATACGATAAGGCACATGCAACGGACTAAAAGCATTTTATTTGTGTTTTGCGTCCGCGTACGTGAACGTCTTGGGTCCGCTTTTTATCGAATGCATATTGTCATATTGTATTTTTTCAATCAATCATACGCCAACGACGTCGTTGTCGCGCTTATCGGCAGATGTGAGACGTGCTTACACTGTTCAATTTAAGAGAGAATTAAAGGAAACGTCAACGTAAAAATAAGCTCGATATCAAATCGCACGATGTCACACCACCATCAAATAATCCATCGATACTTGTAGGTTTACATGACCGCGCATTCCTTATATGGAAACCCGGAATGCTATAATTTGAAGCCGACTAACTAACAGTCCCAATCAAATGAGAAGTTTGTTATGAAGATAAGATACTTGCATCAGTAGTCATAACAAATTTTGGACAAGAACCATAGATTTTGAGGAACAATGTTCAAATCAGCACACTCTAAAGTAAGTGTAAGAAAACAGGCGCGTAGCCAGGGTGGAGGAGATGGTGCAATCCCCCCGTTTCGTTCATGACAGTTTCACATTGACAGCTATGTAAGGTTGCTTTTGTTAGAATTCAAACAAAATAAAAATCAAAAATATACAATCTTGAAAAAATTATGTCGGAAATTCGAGTGTCTTCCCCAACCTGGTATAGAAATTTGACAAGATAACCCTCGACACCAGGCTCCCTCCTCCATCCAATAGACCCTTAGCATTGTGGATGCAAAGACTTAAATGAGGAAAAATGCGAGTGAACGTGCAAGCGAAAATTGGCGTAAGAGCTGGTAACCACGCGAAATGAAGGAAGTATAAGACCGTGAATCTTTACGATGAACATTTGCAATGTGATTTCAGTGAAGTGAAAACAATGATATGCAGGATCCGTCGAACTAAAATACATGAAACTCTATCTGAAGCAAATAATTGAAGCCAAATCTTAATACACCCAGACACGCGTGTGTAGTGTTTCGAGATTCTCTCGCGGAGTGAAAATTGATTGAACTACACACGCGTGTCTGGATGTAATCTCGCGTGTCTGGATGTAAGATTCGGCTTCAAAAAATTATTAGGCTTTTCTATTACAGGTAGTGTTCCATATATTTTAGTTCAGTGCCAGGATCCGATTATTAGCAGGATAAACTCAAATTAAGCTGAAGGTGGATCATCTACCATGCGGCTTGCGTTAGACAGATAACACTTATAATCCCTTGATTTAAAGTTTACAAGTTTATTATACTATATCTACACGGTTTAATTTGGAAATTTTCCATTACGTTAGCATGTGCGAATCGATCAAAATAATTATACACAATATAGATCTATGAAGCGGACTTTACGTGTGCCTGCCAGCCTATGCGTGTACTCCTGTACCCCCGGCTGAGCAACAAAAGGATGCAAAGACCCGACCTCAATAATTCGCCAGGAAAGCAACCATACAACTGGCTGTATTTAGGGCATTTAAACGTAGTGTCGACGCTTGAGTTGCGGCATCGAAGGCTTAGCCAAACGGCCAGCAACATATCGATGATCGTCGTGATCTTCGTGTTGATCGTGGGTTTTCGGTGGTGACAAAATATACTTGCACCCATCTCCCAAAGGCTGAAGCACGCATTGCACATACTTCCCGATGTGCTTTGCGATATAAGAGAGAGGTGCCGATCCCTGACTCAGAATTTGGTAGTGGAAGTCTTTCAGATTGAATTTCTTTCCGAGTTTTTGACGCGCCGCCTCGCGCAGTTGTGTTATCCCCAGTTGTCCCACGGTGTACGCGGTAGCCTGGCCAAAGACGCTCTGGTAACGCGTCACCTCCTTGCGCGCAATGTCCGTGCTATCCCATGCGTATTTGTCGAGAAGTTGCAAAGCTTTTTGACGCGTTAAACTTCTCGTGTGGATTCCGGAGTCGAGGATCAACCGAAGTGCTCTCCAAATCTACATGACGAGCAAAAGATACGGTCAACTTTTCCACCGATGAAAGGACTTAAAAAATTTTCGCCCCGTTATTTGATTTATTTTTTACAGACGAAAAGTGGAGCAGTGAAAGCCAGTCCTTGCAAAACAGTGAAGTCAAGAAAAGAAAGAAAGCTTCGTTGCATATAGCATTATGTGATCAGAAATATGATAAACGTTTCATCAACCTCGCTTGCTCGGTATTTACTGAGAAATAACCGACCACCTCTAATTTTAGAAAAAACCTAGCCCTACGGGCTCGGTCTGTACAAAAAAATTTCGGCCCGACATTTCTCCGTAAAGACCTCGCGCTCTCGGTGAATAAAGGTATAATAATTGTTGCTCTCGCCACATAAAGCGCTGGGTTGCAACCTATCAAAATTACTTCTTTATTTTACGTCGTTGACTTATAAACGTGCTTAGATAAAGTAATCAATTCTGCACCAACCTGCCACTTCAGCATGCCGTACTTTTGCATAAGATTATCGTCATAGATGTCCGTTTCAGAGACGAGAGGATTTTCCGCGTACAACGCCCAGCCTTCGATGAGCGCCGTGTGATACGTAGTGGAATGGAGCCAACTGATCGTATCATCGCAGTAGTCTTTGAAATGCTCTATGCTCCCCTGAACCTATACACGTAAAGTCGTCATGTCAAAGCAATTATGAACGAGGTCAAAAGAAATGGCAATATCATTTTCGAATCTTATTTAAAAAGGGTAAGTCCTTCGGGGGACTGCCGCTCACTATCGAGAGCCTAAGAATTTCGAAGCGGAGGGTCTGGAAGTCCTACTCGTCTTGAAAGGAAAGAATGATATGAAGAGGGGAGGATCGTTCAGTCTTGAATAGGGGAAATAATTTAGTCCCTAAGAGGATGGCTTGATGCTCTAGAAGATTTGAAGATGGAGGGAATAATGTGATCTTAAAGAGATGGAGATGATCTACCGGTGGTCTCGAAGAGACGGGATCGTGGTCTTGAAGAGGAAAGACTAATGCAGTCTTGAAGCGAGGGGGGTGGTGTAGTCTTGAAAAGGGGGGAATAATGTAGTCATAAAGGGAGGGCTATTGTGTAGTTTTGAAGAGGGAAACTAATGTAGTCTTGAAGAGGGAATGGTGTGTTCTTGAAGAGGGGAATAATGGAAGTCATAAAGGAGGGGATGGTGTAGTTTTAAAAGGGAAAAAGAGTCTTGAAGAGGGGATGGTGAACTTGAAGAGGGGGAATAATGTCATAAAGGGAAGGAAGATGGAAATTTGGAAGAGGATGGTGGTCTTGAAAGGGGAATGTAGTCTTAGGGGGAGAGCGATGGTGTAGTCTTGAAGAGAGGGGAATAATATACTCTTGAAAAGGGGGGAATAATGTAGTCTTGAAGGGAGGGGGATGGTATAGTCTTGAATACCGGACATTTTAAAGAGGGGAAAAGTTAGGTATGTACCTTTGGACGGTGTGTTTGTGACGAGGGCAGTGACAAAACCAGCCACAGGTTTAGTTATGCTATGTAAACTTTCATCGTTCACTCACTTTAAAACAATAGATCCCTCAAGATATAAACCATGCTAATGATCTAAAATTTTCATATCATGACGGAACTTGTAGACAGGCTACGTCACAAATGATGGGGGGGGGGAGTAACTACCATCTGATGTGCAGTGATACTCGGCGTTTTTAAATAAGCTCGGTGTGCATTACATAGTAAAAGAGCTTCTGAAAGAAGACCTAGATTTCCACGCGCGTACCTGTGTATGGTGACCAGGCCTCGCTTCGTGTGCGTTCACAGACCACTCGGAGAATCGCGGACCGGCGTTGTTCAAAAAGAATGGGATGTTGTAGGCAGCACCGTTGGTGCATTTGCTGTCGCTTTCAACATAACTTTGAGCACCGCTTGACGGAATCAGATCGGGAAGTAATTCAACTGGGCAATTCGGCGTTGTGTGTTTCTTTCCCGTGAAGTAGAACATGTTTACAGTTTTCGAGTCGATAAGACTCATTGCCTTAAATGAAATAAGAAGAGTTATTGCTTTTGTTTATTATCTGATATTTGATTTGAGGATCTTGGAAACTTCAACTGAAAACGCACAGTTTCAACTTCATATCTGATAATGGACTCAAGAAAATTAGGACCCAGTTTCATTAACAAATCACTCCTGCTGACTGCGGAGGTGATGGGCAATTACACAAGGTCGTAAAACTCCTCATCAAAAAATAGACACCACACTAGCTTTAATATCAGGTCACTGATCATCATTCCTAAATGATCTTGAAGACACTAGACTTGAGTACATTAAAAAGACTCCGGTTTAAACATCAGATCACTCCTGATGAACACACTAGACTGGACTATAGAAAAGACTCTTGTTTCAACATCAGATCACTCCTGATGAAGACACTAGACTGGACTATAAAAAAGACTCTTGTTTCAACATCAGATCACTCCTGATGAAAACACTAGACTTGAGTACATTAAAAAGACTCCAGTTTCAACATCAGATCACTCCTGATGAAGACACTAGACTTGAGTACATTAAAAAGACTCCAGTTTAAACATCAGACACTCTTGATGAAGACACTAGACTGGACTATAAAAAAGACTCTTGTTTAAACATCAGATCACTCCTGATGAAGACACTAGACATGAGTACATTAAAAGACTCCAGTTTAAACATCAGATCACTCTTGATGAAGACACTAGACTGGACTATAAAAAAGACTCTTGTTTAAACATCAGATCACTCTTGATGAAGACACTAGACTGGACTACAAAAAAGACTCTTGTTTAAACATCAGATCACTCCTGATGAAGACACTAGACTGGACTATAAAAAAGACTCTTGTTTAAACATCAGATCACTCTTGATGAAGACACTAGACTGGACTATAAAAAAGACTCCAGTTTCAACATCAGGTCCCTCCTGATGAAGACGCTAGTCATAAGTGCCTCAAGAATCAAGTTTAGCAGTCAGATAATTCAATTAGGACACCAGAATTAACACTCCCAAACAAAATAAACAAAAGTACCATTCTCGCTGCCGCCCACCATTTTTCTGCAGCCTCCCAACGCTTGGGGCAGTATTTTCTTGCGTCTTTAATGTTACTGCATCGTTTGTGTGCATTATCATCCGACTCGTTGCTAGGGAACGGCTCGTCATTAAAATAGTTGGAGCGATCAGCGAGTTTTTCGCGAAACTTCCTCACTGCCTCCGTTTCGTTCGCAATTCCTGTTATGTTTTTTGCAATTTCAACAACCTTTGAGATAATACGGGGGAGTTAGTCAAAGGAATTAGGTTGTAATATACATTGCAGAGCATAGGGACGGGAGGTGCTCTCTCTTTTTTCATGAACAAACAAATTACTGGGCAAAATTCGGCGTCTTAGATATTTGAGTATATTCTCATGCTATTCTACCTCGTCCCCCCATTTTTGAACAGACTTTGCAGTCCATGTCTAAGAAAACGTTGTGAAAAGGGAGAATTACACACAAAACCGAACAAAACAGCAAGTTAAATTAGGAAGCTAACATAAACATAAGTAAAAGATGATATGGGTAAGCGCATTTATCGCGGAAAGAGTTTGGACTCGTGGAATTTTTCAAAATTTGAAATTTCAAACTTCACCCAACAAATGTGTAGCGCCTTCATAACAATGCCCTAAGGTGGTGTAGCCGTCGAAGAGATGACTACATCAAATTTTCCCTACCATCAAATTCTCCCTACCTGTGGATAGAGCTTTTCAACTTGTTGGTAGCCTAAGTCGTAAATCTGTTTGGGTTTCAGTGACATCGTTGTGAAATAGGACAGGCTGTGCTCGTAGATCTTGCTACTATTTATCACTTCACCCGTTGGAAGTGTCTTGTTCGTTTTCTGTTCGGTTCGCTTGCCGTCCAGGTATATATAGTCCTGCGGCATGTCTGAGAGACCATTGGAAACGGAGGATGGTATGCAGTGACGGCTGTGATTCCAGGTATCTGATAATATTTAATAATAAAACATTGTCTTTCCATGATTACCTGTCTCCTTTCATTTCCTTTCCTTCCTTTATCCTTCTATTTTCCTCCTTCCCTCTTTCTTTTCTTTCTTTCCCTTCTTTCCTCTTTCCTCCCTTTTCCCTCCCTTCTTCCTTCTCCTCCCTTCCTTCTTTCTCCTTTTCCTTTCCTCATTTCCTTCCTTCCCTCCTTCTCCTTCTTCCTTCCCTCCTTCCTTCCTTTTCCTTTCCCTTTCCTTTGTCTTCACCTTTTCCCTTTCCTCATTCCTCTACCTTTCCCCTCTCTACCCTCTGCCCCCTCTTCCTTCCTTTACGAACATTCAACTCATGTCTTCACTTTACATGAGGGGTCATTCTAAGATTCATCCGAAAGAAAAAAAAGCAAAATCAAACTAGACATTTCAAATTTTCTCTGAAGGACAAGTAACCTAAAACCCCATGAAAACCCTAAAAAATCCTTGAGTTTGTTTTATACAAGAGAAAAAGATACTAATGAATGCTTTGGCATTTTCACGTCTGATGATCCAACATGTTTTCCCCAAAACTTAATATGTAGAACATCCCATTTTTGGTTTTATAATTACCCATTTTCCAACTGGAACTGCCCATTTTGGAAAACAAAGAAACCTAAGGACAATGACTCCTGCTTGGCATTCTTTCGACTTGTTTTACACTTGTATATACAGTCACGAAAATCTTCGATTTCTTCCTGGAGCATTAGCTCCACTTCCTGGAGCATTAGCACTTACTTTATAAAGTCAGCGATGGGCTTGCCGACAAGTTCGACGTAATATCTTGAAACGGACGTGTTCACATATTCTCCCGTTTCGCTTCTCCATTGCAAGTTCTCTTTCTCCGTGATATTCTTCAGGAAGTCGGGAGCGACCACGAACTTCATGAACCAACTGCTTAGCACGCCTGAAACAACCATCGCAAGCCATTACGGTGTGAAGGAATGGAAGTTATATGTTGAAAATTCGGCAGCAAAAACACGCTGTTCAAACGCAGCTCAAAAACTAAGAAGATTAATTGCTGTTTACAGTGATAACGATTATTTCTAGCTCGAAAGCTTTTTTAGCCACTTTTTCCGTGTATTTACATGCTGCTGAGATTAACCATTGAAATACAAAGAAATAACCTTGTTGAAGGGTTACACTTGCATATTAGCCATCACAGTAATTTTCAAACTTAAAATATCTGGCTGCGAATCATATGCCCGTGTTCTAAAAGCTCTTTCATATGCACACTAACTGAGCGCACGAGACACAGAAAACGCACTTCCACAAATTGATGGCAAACTCGTGGTCGTTTAGAACACCAGCGACATGTTTTAAAAACTATTCTAACTTTGAGAGCAGCACTTTTACAGTCTAGCTATGACATAAGAACGACGTTATGGCTGATATCGGTTTGGAGGAGAAATTAAAAACAGAGTACGTTTGCGTGTATATTGCATGAACTACTAAAATCTGACTTACATATTGATGATTGGTATTGTAAGCAGCGGAAAGGAGTTGCATTGTTACCTGATTCGCCATGCAGGGAAATATCTAGAAACGCATGTTTAACAGCATCAACTCCGACTTTGCAATCTTCAACGGAGCGCACCATTCCTCTCTTGACGCCTTCCTTCATGTTCGCAATGTACTGGTATATGGCGTCTCTGTGCTCTTTCAATTTTTCCCTGTTGAAGAGATGGTCATTATGTTAACAAGGGATTACGAAAAAGTCGACGAGGGTTTGTTAATTGACTTTATATTTAGTTTAGCTAACGCAATACGAGGGACGAAACTTGAGATAAAACTGCCGACAAGCATGTAATGTATTGTTTTTGATGATAAAAATTTTACGGTGTAAACTTTGGTTCGCAACATGGTCTCTGATCCTACAAAGATTCCACAAACTTTGCTCCAGAGACCTGTCATAGTACTATGCTTTGGGGTTGTGAGGCTCTTGAGGTAATGAGAGATTTTCTACGAGTTTTATTTTGAAGTGTTAGGGTCTTTCATTCCTTTTGTGTTTCTTAGGAAAGACAGAGGAAAGTACCAGTAAACGATGTTTGAAATCCAAAATCAATGTACTTGATCTCTTTATACTTATGTCATAGTGACGATGGTACATAAGAAATCAATGTACTTGATCTCTTTATTCTTATGTCATAGTGACGATGGTACATAAGAAATCATTGTACTTGATCTCTTTATTCTTATGTCATAGTGACGATGGTACATAAGAAATCAATGTACTTGATCTCATTATTCTTATGTCATAGTGACGATGATACATAAGAAATCAATGTACTTGATCTCTTATTCTCATGTCATAGTGACGATGGTGCATAAGAAATCAATGTATTTCATCTCTTTATTCTTATGTCATAGTGACAATGGTACATAAGAAATCAATGTAGTTGATCTTTTTATTCTTATGTCATAGTGAGGATGGTACATAAGAAATCAATGTAGTTAATCTCTTTATACTTATGTCATTGTGAGGATGGTACATAAGAAATCAATGTAGTTGATCTCTTTATTCTTATGTCATAGTGACGATGGTACATAAGAAATCATTGTACTTGATCTCTTTATTCTTATGTCATAGTGACGATGGTACATAAGAAATCAATGTAGTTGATCTCTTTATTCTTATGTCATAGTGACGATGGTACATTAGAAATCATTGTAGTTGATCTCTTTATTCTTATGTCATAGTGAGGATGGTACATAAGAAATCAATGTAGTTAATCTCTTTATACTTATGTCATGGTGAGGATGGTACATAAGAAATCATTGTACTTGATCTCTTTATTCTTATGTCATAGTGAGGATGGTACATAAGAAATCAATGCACTTGATCTCTTTATTCCATTAAAACTTTAACACACATACCATAAGCATTTGCAAGCAAGCTTTAATTCTCTTATATATAAGACTCATCCATCAACCTTATTATTTTGAAGCTGTAATGATCGACTCAAAGATTATTGTATGGCATTGCAATTCGCTCTTTCAATTTGTAATATGAAACGCCCATCAAGAAATGTCCATGTCACATTGATCTACAGTGAACTCATTCCTGAAACTTTATTTATGATAAATAACATGTATACAAAACTTGTAAATCCAAAGTTCTGGTAAATACCATGAATATATATACTCTGAACAACTCCGAAAGGCATCGTGAAGCACTGAAAAACAAAAAAACCCTACTAAAAATGCCCAGTCTTGCTCTCTGGTTGAATATTTGACATGAACAATTGGTATATGTCTGTCTTAAAATTTGCAAGTAGCTGTGCGACTTTAACTAGCACGTTTCTTCTATCAATAAAGATTTCAAAGTGCCCAGTTATTTTGCGCGGCTAATTTTTAAATTTCAACCAAAACTCTGAAGTATGACGGGAAGTATGAAGTGTGTCGCTTCAATGTGTCGAGCGTGATTGATAAAATTCTTTTCCCATTTGTAATCTTATTTCTTCTTAGACGCCATTATCATCCCACCTCTTATCAAAAGCCAATCTCTCGAATCTTGTTCCCACGCATTTCAGATTACTATCATCGAAGGCCGTTTAATATTGACTGTCAGCGAATCGCTAACTATTATGTTTTTTTTACAAATGTGCGAGGAATTGGGCAGGGTCGCGAAACGGCCATTTATTTTTTCAAGCTTGCAAACTAATCTTATCAAACGCCGAAAGGGAGCGATGATTTGAAAACGTTACGAGAGTTGATGAAGATATCATTCTTTTGATTAATTTATTGGGCAATATATGGCATTGACGGTTTAGTTGGTGGTTAGGGCAACCACCCTAACAAAATGACAAAATGATAAAGACTAATGCATTTTCATTTTTTAAAGATAATTTTAGAGATATGATCATTTTCCTTATCACACAGTCATGACATAAGAATAAAGAGATCAAGTACATTGATTTCTTATGTACCATCCTCACTATAACATAAAAATAAAGAGATCAAGTACATTGATTTCTTATGTACCATCCTCACTATGACATAAGAATAAAGAGATCAAGTACATAGGTTTCTTATGTACTATCTTCACTATGTTATAAAAATAAAGAAATCAAGAACATTGATGTCCTATGTACCATGTTCACTATGACATATAAATAAAGAGATCAAGTACATAGGTTTCTTATGTACTATCTTCACTATGTTATAAAAATAAAGAAATCAAGAACATTGATGTCCTATGTACCATGTTCACTATGACATATAAATAAAGAGATCAATTACATTGATTTCTTATGTACTTTCGTAAGTCAATTACATAATCATAAAAAATGAAATATATCAGCAGGTTCTCGAAGCACAAATCCCATGCAAACAGATTCTTTTATTTTAGTAAACTATTCTAATAAATTGCAAGATGTTAAGGCTTCATTCAAGATAGCTAATTTATAACCTCTCAAGGCAAAGATGACGAACGGCCATATTGTATTTCATTCATGTTTCATTTAAAAATCTAAGTAAACAGATGCTTAACATGCGCTAAAAACTTTTCGACGTGTTTATAAATTGGCTTTTTAATCAAATGAAATGTAAACAAATCAGAATGCGAATGTCAAACCTATTCTAGTGGGAAAGTTTTTTGAAGGCTTATGTTGGACTTGATTATACAAGTGTACGAATTTGACATCCCGGCTGGCATTTGAAACTCAATGCTGTTTTTTTCTTTAATGACTAAATTAGAGAGTTTTTTTCTCCCTGATGAAACTCGTGTAATTTGAAACACTTTGAAATTTTTCTATTTCCAATTGGTCCAGACCTCTTCAACGGGGACTGTCGTTAAGCATGTACAATTTAAATTTCCTAACTCCAACTTTTGACCAACCGATTTGCCATTGATTTTTCATCAGACGCTAAAAGTCTCCTCATGGTTTTTCTTATGTGGGTTTGCCTCAATTGGTTTTTATGAGAACGATCTCCTAGCAGGCAATGCACAAGAAAGGTTTTGCCACACAATTTTTCACAGCGAAAATCAAATCAGCAGAATAATTTCAGCGATGAATTCACTTCGAAGAAAGAAAGCAAAACAAGCCGTAGCCGTTAATTTAAAAGACAACATATCATTTCTCTCGGAATGTTGTTGTCAAACCCTTTCACGTTATCGCGTTTGAGATCGCACAAATTTGAAATATTTTTTCGGCAGCTTGTTTGTGTAGAAGAATGTCACGTTTGTGTTGGTCCTAGTTACAGCATCTAATCAGCAATATCTCTCAGCGCTGTTATTGAGCTCAGAAAGATTGGTGATGTAATTTTTTCGAAGTACACATTCACAAAACAGGATGTATCAAGTATAAAGGGTTTGTTTGCAATTCGCCACACTCATAAACATCAATTATACGGTTATTAAAGACTTTAAGTAACAATTCTGAAGCTGGCAAAATGGATAAATTTTCGTTTTGTGCTACCATACTGCCAGCTTTTCAAATGTGACGTAAAACATTAAAGAAGTTGTTTTAGAAATCAGTCTGTAGTGTGAACAAAAGATTTCTCCACGGAAATCCTCTACACATACCCGACATTATTATCGCACCTTATGAAATGGTGTCAAAATTACAAAACCGCAAAATCGTGACTAGTTTTACGACGCGACAGCCTGTGAACTCTAAGCACGACTGTGAAGTTGTTAAACGCTATCTTGGTCGGTCGTCGTTCGAAAACCACAAAATAACTAGTTTCGAATACCTCGACTTGCTTGGCTAAATAACGACGGTTTACAGCATTTGTTTTATCGGATTTGAAACACATGTATTTAATGATATATTTTAAGTGTTCAACCTGAAATGACGTGAAACAGACATACATATTAATTGCTGCTTTTGAAATTCAACAAATGGAAGGCAACTTACAATATTTTTATAAGTGAAGGTCTTAATTGCTTTAGAAAGTCATAAAATGCCTCCGTGTTACAGATGAAATGTAGCGCTAGGGCAAGATACTTTTTCCCTTTGCTCTTGAACGATTATATAGTTGTCTAAATCCTCACATGTGTTTGTCATTCGAAAAGGAGCTTAAAAAGTCAGGGATAAAAGCAGATAAAACAATGGAAACTATCATATCTGCTTTTTGTCTTCAAATTAACGATGAATCTAAGCAAATCATGACAAAAATGTTACAATGCACTGGTGCATTTTCCCATGATGCCTTGCGACTTGTCAATGACAATCACGCCATGCGAAAGTGATATAGTAGCTCGTTAATCTTCACTCGTTTACGATACAAATCACAAGCAAATGATAAAATTTATGAGATTAAAGCATCTGCGTTACATATATTTTCGACGCTTCATTTTAGCATAATGGCCGAAAAACTATTATTGAACCAAAGTAGATTTTCCTAAATTAAACTTTTTCGACAAACTTATCAAAGAAGGATTGAAGCTACTACCAAACTAGGGAATCTTTTTTGAACGCTGTGAATATTCTAGAACTCGAACCCGTGTGATTTAGCGTTTTAGCTGCTGAATCATGCTTCTACGCTTTAGGAGGCACGCAACAATAACAAGTCGATGTATATTTGACAGATGTCAAAAATTTGTGATACGCTTTGAATTTGAATTTGAAATCACTGATCCATCTTTAGATTAGAAAGTACAGTAGTTGTAGGTACTGTGAGATCCACTACGGGTGGCAAGAACAGTGAAAAAGATAGTGTCGCGTTACTGTTTTATCCCCGTTAGAAGCCGAAAACTTTTAAACTGGCGCGTCTTAAAAACGCGAGGTTTTCACAAAATGCAGCTCTGATTTCCAGAGAGTGGTTCAACCGTGCGAAGATACAAAAAAAGTTCGTTTCGTCGAGTAAGCACGATTTTTATCATTGATTTCGGCCTCACTGTCATATCTGATACGAATTCGACAAATGACACGGAAAGGGTACTAACTGCTTCTTTAGACAAGGCAGCTAACGAAAACGCCATTCGCTTTTCTTTTTATAGGTCATGATGCTCCGACGAACAATCACAAGCCAAATTGACTTCTTTTTCACGTGTGCATGCCTCATGCCACATTTAGATAATATAGACTTAATTCACGAGGCGTATCCGCAAAGCTGATGCGGAGGCGGACACCACTCCTCCCATCTCCTATCTCCCCACCCCCCACCCCCTTAGTGCACAATCTTTTGCTCACGATCACGCAAAAAAACATTGCGCGTGCATGCTAAAAAAATTTTTAAAAAAATTGTCTGACAAGGCGTACATCTAACTATATAAACAATGCAGCACGCTGAACAAGAGTAACAGTATTGATTGAACTACAAATCAAACAACAACAAAAAAATTAATTAAATTCTCTGGCTGCGTGGGTTTCAATACGTCAGCAACACTCCGAAATCGGAAGAGAGCAGAAAATTACGCATGGCTTTCGCCACCCAGTTGGAACAAATCTCGATTAATTAAACAAGGTGTTTTGTATAAATCTTCACAACTAATGCCAGTCACTCAATCCTATTTGAACCGGATCTCTTAAGACAGACAGAACTATTTCAATTAGATAGGTTTATCCAAACATCTATACCGACCACCTTAAGAGATTTTCCCAACCCCTAATACAAAATGCTGTATTCGGACTTGCATCGCGAAAAGACGACGCGGCTCTATTTTTCTCAATAGGTCCAGAACATTCGCCAAAAACATTAATTGCATGAAAATCGATCTCAATATTCTCCGGCGTAGCATCGACCGTCGATGCACGGATTAAAATCTTGCTTACTTGGCATGTTTGTGAAATGTGATTTAAATGCATTTCGAACATTGGATTTATCGCTGCACGTCAGGAAAACTGCCCATCGCATTGATGGAAGCGGAAGAAAATGTGTCAATAAAAAATATCTAGCATATCTGCTGCTTGTTAACACGTGGGTAACGTGCCAGGAGACCACAAATCATTGCAGAGGATTATACAGTTTCCATGCCGAAATATAACTAAATACATGTAAGATACATGATTTGTTTTCTATTCTCCCGCATGAGGTGTTGTTTTGAGACACTTTCGACAACTGACTCGATTATTTAATAGCATTTTCGATGCGAACAGGTGCAGCATAAAAAAAGTGAATAATTTTGAAAACGTATCTAAAAATATGGTCCGGCCATACATGCATCAAAAATCAAAATACAAAGCGAAACTCTTGTTGAAGGTGTTTGCTACACTTTCATGCCAGTCATGAGTATTTTCTAGCTGCATATCAACGACTCGAACGTTATTAAAACTATTCCAGTTTTTTGAGCTGCACCCGCGTAAACCATTCCTCCAACCTCTCTCTAAGAACCTTAACGATAACCTGCATTGATAACGTAGGAATGCAGAACATTTTATCGATGGTGACAATCATCTGTTTTATGGCTACTTAGATAGTCCTACAGGGAAACTATTGAGGTGTTAAATCTTCATAAGAAAATTTAAGTTTTTACCCATTGTATTCGCTCATGACAGCTGTTTGAATTCGTTTAACTCGAGTTCGTAAGGCTTTTACACTTCCTTACCTTGCATTGAATAGACAGATTGAGCGTATATATTTTTATCATTCTGTTCCCCTCCCCAGTTAAAAATGATACATGTGAGGTGAAAGCCTAGTTTTGCTAGTTTGCATTCCTTTTTTCCTACGACAGAGAATCGTTTATAAAGGTGCATGATTTGGACAAGAGCTTGAGCAAATGGTCAGGTCATTGCAAATTCACTGAAATCGTGCACATAGCTACTCGCGTTGCGTCAGTATGGAACTCTCTTCCATGTTTGGACCAGCCGAGATTGTGTGCGGGTGAGAATGAAACGAAGAAAGCTGATCGAGAAAACACATTCAAACCAGCCCGTGATCAAAAGATTCTTCGAAATTCGGCTTAAATGTCAAAAAAAAATCAGGGCAGGGTAAGAAAAAGAAAATGCAAAAAAAAACAACAAGATAACATGTTCGAGCAAGTCTGAGATGAAAAGTCTCCTCTTAAAGCGGCTTGAAATTTAAAAAATCAGGGCGTATCAAAAATGAAAGTAGTCTTCTTTTATGCAATTCTTCCCGCGTTTAAAATGTAGCTGGCTACGAACAAAATGGTTGCTGGCCAGTTCACAAACGGAGCATAGAAAAAGAAAATTGGTGCGTTTGACATACCGTAATTTTTTCACATCTTCCAGGTTGTGCGGTTGATAATAATCCAAATGAAAGAAAATATCCTTTCCGACTTCGCAAATCGGCTGCCAACAAAAATGGTTCGGTCCCAGCATCCAGTCACCGAAGTAATAGTTCACGTCGTACGGTTGGCCGAAAATGTGCTTCAGATAGTCTTTGGCCTGAATAAGAGCTTTGCGCTCCCTGAGTTTCAAATGGTTCTCGTTCACGTTCAGCGATTCCAGCGTCGCTAACATTTCCATGGCTTTGTCGGTGATCTTCTTGAGATACGACGGTCTCGGATTGAACGGTTCGTATATGCCTCGCATCACCGAGTCATCGTTGATGTATTTCATGACTGGGTCGTGATAGGACTGGTGGCGATGCAATCGGAAATATTCCTTTTGGATTTTCATCAAGACCGCGGCGAAACCGGAGCGCCGCGCTTCTTTGGACAGGCTGCAAAACTGCAACTTCTCTTCGTGCTCCAGTGTGCAGGGGCTTTGTTTGGAGGACGATACGATGATGAGAGAGACTCCCACCACAACGAGTATCATGGATATTACGAAGAGCGCGGCCATCGTTAGGCTGCATGTGCCGCGCACTCGTTTGGAATTGATGATGCTTGTGTATTGACTTCTCTCGCGGCTCACCATTTCCATCATCTCGCTCTCCTTCTTGACGCCGTTTTTCTGTCGTGTCGCGTATTTACCGTTCAACGGCATATCGCGGGTAACAATCAAAAGAATGTTAATCCCTTCTCTCGTGCAAGTCCACTTCAAACGTGTCCTTTAAGCGTTGAAAACGCTTGTCCGTTATCGTGACGTTCGTTTGGCTTCAACTTTACTACAAGCTCGCTTCCTAGCGCGACAATAGGTCATCATTCGTTCTCGACGCTTCCATGGGTGATTTGAAAATCTCTTGTAGCTGATTGATCTGTGTTTGCTTCGTTCTCAAGTGTACCCTTCAGAATACGCGCGAATCGTCTCCCTGTATGCATGAGGATACAAGAAAATTGAAAGTGTCCTCCTTGCGCAAGGTGCGTGCGTACGTTAAGAAGGACAAGAGCGTTTCTCAACAATTTATCTCAGTTATTTCAAATATCTTCGAGCGATCTTTCTTATCCGGGTGAACTGCCAAGACGGAGGACAGACTTCCAAATCGATTTCCGTTTTCGTCTACAAATTAATTTCGCATTAGGAACTATCATCAAAGTTCTAGGTATAAAAGTGTACGTTCATTTTAAGCGCATTTACCATATTCGTGCATTCGAATACTTATATAATTGTCTATTTATGTATATAAATAGACAATTATATATAATTATTCGAATGCACGAAGAGCGCATGTGCGGTTATGATAGACATTTATATTAAATCAAACGTCTTTATCTTTATCAAGCGTTTTACTGGCGCGGTATGTTATTAAGAACGCATCAGAGCGAGATCGCCTTATCATCAAACTGAATTATTTGTCATCGTTTGCGAATTTGCCACGTCCGCATTGTTTTCGAATGCAAACAACGTTGCGAGTGTACATTCATGTTTATTGAGGACATGTCATTGTAAGAGACACGCATACACACACAGACGCACGTTATGACGCACTTCGGTTAGGTCGAAGCGATGTGATTGATAGCACACGCCACAATCGCGCGTGTGAGGTTCTCGTGAGAATAAAAAAAGGGGAAAAACGCTTCATAATCATCACAGCTGTAATCTTTATCGCAAGCTTTTAGCAGTCATTAGTGTTATGCGCACACTCGTCCCGTTTCGCAAAATCCTGCCAAACTTTGAACATGAAATCGTCATTTTTTAGTTAGCCATATAATAAGGGCGTTCTATCAAACAATTACTTTCACTGTCAAACTGCGCACGACGGTGAACAATTCACAGCAAGCTAGCATATTTGAAAATCGATCGCTCGGTTTGAAGCATGGCTTTTTGACTGTTTTCCTTTGTTTCTGGACGATGCTTTGACTCCCAATTTAATCAGTGGAAATCGTCGATGATCCGAAGTCTCGGATTAAAGTTTAGGCAATTTGACGATGAAAAGAGTCTATTTAGCTTGATGCATGACGCAAAAAAATATTCGGACTTTGGATGGGAAGGATTTGATTATATTTTGCCAAAAATTTCCCGTCAAAGACTCTGTATGATGCATTTCTACATGCTCTAATTGCAAATGATGCACAACGATGTTTAATCAAATATAGCTTCCCATGCAGATGGCCTTTGAGAGGTAGCTTGCTTAACAGTGTCACGCTAGCCCGTCGTGCCAGCAGGCAGGGATCGCAATGTGAACGTTGTACACTCTGTTTGAGGTCGACTTTCATCAACTGAATGGATGATGTACCCAGCAGGACGCATTGAAGCTTGTGTTTTGTATCTTATACCATTTCAAAAAAAAAAAAGAGTCAGATGACAATTTATTCTTTGTCAATTGCAAGGGACACAAGTCTTTACCGCCTGCGGGGAATTTGATGAATATTTTTGTTATACATACAAGTAAGATGCAGTGAAAAACGCCACTCGGGTGGAGATCGTGCAAGGCAGCGTGGTGCTACTCTTAAAGCCCAATTCACAAGACATAAAACAACCTGGGTTCGACCCAGGTTCAAGTTGATCCAACTTAATATTGCTTGCGTGTAAACACTACACGTTTAACCTCGGTTAAATTCAACCTATCTCTTGAGATGGGTTAAGTTAAACCGAGGTTAAGGTTGGGTTCGTAGTGTTTACACGTAAAAAAATCAACTTGGGTTAATTTGAGCCTGGGTTGAGCCCAGTGTCGGGTGAATTGGGTGAATTTTAATTTTGAATAAAGCGTGATCATGCATACTGGGCTATGTTCCAAAAGTGTCAAAGCTTGTGAACGAACATCTGAGCTTGTGAATGTCTCACAACAAAACACGAAAAATGATAAGACATTAAGCGCGAATTAAAACCTAACTAAAAACCTAGCTTGCTCGCTACTGCATGCATGAAAACCGCATAAGACTTTATGTGCTATATAAATGCATTTATAAAATAAATGTCTGATCTGTTAGGAAATTGCGATGGACGCTTGGAGACTGAATATACAATCTTGTGAATGAACATCTGAGCTTACACATGTTTTCACATAATTAGAAACGAAAATAAAGAGATTTTTTATAAGGCACAGAAGTTCAGCGATGTGAATTCTAACAACCGTGTGAGTCTTTGTGTTAGAAGTGCGTTCGAAAACAAATGCTTGGATCTGTTAGGTAATGGCGATGTTTTAAACTTGAACATTAAACGATAGTTCGGCGAAATGTTTTTTATGTAAAAATCATATGCTTGAGGTTTATAATGAAACAAGAATCCGACTTTTGACGACAGCGCGCGCATATGAATGGGATTATAGCGTTCAACGCTCTTCCATGCTTGCAAGAAGAATTTGAAAAACAGCCTGTTTTGTACATATATATGCATCAGCTCACTCGTCAAGCATACCAACAAATGCCGAGGAGAATTTCTAATACTTGAAAGCAAATATACACCCCGCTTATCTCGTGTATTCATAGGGAATCTGTGAATGCTATGTTTGCATGGGATGGTTTGCTTCATTTTATGCAATTTTAATATTATAAATTTACGCTATCGGAGCGATAAGGAGCTATCAATAAATCATAAATACTTAATTAAGAAAAATGGAAAATTTGAATAAAGTGAATGCAACATGTTTTGGGTACTACTGTTCTCGTTTCTGTTGTTCATTCATCACTACCTACACTGACACACCATATCTTAGTTTATATTTTATGTAGTGTAAAGAATCTTCTCGTTCTCTATTGTTCATTCATCACTACCTACACTGACACACGTTATCTTAGTTTATATTTTAAGTAGTGTAAAGACTGTTCTTGTTCTCTGTTGTTCATTCATCACTACATACACTGACACACGTTATCTTAGTTTATATTTTAGGTAGTGTAAAGACTGTTCTTGTTCTCTGTTGTTCATTCATCACTACATACACTGACACAACTTAGTTATCTTAGTTTATATTTTAGATACAGTATAGGATAAAGACAGTTCTTGTTTTCTGTTTTTCATTCCTCACTACCTTCACTGACACACGTGATTTTAGTATATATTTTAGAGAAAGACTATTCTCATGCTCTGTTATTCATTCATTACCTACACTGACAAATGTTATCTTAGTTCATATTTTAGGTAGTGTAAAGACAATTCTCGTTCGCTGTTTTTCATTCATCACTACATACACTGACACACGTTATCTTAGTTTATATTTTAGGTAGTGTAAAGACTGTTCTTGTTCTCTATTGTTCATTCATCACCACCTACACTGACACACGTTATCTTAGTTTATATTTTAGGTAGTGTAAAGACTGTTCTTGTTCTCTGTTGTTCATTCATCACTACCTACACTGACACACGTTATCTTAGTTTATATTTTAGGTAGTGTAAAGACTGTTCTTGTTCTCTGTTGTTCATTCATCACTACCTACACTGACACACGTTATCTTAGTTTATATTTTAGGTAGTGTAAAGACTGTTCTTGTTCTCTGTTGTTCATTCATCACTACCTACACTGACACACGTTATCTTAGTTTATATTTTAGGTAGTGTAAAGACTGTTCTTGTTCTCTGTTGTTCATTCATCACTACCTACACTGACACACGTTATCGGCTAAGTTTATTTTAGGTAGTGTGAAGTACGTTGCCATGTTCTTTACAGCGTTGATTCAACAAAAGCGGTAAATTTATTCAGCTCTATTTGATACAGCGTTTACATTTAATGTAAAAAATGGACGTTTCGTATTCATAATTTTGATTCTTTGCGATGACACTTTTCATCGTGATTATGGCGAAGCTCTTCGATTTTGGTCACGACTTTGGTCTTGAACTGTTGAAAGGCCCCAGGTCCCTTAGCTTCCTCGGCTTTCTGCTCATCTTTTCGCCTAAGATCCTTCAGCTCGGGATTATTAATTAAAGTGAGTGCTAAATGCCAGCGGATTTTTCCTCGACGCGATGCCGTTCCGCTAGAAACTGTCTCCCCACCCTCGACGTCAATTTCCTCTGTCATGCTGCCGTGGTTTCTGCCGTTGTTTCTGACGGCCTCCCACATCAGACGATTGAATATGAAAAGCACTGGATTCGTGTGGGTATGCTCCAGGAACAGATGACCAATATAAGTTTTGTAACCTGGGGAACGAAATACGTCTGAGTTAATATTCTCGGAAACGAGCGTCGAACGCAATCATCGTACAGTAAAACGTAAAACGTGAGATTTGGTATGTACTCGAGTCTAGTAAATTTCAGTATTATATTAGATTTTATTTGTCATTTTTCTGTTTGATAATTGTATGAAATTATTTTTGCATCGATTCTTGAGAACATGAAATACGTACGAACGATCTAAATGTTACTAGTGTTCGGTATGAAGGCTCAGAAAATACCTCGCCACAGCTAAAGGAACTTGTGTAATTCAGACATGAAATGGACCTTTCATCCTCCCTCCCACAAAATTTTCCGACGACAGCTCTGTTTTAATGGGAGTGAAATGATGTTGAAAGCATGAGCTCTTTGCATTTCAGTCCAGTGTCTTCAATGGGAGTGACCTATTGCTTCGGCGTCCGCGTGAACTTACCAGGATCAAATAGTTCCCAGTCTCTTGGCAAAGCGCTCTTCTGCAATCTCGGTAAAAATGCAGTTCCGACTAGAACAGCGTAGAAAATACGAAGGAGACAGGAAAACAAACCGACAAATATGTTCAAAAAGAAAAGGAAGTAGTTCGCAATGTGGAATAAGCGTCTAGAAACGGATAACAATACAAATATCAGAGTTCGCATACGACGCAAACCATTAACGGAAACACATGGCTAAACAAAGAAGGGCGCATGTTCATAATTGTATACCAGAGTCTTGGCTTAATCCATGGGTGTCTGGGTGTCCTGACGCCCACAATTATTGGAGCGTGGATGTCCCTTGTAGGACACATCCACACGTTTGGCTTCCTGCGTGAACGTCAGTGATATGATAAATGGCAGGTTTCAGTTTCAGGTGTATAGCAAATTTTAAAGTTAACGAGCAGTCTCTTCACTTAGACATCTTTGACGTAATATGGTTCAAAGAAAACCCGATTGAAAATACATTAAGTAGGGAATTTCCGAGGTGTTCATCCTTCACAATGTGTAGTACAAACTTGTGATTTGATTGGGTGATCTCCGTGAAGTGGATAGGCAAACGCTTTGCCTGCAACTTTGAAGCTGAAATTCATAGGACTGAATTGCAATTTACCGATTGTCCAAGGCCAAAGTTTTGCCCTTGTCTCGAAGATACACATATTTCGCCAACAGTCGTTGTACGACTATCGTAATGATTGAGATGAGCGCAGTTGGCCTGTGAAACATAACATTAGTTAGGTAGTTGGAGACTAGTGAACAACAGAGAACAAGAACAGTCTTTACACTACCTAAAATATAAACTAAGATAACGTGTGTCAGTGTAGGTAGTGATGAATGAACAACAAAGAACAAAAACAGTTTTTACACTACCTAAATTATGAACTAAGATAACGTGTGTCAGTGTAGGTAGTGATGAATGAACAGCAGAGAACAAGAACAGTCTTTACACTACCTAAAATATAAACTAAGACAACGTGTGTCAGTGTAGGTAGTGATGAATGAACAACAAAGAACAAAAACAGTCTTCACACTATCTAGAATATAATCTAAGATGACGTGTGTCAGTGTAAGTAGTAATGAATGAAAAACAGAGAACAAGAGCAGTCTTTACACTATCTTAAATATGAACTAAGATAATGTGTGTCAGTGTAGATAGTGACGAATGAAAAACAGAGAACAAGAACAGAGTGACGAATAAGCGATATGCAATGATTGATGAAAACAAAACAATACAACCAGGAATAATTAGCTATAACATTATGCATGTATGCCTACCAAAATGAAATCATTAATGACGGGATGAATGCATCGCTAAGACTGCCCCACGTTAAAGGCCAGATGAAGCCAAGGGCGAGAAGAAAAATTATGAAAAACACGACCAAATGAGTAATCACATAACCTGAAAATAATTTTTCGTTAAACTTCATTTCCTAGAAAATTGAGTTCATGCAGCTGACGTTTCTATTGTGTGCGCTAACGGGTATTTCTTGTCTCAGAACCGACTTACGGCCTGATTACATGAGCTCGGGTAGCCGGGATTCAGCGAAGCGATTAATTATTTTGGCAAATGGAAAAGATTAAATACTTATCATCAGATTATTCTTCTTGACCGTTTTCACTATATAATTGTGCAAAGCATTTAGAATGAAAACAACCAATTTCGCCTAATTGGAAAATTACAACAGGAACTACGCTTAACAACAGTTGTAATTTTTTCGCTTGAACTTTTGACTCTTTTAATGTCTCGAAATCATTTTACGTCTTGCTGAATGTCGGTTAGCAGGGATCATGTAAACAGCCTCTATATTTGCACCCCCTCAACTGAACATTCCCTTTGGCAACCGTGTTGTTTAGGCGTATAAGAATGGTCTGTCTATAATTATTTGTACTTACTCCAAATGATGTACCCAGCTTGATAACCACCAAACTTGAAGCTCGCAACCTAAACAGATAGACATATATACTCTCAGCGTAGAGGCCAGCTCGATAACTGGAGGGGAGGGGAGTACTTACATACATGCATGTTCTCCTTTAACAGTTTCTTTTGAAATCAACTGTTATAACATGCATAAGCAAATACACCCTCCCCCCCCCCGTGAGTGTTAGTCAAAAGATGATTGTTATACTTTCTATTACTCTCCAGGTTTTTGTTTATGCCCTTATGATGCCCTTTGGTTACTCTTATTATAAGTTTGGAAAAACAGTTGAGAGAAAGGTTCATCCTGCTTTCAATTGTAATCAACCAATCCAAACAAACATGGATACCATGCCAAACATAAATTTTGTTTTAGCTTGGGTACAGGCGACATTGTAGCAGGTGATTATTACACTTATGGTAAACATATATGTATGATCTCTTAGTGGTCGGTTCTCGGCACGACAGAAATGATCTTTCGATGTATAACAGGTCCTTACCATGATGTCGACCGGTTCCTGCTCGTCCATATTGTAAGGCAGAAAGTTTGTCTCTCCTTTTTGCAGCCGCAACACATGACCTCTGTAAAAATATCGTACAATAAGCTGACCCGCAGTCCACAAAAACATAATATACAAAGGTAGAAATTGTGTAGAGGAAAGTTATATGAATTTTTTTTTGAAAATAGCAAATACCGCGGTGAATTCTCAAAATAATAACAAGGCAATAGTTCTTGCCTTAGTACAAATCGATAATTGTCAAACGGCCACCTACCTGTACCAAGAAAGCATATTAGCTATGATCGCTATATCTTTTATTGTCGCAATGGCTATGGCCACGTACCAACAAACTAAAAAACGAACAGTTTTGTTGCATAAGGCCTGTTTCAAACGTCGAAATTTACACGCATTAAAGACAAAAGAAAATGGCATGAACTTTCTCATTATCTTTTGTTTTAAATGCGTTCGGTTCACGTAAAGTTCGACGTCTGAACTAGGCCTAAGACAACGTCGAGAAGTGATATTTTTTCATCTTACTTATGGTCACGTCAATTCCTTCTTTAATCCTGTTCCAATAAACTCCTGTCGTTCCTCCGGCTGTATCGTCCGTATCCTCTAATACTTTGATCACTTCATTAAGCCCTTTCCTTAGACCTCTACCGGCAACAATATATAGCACCATCACCTATTATAAAATAAAAACAATGAACGCGTTCGGTGATTGGTCTATAGCCGTGTTTCCCATCAGCCAGTGCAAAACAGTTCTGAGCTCAACCAATCAAATAATATCAATACATCGATCAGTAAAAGAGAATTTGCAAATCGATCATGAGTACGTTTTGGAGGAAAAATTAAAACGTTTACTTTAAATTTGTCTTTTACACATTATTGTTATTTTATAAAACAAATAAAAGATGTCTACTGCGTTTGCACTGCCTTGTGTAAATCTCGGAGACATTCGTGAGAACTCTCGAGCATGTGCAACCATCGACCTTCGGTCTTGGGCTAGCACTGATCTGCTCTCGAGTTATCCCAAACGTCTCCTCGGTTTGCATAAGCCCGTGCACACACAGTAAACATTTTTTATTTCTTAAATAATGAACGCAAATGAATAAATTCGACTTCCATATTTCCTCTATTCAGCCCCTTGCCTCATTTCCGCCCAACCGTCGCACGAGCCCCCAATTGAAAGGTGACAAGACAAAAATATACCCCCACCCCACCCAATTTGTTCCCCACGATCTCAACCAATAAAAAAATAATCGGAAAGTCCATCTCATGATGAAATCATAACGAAATACGAATGCCAATTTAAGCTTCATTCATTGAAATAAGTGTTCGTGCGTTTGAAATTTACGAATGCAAAAATCAAAATAATCACTTGCCGAAATTTCAGACAAAATTGTAGTCATAAAATTGAGTTTTTCTTTTTTCAAAATGCAATTGTGCATTTATTAGATTGGGTATTTTAATAAATAGAAATCAATATGAAGCATGTATTGCGTGAATTGCTGTGGGCTGGTAATGTTGCGTGAATTGCTGTGGGTTGTTAATGTTGCGTGAATTTCTGTAGGCTGGTAATGTTGCGTGAATTGCTGTAGGCTGGTAATGTTGCGTGAATTGCTGTAGGCTGGTAATATTGCGTGAATTGCTGTGGGCTGTTAATGTTGCGTGAATTGCTGTAGGCTGGTAATGTTGCGTGAATTGCTGTAGGCTGGTAATGTTGCTTGAATTGCTGTAGGCTGGTAATGTTGCGTGAACTGCTGTAGGCTGGCAATGTTGCTTGAACTGCTGCAGGCCGGCAATGTTGCGTGAATGCTGCAGGCCGGTAATGCTGCGAACTGCTGCAGGCTGGTAATGTTGCGCGAACTGCTGCAGGCTGGTAATGTTGCTTGAACTTGCTGTAGGCTGGTAATGTTGCGCGAATTGCTGTAGGCTGGTAATGTTGCTTGAATTGCTGTAGGCTGGTAATGTTGCGTGAATTGCTGTAGGCTGGTAATGTTGCGTGAATTGCTGTAGGCTGGTAATGCTGCTTGAATTGCTGTAGGCTGGTAATGTTGCGCGAATTGCTGCAGGCTGGTAATGCTGCGTGAATTTCTGTAGGCTGGTAATGTTGCGTGAATTTCTGCAGGCTGGTAATGCGCGAATTGCTGTAGGCTGGTAATGTTGCGTGAATTGTTGTGAGCTGGTAATGTTGCGTGAATTGCTGTAGGCTGGTAATGTTGCGTGAATTTCTGTAGGCTGGTAATGTTGCGTGAATTGCTGTAGGCTGGTAATGTTGCTTGAAAAATTATGTAGCCCCCAGTCTCCTTTTAGCACTCCCCTCTCGAAAAAATATACACCCCACGGCGCTAAATGAAGGGAATTCAATTGTTTGAACTCACCATGTACAAGCAGGCACAGCAAGTGATGTAGATGCAGACGATTCGAGTGGAGTATTTGAAATCTGAGCGGATGAAAATGTGAATTATAAATTAGAAAGTCGCGATCGACAAATTGATGATTTTTACGAAGAAAAACGGTTTCTCACAGACAACTGGGAGATGCCGCAACGCTTGACATTTACTATTCATCAAAACAACTAAAATAGCTACCATTACATCGCCCATAAATGCCCAGCCTTGTTATCTAGAGTGGCTTAACATCAACAGTCTAGAATGGCAATTTACATTTGTTTATACAGTGAGCCATCGTTATTCTTGTCAAGCTGTTCGGATGCAACAAAAAAACATGCTTGGTATACAATACCCCGCACCACCCGCCACGTCGTTTCACAGTCGGGCTCCCGGGAGTATGAGAGAAAACATTTTCCGCCTTTTTCCTTTCTCAGTCGGGGAAAATAATACTTATCCTCGATCAGATCACTACACAAGACACCTGGCATAAAATTGGAGAAATCCCGATTAAGAAACTAGATGGAAGGATACGTGGAATTTGTTGTCAACATTCTTCAGATCACTCCTGGTGAAAACAGCAGACTGGAGCAGCTATACTAAAGACTCCTGTTTGATTATTAAATAACAACTGACGAAGACTTAAGATTGGAGTGTGAAAGACTGGAGTTTCAACATCAGATCAAGAATGATGAGGACAACAGGCTGTAGTATATACAAAAGACTCGTGCAAGTTTCAACATCAGATCAAGAATGATGAGGACAACAGGCTGTAGTATATACAAAAGACTCGTGCAAGTTTCGACATCCGATCACTCCAGATGAAGACGCCAGACTCGAGTATAGCTATATAAGAGACCACTGTTTCAATATCAGATAACTACTGATGAAGGCTTAAGATTGGAGTATAAAAGACTGAAATTTCAACAACAGATTACTCCTGAAAGACAATAGATTGCTGCTGAGGAAGACTTAAGATCATATCACTCAAAACGAAGATTTATCAATCAATCTAAGTACACTAAACACTCGCATTTCAACGTGAGATGACTACAGATTAAAATATAGAGCACAATTTCCTAAGTACTTTTGTTTTAACAAACAAGAGTTTTAACATTAAGCATTAGTACATATTGACTGACCTGGTTTCCATTCATAAATACGCGAAACCAAACCTTTCTTACTACTTTTTTCATCACCCAAATCGTCTTCGCTATGAAAAAGGACAAAGCACAGAGTTACAAATGATAAAACATCTTATATCTTTTTGTTGTGATATTGTCATTCGAAAAACGTATCGCTCTTTACCTTTTTGGAATTTGTTTCAGGAGATTCTGAACATGTTTGTACTTGTAGTTTTCCTTCCATTCATCCTCGGACTGAAAACAAAGTTGATAACGTGCTTGCTCAACTTACAGATTTGACTTTTAGGCTGCTGAGACCGGTCAGGACCTTTATTGACATATTTGACAAATACTAAGAGATGACATTTGGTGATTAGTTTAATTTGGCCCGCCCTTGCATTGTGCTACTAGCTTCCTCAGCGAGCACGAATAGTTCATAGGGCTTTCATTTTAAAATCGACAGTTCTTGATGTTTTGCTCATTGAAACGAAGAATTCATTCTTTGTAGGGCACTTCAACCAGCCAGTAATTTCTAGCTAACGTTTGCAAATTTGTGATTTACAAATCACTTCTGTAAGGTTTTCCGTAAGGTTTTCGCATGTTGCACTTAAAATGGACATCTTCTTAAGGAATTTAGTCAAAGGGCAATTTCTTGTATTCCTTTTTGGCACTGCCCCCGCATCATAACTGGTAATCCTCATGCAAATAGAATGCAATGATTGATGCAATGCAATCACAATTTATAACTTTAAAACGCGATAATTTGCAATCGCAAGTTGCAAGTTGAAAACAGGATGCCTCGCAAATACTACAACTTAGCTACAACTGAAAACAGGATGCATTGCAATTACTACAACTTAGCTACAACCTGAAAACAGGATGCCTCGCAATTACTACAACTTAGCTACAACCTGAAAACAGGATGCCTCGCAATTACTACAACTTAGCTACAACCTGAAAACAGGATGCCTCGCAATTACTACAACTTAGCTACAACTGAAAACAGGATGCATTGCAATTACTACAACTTAGCTACAACCTGAAAACAGGATGCCTCACAATTACTACAACTTAGCTACAACTGAAAACAGGATGCCTCACAATTACTACAACTTAGCTACAACCTGAAAACAGGATGCCTCGCAATTACTACAACTTAGCTACAACCTGAAAACAGGATGCATTGCAATAACAATTTACAACCTGAAAACGCTATAACCGACAGTCAAAAGTTACAAGTTGCAAACGCGATGCACAGCAATCACAATTTGCATCTCGAAAACGGCTTTTTGCCAAAAAGTCTTTCTTCGCACTTACCACTACTATTCCTCGTCTTTTGCTGAACGTGGATCGCACCAGGACTCGAATAAACGCAAGCAAGAGCAGACCGTGAAATAGGATTGTCGTTGCCTTACTCACGACAAGTTCGGCTTCCGTCAACTGGAAAAAATGGCCATAAGTTAGTAAAAATATAATATTGAATCAATGCGCAGTGTTGTGTTGCGTCGTTTCATTGGCTCATCGACATAATCACATGACCGAGCAATGGACCGCTCACTTTTCAATCGAATTTCAAGGTGCCAAAATTGAAAGAAGTACCGTGATTTAGCGCGCTAGGGTGGGTATCAGCGCGAGGTTAGATCGCAATATCCCAAAATAGGTTGTATAAAATGTAAAATAGGACTGAATTGCTTTGGGGTATTGGCACACGAAGTTTGCTTTCATTTCGACAAGGCCGACTTTTCATGTCATGCGCACGTCAAACGTTAAACAGCATGAACAGAGAAAAAACGACCCTCGAAGTTGGATAGCTGCAAATCTAACATCGTCGGTGACAACACTGATGATTTGCATTGAAAACTTCACGCAGGTTTACATATTAATTGCTGCTTCGATAAAGGAAATTTACGGTGGCCGGTACGGGTCACCAGAAAAATAATTTAGAAAACATAACAAACAATAAGAAAACGTCACTCAAAATCATAATACACATTTCAAAATACTCACTACACATTTCAAAAATACTACACATTTCAAAAATACTCACTACACATTTGAAAATACTGCTACACATTTGAAAATACTCACTACACATTTGAAAATACTCGCTACACATTTCAAAATACTCACTACACATTTCAAAATACTGCTACACATTTCAAAATACTCACTACACATTTCAAAATACTCGCTACACATTTCAAAATACTCACTACACATTTGAAAATACTCACTACACATTACAAAATAATTACACATTCAAAATTTCACTACACATTTCAAAATACTCAATACATTTTACACATTTTCACACATTTCAAAATTCTCGCTACACATTTCAAAATACTCGCTACACATTCGTCCCAGTCTTACCCTGGTCTGGCCTGCCCACGGTCATCATTAGTTTCCATCTACGAAACTGACATGACATCATAAAGTAAGCATATTAAATATATAATTCCGCATTTCACAAGGCAAACAAAATGGGACATTGGGATAATAGCATGAAAATATTGGCTCAACTCTAATCAGAAATTCTTCCAGGGTTTTGCTGGACTTGGTCGGGCAACAACATTAGTAGACGATCTACATATCGCCAGCAAATGTATTTGCAGTGGCTTTCGACACATGTCCGTACTTTAATAGCAAAAATCTGAGTATATGAATTTGCATTCGCTATGTCGCGTACGTACTTGTGTGATGCGTTACAAAAATAACAAGGAAACCAAAGAGGAAATTTACACATAGTGCTATAATTTGTTGCACAAGAAACGCCAAAGAAAAATGAAAAGTTCGGTAATTTCGAGTAAACGCAATAAATTTAGAACTTCAATACCAGTCACGTCAATAAGTGCATTAGTTAAACTAATGATTGTCGAATATCACCAATACAAATACAATTACATGTAATCTGTAGATTGACCACTCATGTTGTGTTGTCTAAACAAGACCAAGAAATCCCTGGAAGAAATATTACTAATAGTTCATGTACGCGTATCGCATATTTTGATGCTATTGTGGCAATATGTTTGTCTATGTGCCGAATTCCACACAGACAACATATCGCCACAATAGCATCAAAATATCCTTACGCGAACTGAACTGTTAGTAATATCGGAAACGTATATTTATATTACCTTTCTGCCATCACTTCAATTTCGTAGATGTAAACTAATGACGACCGTGGGCAGGCCAGACCAGGGTAAGACTGGGACGAATGTGTAGTGAGTATTTTGAAATGTGTAGCGAGAATTTTGAAATGTGTAGCGAGAATTTTGAAATGTGTAGTGAGTATTTTGAAATGTGTAGTGAGTATTTTGTAATGTGTAGTGAGTATTTTGAAATGTGTAGCGAGTATTTTGAAATGTGTAGCGAGTATTTTGAAATGTGTAGCGAGTATTTTGAAATGTGTAGTGAGTATTTTGAAATGTGTAATATGATTTTGAGTGATGTTTTCTTATTGTTTGTTATGTTTTCTAAATTATTTTGTCGTGACCCGTACCGGCCACCGTAGAAATTATCTGTCGCATATAAATATTGATATATGTCACATCCGTAGGATCTCTTTGAAATTTGACATTCGCACCTGATTTTTCACAGGCGAATGGACGCAATCACGGCACAACGCTAATAATTAATATAATTTACCCGCTTACCTGGCCACTACCATTGCAGTCGATGACTTGAAACAGGTAAGTTATAAGCCTGCGAAAAAATAAATTTGTCTGTATTCAAACGTAAACATGTCAAATGTAAAACCACGCTATAACTTCCTCCGATAGAAAAAGTTCTAAACCCTTAAAGTGTTTTCAAAGAAATTAAAAACAAGTAGTATGTAGCTATTTAATGGGATAGAATAATTCTGTATGTACAAAAAAAGAACGTAATTATAGGATAAGCGTTCATTCCACTTAGTTAGTGTACACGGCCTATTGGAAGAACACTTTAAACTTTTTTTAATATTTGTAACTTCAATGAAATAGTACCGTGCCGGGGGTAAATACATTCAACTATAATACATGGAACGCTACCTGTAATACAAGACCCTAATAATTTTTTGAAGCCGTGATTTTATCCCAGACACGCGAGATTTACCCCAGACACGCGTGTGTAGTCAATCAATTATAAGTCCGCGATAGAAACTCGAAACACTACACACGCGTGTCTGGGGTAAAATTTCGCGTGTCTAGGGTAAAATCACGGCTTCAAAAAATTATTAGGGTCTTGTATTACAGGTGGCGTTCAATTATTTGCTTCAGGTAGAGTTCATGTATTTTAGTTCAATGGGGTAAATACATTTGTCTGTTACTATTAATATTGTTATAAGAAACATTTTAAGAGCGTAAAATTCATCATTCTTTCGATAAGTTGCCTTGGCGTTTTTGACGAAAGTTCTTATTTCATGGAAATGCTCGAATAAATTGATGTGGATAGAAATTGCGCGAAATATTTCATCAGAAAAATGATTATTATTGCAATCAGATCAACTTATTATGTTTTTTGTTGCAGATTAATCCCAAAATAATGATTTCGCGATTTTTAGTTTATACTATTCAAATTATATCGAAAAATTTTTTGTGTTTTTTCTTATTTTTTTTACATCTTGTTTCGTTAAATTGTAATCCCAAGTAGCCAATCACCTTTGTTGCTCTGAGATTTGCAATTGTAAGTATGCAAAAATGTAGCAAGCATGCAATAAAGTTTTCATTATCGCTCTCCGTAGGCAACAGACTCCATATCGTGCGCGTTCGTGAGCACAACGACGACACTATTAGTTAAACGCCGTCTGTAGTTATTTCATGGTTTCAACATGCGCAGGCGCATAATGAAAATGCGATATTTACGTACCAGAAAGTGGAATAAATTGTTCCCAATATGGCTCCGAGCAACCGCTGTTGGGTTGAAATGCAGGCGAAGAATGGATAATAACTTATTCCGATGACAATCGCTGTAGCCGTTCTCAACAATGCTGAAATTGAATTGAAGAGCTTATTTAAGCAAATAGCAATGTGCCAGCACGAACTACACGTTGCTATTATTAGGAAAAGATACATACATACAACGGATGAAGTTATTAAAGTGTTTATTTCACCCCGAGAGAAATTATCTACTTAGATAAAGTGGACGATTTTAAGAACGTTTGCAATATATTTTATAAGATGAAAATTTGATCTCTCTTGACTTTTTGGGCGTCAAAGTTTGCTTTTTTGCATTTGACCGTGAGGTACTGGGACTGGGTCTAGCTCACCAGACGTGACGTACATTGGAGAGCACTTTAAACACTTTTTTGAGCAAAAAAGCAAACAAGTTCAATTAGTAACTTTCCTGAAGCCTAAAAAGATAAATGACAACTTATGTTTGGCAGTCTTACTTTTAACGTACGACGGACTATCCTGTTGAATTGTTCGAAAGTCATTTCCCAAAATAAGAGAGAAATCGTCGTCGACAATCACCTGTACGATACTCGACGCAGTTGCTGCAAACGCAAACGAATAGGTGTACCGATCTTCGTAACTGTCCAAAAGATTCACCGGTCTACAAAAATGGAAAGTTTATCGTAAATTCAACATGGTGGAAAATCTTCATTGTCCCACACAAATCTCTCTGAAACTGCAATGGACTTTAGTTTTGTCATGCCATAATGGCCCAACGACCGACCGACCACCATATTCGGACTTGATGTACAATAAACAAAGAACTTGCATAATGTACTATTAACCACTTTTAACAAAAACATGTTAGCGGGTTGTTCATACGAGCCCAGCTAACCGGGATTCGGTGAGGCGTTAAATGGTTTTGGCAAATGGAAACGATTCCACACTTATCATCAGATAAATCTTCTCGAGCAATTTCACAATATTCTGGTTTAATAACTACGCAAAACATTCAAAATTGAAACAACCAATTTGGCCTAATTTGAGAATTACAGCAGATATGACTTGTTGTGCTTAACAAACAGTTGCGATTTTTAAGCTTGAAGTTTTGCTCCCTTTCATCGAAATCATTTAACGCCTCGCTGAATCCCGGTTAACTGGCTTCATATGTACAGCTCTGTAATGCTATGACCAAAGCCTTGGCCACACTATATCCACGAAAACGAAAACAAAACGAAAATTCGTGCACGAAATACATGCCAGACACGACGTAAAATTGCAAGCATATTTACAAAGATCGGCTAAAACGTAAACGGTATTATTGTTGGATGTGTCTTTGTAGTAGCCATTGCAGTAACAAAACAAGCAAAAAAGAAAAGGTGTCTTCCTCTGGCAAGAAGGTACTCCTTCTGAAGTTGAAAGCAAACATTTAGCAAGACAATCAAACGCCCATACTAGATTCACCCAATTAATAAACGACGTGATCGACTTGGATTATTTAACAATTTGATTAAAGAGTTACGAGAACCGAAAAAAGAAAACAGACTCATAAAATACTTGCGAATGACGACAAATTGTTTTTCTCGCATCGGATTTATTAAAACTCATGCCACCCCGCCATCTTTGTGTATTAAGTTTTAGATTATTAGCCAATTGCATGCGTTTTCGTTAACGAAAAAGGTCAAAAGTTCAACTCTTCTAATATGCACGAAAACGAAATTTTCGTTGAGTTTTCGTTCAAGATTTTCGTTGCGGCAGTTTTCGTTCTAATTTTCGTCGATATGGACGATAGTGTGGCCTAGGCTTAAAGCGTGCAAAAACCCACATCTGTTTCTCTGAGAGTAGTCTAAACCAAATTGCTTCAGCAGACGGAATACAAATACAACCTTTGCAAGCGATTGGAAACGTCAGTCACATGTAACCACACGTACCCTCTGCGGAGCTATTTTTACAGAGAGTGAATACCAAAAAATTTACATAGAAAGAGCGAACTTGCATGCCGGGCGCGCCAGAAGATGTTTTCATGCTTGCGTATGGAACTAATAAAGTTTTTGCGATAGATGTAATTATAGACTGTTTATTGTCCATCATTTGTTTATTGTAGATGACTTAAAATCATGACATGTTCAGAAGATACTTCTTTTCTATCATAGACATTTTATTGCGACGAAAATTCATCAGCTATATCGTACAAAGGCAAGTTTGTTTAGTGTATGCGAAAATAATTGCAAAGTAACGAATATGAGGGGCGGACTGGGAGAGTGTGTAGTTGCAACCCCACAAATATTATTGGATTATATTAAATAATTGAGTGCCTTTTTAGACATTTGAACTTGAGTTATTTAATTAAATTATCCTTAGAGCCTTTTCGTTGTTCGAAATTTAGCCCGCTCATTTTGAGCAAGGAAAATTTTCTAAATTATGCATAATGTTGAAAAGAAAGTCGATTGCCATGTTTGGACCAGACGGCAGTTTCATAAAATATAAAATGAATGACTGATTAAGCTGTAATATTACAGTGAACGATTGCGTTTTATTTTACAAGTCCATCGCAGTTTCAGAAGATGCAAATATTTTCGTGCCGCATTGCTACATCGAGCTTTAACAAAGAAACTACATGGAAAAAGCACGACGGATAAGAAGTTTCAAAACATATTTTCATTCCAAGAGCACCAATATTCAAATAACAGTTACCACAAGCGGGCCGATACCTAATTCGCCAACTTACATCGCCAATCCCGGCCTTCCATTACAGCAATTCCTTCTCTCGACACGTCGACTCACGAACGACAGAAGAATTATCATAAGTATCTAGAATAACGAATTGTATGTTTGTGATCAAAGAAAATATTTCAAAAGGGGTGGGGGGCTGTTTGTCCATTGTCCATGCTTGAAAGATCATTTCGACTGGAACGGGTTTCTAATCGAAAATGGTCGATAAAGTAGGCAGTAAAATTGTAGACTTTTTTCGTTAGATAATGGTTCTCCATAAAAGTTTTGCGCGCTCAGCAAAAAATTCAGCCGTAAATATGCACTTTCAATGTCAGGCGAAATGAACGTTGTCATAACAACACAACTTCCCAAAATTACGATGACGTGTCGTGCTCGGGGGCAGGCCCCAATTGAAGGCGAGTGTCGTATCGTTATGCAAGGCTATCGTGGGTTTTCCACCTCCCTTTAATTTTCATGATAAAGCGACGCACTTGATAAATATTCTCTACCTTATTTTCCCCTCTTCTCTCCTCCCCTAGTAGACGGTTTTATTCCAAAGTGAAAACCGCGCGTTTTCATCAACCGTCAACCCTGGTCAAAGGAGTCTCTCCTGAAATTCATATCCACAGCTTGGATGCGCAGAATGCGTGCGTAGTATAGGCTATATCATGATTCAGAACTACTCACCGCGGGAGTAAAAGCTGAAGCGATTATATTATCGCTGTTAAATCTACCACCACATGTCGTGTTCGCACTTTGAAAACTGTCAAAAGTAAAAAATAAGCGATCAATAAGTGAGTATTAAACGGGGGGGGAGAGAATTTTACTTAGTTTTTCAAATATACGAAGTCCATCTCTTATATATGTATATATATATATATATATATAAAGATAAAGTTTCTCCGATTTTAGTGATTTTATTGAGCGACTCGTTCTGATGAAGGCTCGAAGCAACGAGTCGAAAGCTCAATAAAAAATCACTTAAAATCCGGAGAAACTTTTATCTTTTATGTATTAAATGCCTGGATTACAAATTTTCAAACTTATATACATATATAACTATATATATCGGGACCCTATCTCCTAACTCCACCATTAACATGGCTTCCACTTTGGTCTTAATTGTTTTCAATACGATAAGAAATGTTACGATGAACAACATGTATGTAGTATAAATATAATGTCGCACAATAAACGTTGCGAACAACACGTACATTGATAAACTAAGGGGGGGGGGAGGGTGGAGCACGAAGCCTGCGGATAGCGTCATCCATTAGATGGTAAATTTTTCAAACTTGTTAAAAAGGTGTTTTTGTGTTTTCCTTACGACAAAGAAATTTGGTAATCTTAGAAGAAACATTTCATTTCGGCGATTGCTCAGTTGAAATCTTATACTTTCCCCATACAAGAGAGTTTCTTAAAAATTCAAAAAAATTTGCGATCCATTGGATAACGCTTTTCGGCTGTAGCGCAACCGGCCCCGGCATTTTAAGTTTTTAATACCATATTGTGAAAATGGATTTGCCAGGCGGAAACAGAATTTTAAGTATAAATATAATTGCCCAACATAAAACGTTTAATATGGCCATGGGTATGGAATTTTATTAATAATAAGGTTTCGTCTTTAGCTTAACACATCTTCAGATTACCATACATACACGTAGGAAGTCGATTCGTCGGCGACTACGAAGGTCTGAGATATAGATATATAAAAGTAATCTTTGAAGATATTAAGGAGAGAAAGTACCAAGAGTCTTGTAAATCATTCCCAGAACCGTTATTAAAGGAAACTTTGTCAAACAATTTTCTAGCTCTTTGAGTGCTTTTGGTCTTTAGCTTCGAACAGCGTGAAAGAATTTTTTTGAAAAATCTACGTTTGATGGCAAAGCCCTCCCACATATTTAGACAAGTAATTCAAAAACAATTTCCAATTCATTTTCAGTTCGTACTCTGTTCCTAGAACGAGGCCGACATCGAGCGTTACTTGTCTTGCATTAAATTGAACATGCAAAGCTTAAGTTCGAAATTCGATCAAGAATTTACATTAGGAAATAGTAATAAATGAATCAGCCAGCTAATCTTATTAACAACTATGACTTTCATGACGTTATATTGCCATGGATTACATCTTAAGCGGCTTCAGCGGAAATCCCACGTTAGCGAATCCCACCCGCTGATCCAACCTCTATGACGTCACAACAAAGATGAACTGTGAACAATGTCTTCCTCTGGTGAAAGGTTTACTAACTTGATCAACTTATTGGAAGACAAACATACCCATGACGCAAAATGGTAAAATAAGTTTGTCGTGCGATAATTGAATTGTACTTAACAGCAAAAAAATACAAACTTCCAACAAAATAGAAAGAACATTTTGCCTCCAGGCTAAAGGAATTTTATATCAAAGTCAGAAAAAAAGACGTGGCAAATAAACAATAAAACAACATAAAACGAATCTTGAAGTCGGTTTTCACATGATGCGAGGAGTTCTCAAGCGAAAATCATCCAAAATCCATCCAAATTTAAATACTCTTGCAACGCCATTTCGTTACAGATGTCACAAAATTTGCATTGCAAGCCATTTTTGTCAACGAGTTAAATTGGCATCATTAAAAATATCATAAATTCATGAGTTTTTCGATGCAAACTTTATGACCAATTATGATATAATGGCACTGCTTTGTATGCCATTCTGAGTTAAATGATTTTGAACATCGCTTTTAGACAAGACAGGCTTACGGCGTGCAAACTTTTATATGACATTTCGGATAAGCGACAATGCTTTCAATGTAGACATGTTTCTCACTTTCTGTAAATTTGTGCAGTTTGAATCCCTCAATTCAATGCAAGCGACGTAATCAATTAGCAAGTGAACATCTTGTTTGTGAACTTTCGTGCTCTGTGACAAAGATATCGAATTACAAAAATAGTTTGTCGTATGAAACATGTCTTGAAGTTTTGTCGTCTAACTGCAATGTCTCACTGGCTTTTTGCTTTTCACGAAAAGAAAATCGATTACTTACGAGTTTATTGAAGAACTGACGCGGCCATCTTGAAGTTGTTTGTAAACAGCTTGTAAATACACAGCGCTGCCGTAAACAGCTTCGACTGTTGTAACGATTGTTTCTGGCGATAAGGCTGTCCTATTTGCCAAAATTCCCAGCAAGTATTGATCGTAGATTGTGCGCAGTACATAATCCGAGATAGTGGTGTTTGTCAACAGACTTGTGTTGGCAATACTTGAACGAATATCGTAAGTAATATTGATGAAATTTTCTATTAAAGTCGTCATGTGTGAATTTGAAATCTTCGCTTTCGCCTTCCCCGTCGTTCAACGTTTCTTTGATTTGAGCTCTAAGTCTGCGAGTTAAAGTCCACACCATCCAGCTAATGACGAAGCAACTAAAATTAAAATTAATTTCTGATCATGCATACATGTCGAAATTCAGTTTGGTTACCTGGTGATGGCATGCAAATGCGTATTCCGAACAAGCAAATACGCACATCCGTCAATTTTGCGCTCTATTGAATACATATAAAATCCCCGACCCATTACCAGAGTGTATCAAAAAAAGTGTATCGTACTTTAATATGCCAACGTGCATTTGATTTTGTGTTTTACGTTATTATATTTGCATAAAAGTGAGGAGCTCTTAGCTTTCCATTTCATAACAATCAGAAAGTACTGGCGCATGGTATAACATAACCATGGGTACAACACAGAGAAAAACAAGCTGCTTGAGTTGCTTTTGTTTTAAATGACAATGGAAATATGCAATTTTTTATTTTTATTCCATACACGTATGATAATATTATATGTATTAGATTATACTTTGTATTGAAAATGAAATGAGAAAGCTGTCTGTTGACCTTTGGTCGCTTTCCCATTCCTACTCCACTTCACTTTCCAGAACAACACAGAACTCGAGCTTTTACCTAAATATCAAAACATCACTGGAACGTAAGTACTGGAGTGTAGAACTACAAATTATCCTGACTACTGGTTTAAGACTGATCAACAACATTTAACAATGTGGTGACCAAAATCTGTCTTTCATTTCTACATAAAATAACGTGATAAAGAAGAGAGCCTGTATCATAAGTTACTGCCTCAGTGTCTTGTGCCAAAGTGAATGTCAGTTGATTTAAATGAGCTGATTATGTACTTTAGGAACATAACAAGTTTTGCTTGTGTGAGTTGTGTCAAAATCGAACGTGTTTTTTGAAGCGGTCAAACATTTTGGGTAATAACATCGCCAAAGTATCGATTCCCTTGAGATTATGCCACCTAGTCTAGCAACTCTTCACCAGGACAGGATGACCTCCCAGAGTGATTATCTCTGCACCATTTTGTCCGCTTCATTAAAACTGTGTAACCTGTGAACAAAAAAATAGGAAAGAAATTAAACTGATATCGCTTCCTTGTTACTTGAAGGTCTTAAACATAATATTATCCAGCGAATTTTAAATTATTTGAAACTCGTCACTCCAAGCTTCCAACTGTTCGACATTTGTCACTTGTGTTCCTCTCCCCTCGACATTTTTGACCATTCTCTTTAACCTCACCGGCTCTCGTTTTTACCAAAACATTTGTCATCCTAAACTTCCTTCCGTGCTTTTTTTATCCTCAAAGTTCCATCTTGATATTTTTACCTTCAAGAATGAAAGCTCAAATCTTTCTCACTGAATTTTTTACATCACTTCACTTACTATTTTTACCCTCATAATCCTTCGATATTCCTTCTTTCTCCTATCAATTCGGCCATTTCTTTTTGTTTATTTTGAACGATCTCATATTTGTCTCAACATCAGCAGTTTTCTTAATCCTAAAGAATCCCTCCCTCAGTTCAGCTTGCATAAGAACTTGAATATAGTTTACCTTTCATTATCACTGAACAACAACCCCCCCCCCTTTACTTTGCCTCTAATCTCTCTCTCCTTGAATGTGCTCCTTTGCTTTAACTGTCAAGTCTTAACCATATTCATTTATACCGATCCACTTCTCAACCACTCTTTCTTTCCTTTTCTATTTATTACCTGGTAGATAAATAGTAATAAATGACTTTATATCTCCAGGGGAGGCGTATGGTAAAAGTTTGCTCCAAGCTAACACGTTGCCGTGAATATTGAACCCCCCTGATTCCATGATTTGAATATTGCTGCTCGAAATCTCGTGATCCCAGATATTCAGTTGTGAAAACTTTTTACCGTTACTTGAAAGAGGGACAAGGAAATTTTCCTTTCCGGTAAGGTTGTTTGTAATGCGGAATCATTGACAGATGTATCGACTTGAAAGCCGTCGAAGAAATACTTTACCCAAGCTTTTTTTCCATTCCATTTTAAGCAGAGAAAATGCCAATATTTGAAGAAAGTTGGAACCTGCCTAAGAAAGAAATAGGTTTATGTACAAACTTTTGCACTTTATCAGACGTGTTCAGATGTTGAAACTTGAGTCCTTAACTTAAATGAATGGTGACTTTATCCAGTAGCAACTCCACAATCAGGCAAAACATATTATAGTCTTTAATTCTGATCGTAACATACATACAACAATACCATTGGTTATGAATTTCAAAAGATCAAAATCGTACAAACCAATTGGCTTTTCTAATTTATTTTGCCTAACTTTGACTCCGCCATTGTCTTTATCCAAAGTGATCTTATGCTGAATATAGAGTTCTTTTATACTAGAGTCTAATGTCTTTATCAGGATTGTAATCTAATCTTGAAACCGGAGCACATACATACTACAGTCTCTGACAAGTAGTGTTGCAAGTGCTTACTTCTGACTGGAAACACCATTGATTTTCGTGAACAGTTGTGCTCCTGACTTTAACTGAAACCTAAATTCCTTTGATGAGTTGTATGAAAAGATATCATGGTTCTCGCTCCCACTTCCGTAATACCAAACACAGGCAGATATATAATTTATGGGCTGTGGTGGTCCAGGATAGCTAACCAATGTAGATGGCACACTTATATAATACTTTGTCTCATTACCTAAAACATAAGAGAGAATGCATATTTGCCTTAGTTTCAATGTGATTTCGAATTTCAATTCAATTATGTTTCTCTCTGTGAGGGAGCTCATTGTGACGTCGGATGCCACATCCCAGCTCGTGAAGTCAGAATACTCTTATATAAGATTGACAGGAAGTGATTGCATAAGAGATCATATCCTTTTATCTTTGGAGGAAGACTTCTTAAAGATTTTAGTTAATTGTCGAATTGGAAACATCAAATACAAGACTAACCGACTGATTGTTCTATGTATACATCGTGGTTTGATAAACATTCTGTATGAAAAAGAAAATATTCAACCTGACAATGATGCTTTTGAAGGACGAAGGATCCTTTCGTTCGACACAATATACTTTAGTTTATACCACGTGATCAAATCACCGTCATTCATCCCAGGACTTTTTGCCATCATTTCAATCTCCTTTCCATCTAATGCTCTACTCCACATGTTCATACGACTGATCTTACCGACAAGATATTGTATTCCACCTTCATCTTTTCTTTCTCCTATTGTTAACTTCCCCCCGGATGGTATCTCATTGCTCATAGAGACATTTCGAGTTCCCCACAACACACCATCGATAAGCAGCATTATAATTCCGGTTACACCTGACCACGTAAAGCCAACGTGATGCCAATGGTCGTCATTTATGGGTATGGTCACCATGCTATGAAGATAAAAATATCGATTGTTTTTTGAGTAAATTGATTGAAGCGGAAAATCAATGAGAAAGAATACCTGCAAGAAACAGATCGGGCTCGTAGTCACCTATGTGCCATGGACCATGAGCCCCTTTGGTAAATGAAAAATGGAAGGGAGGCAGAACATTGATAATTGGGGGGGAGGTCTTCTATTCATATATACATGTTTTACTTTATTTATTCCTATTGAAATCAATTGTGTTTACGGATTATTACATATGAATATATGAATAAATCGCTTCCATGCCCTCCAATTATCAACGTTCCGCGGCCACCGAAGTTGGGCCCTTATTACACACACCTATAGAATATAAAATGTGACTGAAATTTATGAAATTTTTTTATTCCCGTAAATATGAATCGTGTGACAATTCAAAAAACCTGTAAAAGAATCTTAAAGTTGGCGAACAAGTAATAAAAAGGCCGTGTGAAAAGCGACAAAGATAGCAGAAAGGTGCTAGTACTTTGGACCAACGTCAAAGTTATCGCAAATGTAGCAGCATTTCCATTCTGCACTTAACTCAGTTAGCAGCAACTCTAATATCTGAACTTGTTCTGAATTGAGTTAAGTGTGTTGTATTGTGACAAATGACGAAATAAGTATTTCAAAGTTTAATACCACCGATTACCATGAAATCTTTTTCTTAAATGTGAGAAACATACTTTTACGACTGAAGTGTAAATTCCTCAATTTATTTGTTTGGAAAGTTTCCAGTCTGCCCCGACACCATAAATTGAAATGCTCGTAAACTGGAGCCAGTCTGAGGTTAAAACAGGTACAGGATAAATCCTACAAAACGTGTATAAAATTTACCTTACAGATTTGTTAAATGCCTTAGCAGTTAAGTTTGCTATTGTTGATGCACCATTTCCATCCACGTCGAAATGCATCGCGATGTTTTGTGACGAATTTTTTGTCTTGTACGAGATCAGTGGATAACTTTCATAGCCAACGTTAAATAGCACCCAGACTGTTATGGTAAACTCATTTAGGCTTTTGTCTATGTGTCCCACATCGATCTGTGTGTATGCAGAGGTGTTGGGAAAGTTCAGATCGTAGTCGTCTGTAATAGAAAGTGTTTTTGTGTTTCGGTAACAGCGGAAGGGGATTTGTAACTAACATTTATCAGTTTTCCTGATGAAAATTGTTGGCATAAAATGCATGCATGTAAATGCGTAAACTCGTGAGGATGGTACATAAAAAATCGATATAATTATTTTTTATTATTAATGTACTTAGTAGTGTATTTCAAGATATGAAATCAACAAAAATGATGGGTTCCTATAGAAGATTGTGGAAAAAAACAATGTAGCTATAACAACATTCCTAAATCACGCCATCATACGAGAATGCTCAGTTACCAATTTTTTTTGATAACCCGAATTAGTGTCGCAAGAATCAATTTTCTGTCTTAGAATGTCTTAAAGACTTGCTTGATATTCTTACAATATTTCTCACAATATTCGCCGTAATAGTTTTCATAGCAACGACATTTGACAACATCTGGCTGATTGCAATCCGTCATGCATTAACCTTGACCTTGACACGTTTTATCCATTTCACATTTTGCCTTGAGTGAGAAAGAGGTATGCCATTGTTAAGCACGAAAGTTAGCGATATAAATTGTTTTATCTTTTTAATTTCAAATGGAATTTCTTTTAAATTCTAATAATATTTATTAATATAATCCATGAATCAGTATATGCATGCGCTGGTAAATTTGTGTAAATATTTTTAACCCTGAGTCGCTTTTTACCTGCCCCCCTTCCAAACAACCTTTCAATTAAGTTAAAGTTAGCAGCCAAGCTAAATATATTACTTCGCGCGAGAGGACCACAGAATATATTTTAAAGAAACGACTAACATGATGAAGATTCATAAGACCTGAGTTCTCTTTGTGGACAGATTTCAGCAGAATCATACAAGTTGAGCATCTGCATTTTATAGCAGATATGAAAAACTTACGCCTGTAGTCTAAAATCTCATTCACAATAATTTGGGCTTCAAATTCACTTCGTAAATATTTGAAGACGGTATTTTCACTGTCTTGTTTACTTTATTTGAAAAATTTTAGCAAAAAATTTTGCCATCGATGAGAAAATGAGTTTGCCATTTATTGGAAGAAGCGCAGTTTTTGCTTTAAAGCCAATTTGCGCAATTTGACTGTTCTTACTTCTCCCCCACTTTCCATTAAACAGTGAATCCAATGTTCTTGTAGAAAACGCTGCATACATTCGCTGATTGTAACTAAATTTTCAAAAACTTTACCTTCATTGAAATGTACAGTCTCCACTTCTCTTCGACCACATTTTCAATCAATCCTATTTCTCTCTCGGGTATTCCATTCAGCAGTCGACAGTTTCCGTCTTCTTTGTTAATGCTGTAGGAAAGCCTCGCAAAAGTCATGGGTTCCACAAAGTTGCCCGCACTCGATGATTGAACGGACCCGAACTTGCTTCGTTATGTTTATATTCAACGATGCCAGCGGTTCTATAAAGGAAAAGTGTCACTGTTAACAGTCAAAATATTTACTTTGTGAGACAAGTTTACAACTGAGAACATATTTTTATTTCTTTAACAAGACAATTAAGATCAAATCTAAAAATGCATAAATAAAACAGTTTCCCGGCGGATTTATTCTACAAATAGCTGTAATAACATCATTACTAACTCGTGCACAAATTGGCATTTCAATCTTGAAGTTGAACTTTATTCGACTAACTTTTTACCCAAAGTTTGACTTCGAATACGAGAAAATTATTTCTTACCTAAGCATTCTGTATAGTAAACCTGGTCACAACTTTTTGTTTTGACCTGCCATTTGCTTGATTCCATCACAAAGATCATGTGAAGAAGAATTACCAAACAAGAGAACCAAATGACTTTGCAGAAAAAAGGAGCATTTTTCCTGTTCTGTCATTTTTGAAACCGTCAAAAACTGATGCACTGACTAAATACAATGTCCGAAGTTTGTTTTAAACATAATTAAGAAATAAAGGATGTCTGTTGGGTTTGCACATGCTTATGCAAACCAAGAAAACATTTGGGAGAACTCGTAAGCTGATCAGCAAAAACTCAAAACATCTTTTATTTCTTTTTTAAAGTAACAATAACGCAAACAACGTTTGAGTTTTCCTCAAGAATGTATTCATGATTGATTTGTAAATTCTCTTTGATTGATTGATCGATTTAATTGGTTGAGCTCAGATCTGTTTTGCGCAGTCTAATGCAAACAATGCTGTTGAGCAATTAGCGCGCACGTTTTATTGTCATTATTTTATAAATATATATGTATAAATATACTTATGTGCGTCCAAAAAGCTCTTACTTTACGTAACAAAGAAATTAAGGAAGAGGAAAACGGTTGTAATTATGTCGAAGACAGTAAAGCTAATTTAAGGCAGGTGAAAGTCATTCAGCTATGTGAAAGTGTTTAACAATTTCTATAGTACTGTAATGTCCGACTAAACCAGGACAACTCCCAGCTGACTTAATAATACCAAACATTATTGTATATTGCTTTTTCAGTAAAAGGCCAGTTTTAAGTTAGACCATTTGGTCTTGCATTAATTCCAATGCATTAAATTTTTGCCTAATAAAGAATTATTGAGAATGACGTCAATGTTATCTGCCAAAGTGAAGTGAATGCGATGCGATAACATTGACTGAAGTCTGAATAATGTTTGACATAGGCGTGAGAAGCGGAGGGAAAGGGGCTCTAGCCCCAATAAATTTTCTAATTGGGGCTGGGCTTAGTTCTCCTAAAAACATAGGTTAACTTTGCTAAAATAGTAGAAATTGTCTTAAACTTGAAATTCCTAGAAAGATAACTGTCGATGCTTTCAGATTTAGTGAAGACCGTAATCAATTTAGTGAAGTCCGTTCTATTTTTACCTAGCAGAAGTGAGAAGCTCTTTAGCTTTCCATTTCATAACAATCAGAAAGTACTTGAGTATGGTACAACCATGGGTAAAACACAGAGAAAAACAAGCTGCTTGAGTTGCTTTTGTTTGAAATGTGAAATATGCAATTTTTATTCGATATATGTAGGATATATATTATAGGTATTACGTTTATACTTCATCTATTGGAAATGAAATGAGTAAGCCGTCTGTTGGCTTTTGATCGCTTTCCCATTCGTACTCCACTTCACTTTCCAGAACAACACAGAACTCAAGCTTTTACCTAAATATCAAAACATCACTGGAACGTAAGTACTGGAGTGTAGAACTACAAATTATCCTGACTATTGGTTTAAGACCGATCAACAACATTTAGCAATGTAGTGACCAAAATCAGTCATTCATTTCTACTCAAAATAAGGTGATAAAGAAGAGAGCCTGTATCATAAGTTACTGCCTCAGTGTCTTGTGCCAAAGTGAATGTCAGTCGATGTGGATGAGCTGATTATGTACGTTAGAAACATAACAAGTTTTGCTTGTGTGAGTTGTGTCAAAATCGAACGTGTTTTTTGAAGCAGTCAAACATTTTGGGCAATAACATCGCCAAAATATCGATTCCCTTGAGATCATGCCACCCACTCTAGCAACTTCTTCACCAGGACAGGATGACCCAGAGAGATTATCTCTGCACCAATTTGTCCGCTTCATTAAAACTGTGTAACCTGTGAACGAAAAATTGGAAAGAAATTAAACTGATATTGCTTCCTTGTTACTTGAAGGTCCTAAAAATTTTAAATTAATTTAAAACTCGTCACTCCAAGCTTCCAATTGTTTGACATTTTCCACTTGTATTCCTCTCCCCTCAACATTTTTGACCATTTTCTTTAACCTCACCGGCTCTCGTTTTTACCAAAAACATTTGTCATCCTAAACTTCCTTCCGTGCTCTTTTTATCCTCAAAGTTCCATCTTGATATTTTTACCTTCAAGAATGAAAGCTCAAAACTTTCTCACTAAATTTTTTACATCACTTAACTTGCTATTTTTACCCTCAAAATCCTTCGATATTCCTTCTTTCTCCTATCAATTCAGCCATTTCTTTTTGTTTATTTTGAACAATCTCCTATTTGTCTCAACAGCATTTTTCTTAATCCTAAAGAACCCCCCTCCGTTCAGCTCACAAAAGAATCTGAATATACTTTACCTTTCATTATCTCTGAACAACAACCCACCTTACTTTGTCTCTAATCTCTTTCTCCTTGCATGTGCTCCTTTACTTTAACTGTCAAATCTTAACCTTATTGATTTATACCGATCCACTTCTCAACCACTCTTTCTTTTCTTTTCTATCTATTACCTGGTAAATAAATAGTAACAATTGACTTTATATCTCCAGGGGAGACGTATGGTAAAAGCTTGCTCCAAGCCAGCACGTTGCCATGAATATTGAGCCCCCCTGATACCATGACTTGAATATTGCTGCTCGAAATCTCGTGATCCCAGATATTTAGTTGTGAAAACCTTTTACCGTTACTTGAAAGAGGAACAAGGAAATTTTTCTTTTCTGGTAAGGTTATTTGCAATGCGGAATCATTGACAGATGTATCGACTTGAAAGCCATCAAAGAAATACTTTACCCAAGCTTTTTTGCCATTCCATTTTAAGCAGAGAAAATGCCAATATCTGAAGGAGCTTGGAACCTGCCTAAGAAAGAAATAGGTTTATGTACAAAGTTGTGCAGATTATCAGGCGTGCTCAGATGTTGCAACTTGAGTCCTTAACTTGAATGCCTGGTGTCTTCATCCAGTGGCAAATCCACAATCAAGCAAAACATATTATAGTTATTAATTCTAAATTTAACATACATACAACGATACCAATCGTTATGAATTTTGAAAGATCAAAGTCGTACAAACCAATTGGCTTTTCTAATATATTTTGCCTAACGTTATCTCCCCCATTGTCTTTATTCAAAGTAATCTTATGCTGAATATAGAGTTCCTTTATACTAGAGTCTAATGTCTTTATCCGGATTGTTTTCTAAACTTGAAACCGGAGCACATACATACTGTAGTCTCTGACAATTAATGTTGCAAGTGCTTACTTCTGACTCGAAACACCATTGATTTTTGTGAACAGTTGTGTTCCTGACTTTAACTGAAACCTAAATTCCTTTGATGAGTTGTATGAAAAGATTTCATGGTTCTCGCTCCCACTTCCGTAATACCAAACACAGGCAGATATAAAATTCATGGGCTGTGGTGGTCCAGGATAGCGGACCAATGTAGACGGCACACTTATATAATACTTTGTCTCATTACCTAGAACATCAGAGAGAATGCATGTTTGCCTTAGTTTTAACGTGATTTCGAATTTCAATTCAATCATATTTCACTCTGTGAAGGAGACCATTGTGGGGTCGGATTCCACATCCCAGCTCGTGAAGTCTGAATTCTCTTATATAGATAACACTACAACACGTTCAAACAAGAGATCGTTGCCTCAAGTGGACGTAAACATATGAGACTGAGATTGACAGGAAGCGATTGCATAAGAGATCATATCCTTTTATCTTTGGAGGAAGACTCCTTAAACATTTTAGTTAATTGTCAAATTGGAAACATAATATACAAGACTAACCGACTGAGTGTTCTATATATACATCGTGGTTTGATAAACATTCTGTATTAAAAAGAAAATATTCAACCTGAGAATGATGCTTTTGAAGGACGAATGATCCTTTCAGTCGACACAATGTACTTTAGTTTATACCACGTGATCAAATCACCGTCATTCATCCCAGGACTTTTTGCCATCATTTCAATCTCCTTTCCATCTAAAGCTCTACTCCACATGTTCATACGACTGATCTTACCGACCAGATATTGGTTTCCACCTTCATCTTTGTTTTCTCCTATTGTTAACTTCCCCCCGGATGGTATCTCACTGCTCATAGAGACATTTCGAGTTGCCCACAACACACCATCGATAAGCAGCATTATACTTCCGGTTACACCTGACCATGTAAAGCCAACGTGATGCCAATGGTCGTCATTTATGGGTATGGTCACCATGCTGTGAAGATAAAAGTATCGTTTGCTTTTTGTTGAGTAAATTGATTGAAGCGGAAAATCATTGAGAAAGAATACCTGCAAAGAAACAGATCGGGCTCGTAGTCACCTATGTGCCATGGACCATGAGCCCCTTTGGTAAACGAAAAATGGCAAGGAGGCCGAACATTGATAATTGGGGGGGGGTCTTCTATTCATATATACATGTTTTACTTTATTTATTCCTATTGAAATAAATTGTGTTTACGAATTATAACATATGAATATATGAATATATCGCTATCATGCTCCCAATTATCAACGTTCCGCCCGGCCAATAAAATCGGGCCCTTATTACACACATCTATAGAATATGAAAAATGACCAAAATTGAAGGAAATTTTTCTTCTCGTACATATGAATCGAGTGACAATTGAAAAAACCTGTAAAAGAATCTTAAAGTAGGCAAACAAGCAATAAAAAGCCATGCATAAAAGCGACAAAGGTAACAGAAAGGTGTTAGAACTTTGGATCAGCGTCAAAGTTATCACAAATGTAGCAGCATTTCCTTTCTGCACTTAACTCAGTTAGCAGCAACTCTAATATCTGAATTTGTTCTGAATTGAATTTTGTTTGTATTATGGCAAATCACAAAATAAGTCTTTCAAAGTTTAATACCACGGATTGCCATGAAATCTTTTTCTTAAATGTGAGAAACATACTTTTATGACTGAAGTCTAAACTTCTAGATTCGTTTGTTGGGAAAGTTTCCAGTCTGCCCCGGACACCATAAATTGAAATACGTCTAAACTGGTGCCAGTCTGAGGTTAAAACAGGTACAAGATAAATCATACAAAACGTGTATAAAATTTACCTCACAGATTTGTTAAATGCCTTAGCAGTTAAGTTTGCTATTGTTGATGCACCATTTCCATCCAGGTCGAAATGCATCGCGATGTTTTGTGACGAATTTTTTGTCTTGTACGAAATCAGGGGATAACTTTCATAGCCAACGTTAAATAGCACCCAGACTGTTATGGTAAACTCATTTAGGCTTTTGTCAATGTATCCCACATCGATCGGTGTGTATGCAGAGGTGTTGGGAAAATTCAGATCGTAGTCTTCTGTAATAAAATGTGTTTTTGTGTTTCGGTTACAGCAGAAGATGATTTGTAACTTACATTTATCAGTTTTCATGACGAAAATTTCTGGCATACAATGCATGTAAATGAGTAGACTCGTGAGGATGGTACATAAAAATCGATGTAATTATTTTTTATTATTAATAAGCTTAGTAGTGTATTTCGAAATATGAAGTCAATAAACATGATGGGCTCCGATAGAAGATTGTGGAAAAAAACAATGTAGATATGACAAAGTAAATGGTTTGAACCCGGGAGTATCGTTATATGTTTGTAAATGATGATCGTCCAGGTTAATAAAGTCCTGAGAAGGACTGTTTTTGTTGTTGTTGACTGACGTTTCGACAACCTTAGCGGTAGTCATCTTCAGAGTCAAATGAGGAGTAAACGTCAGGTTAGCCGTATTTGTTGTCTGGTTCTTACGTCATTGTATTGTGTGTACAGGAAATGTGCAGGAAATGTGTATTGTCACATTCAGTTTGTTCAGTCTTTGTTCTTGTTGTTTGATGTAATAGTTGATTCGTCTGTGACAGTCTTTAATCCGTGCTCGTATTAGTTGGTATGATTTCCTTCAGTTTGTTCAGTCTTTGTTCTTGTTGTTTGATGTAATAGTTGATTCGTCTGTGACAGTCGTTGATTCGTCTGTGACAGTCGTTAATCCGTACCAGCAGACGACTGATACGAGCACGGATTAACGACTGTCACAGACGAATCAACTATTACATCAAACAACAAGAACAAAGACTGAACAAACTGAAGGAACTCATACCAACGACAGTAAGTGATACTTTACTTTCTACCATACAAACTATTGCAGAGAAACGAGCAAACAAGACAGAGACACAACACCAAATAAAACAACAACAAAAACTTGAACGTTTAAAACAAACTAAAACACGTGCAAGACATAAACATGACGATAACTGGGTGAGGAATATTTCTTCCCGCCCATTAGACGAAACTGAAACGCGACTACTATCTTACGGACTAAAACATTCCATAACACCTAGACAAATCCCGACTGAGACGATAGTATCAAGTGTCGAGGCTGTCCTAGCGTATCAAAGAGACTTGTCAGAGACAACCAAAGACGAGATCAGAAGCAGGATAGCCTCCACTTTACAATCGTCCTCTATACCGTGACAACAACTTGACAAAAGACGAACAACAAGCACTCAAACGACTAAAACACGACAACAACATCGTCATTTTACCAGCAGACAAAGGACGCGTGACTGTGGTCATGGACAGGAATGATTACTTTAACAAAATGGACGCACTTGTTAACGACAGACAAACGTACGAACAACTCAAACGAGACCCAACACCATCACTAGTACGCAAACTTAACAGCAAGATCTTCTCTATGAGAAAATCTAACATTATATCTGAACGTATTTACTATCGACTCAGATGTTCACTACCACGACCACCCAGACTATACGGACTACCAAAACTTCACAAACTACAAATACCCATGCGACCAATTGTATCATTCTGTGGTTCGCCTACTTACGAACTTTCAAAGTACTTGACTAACATACTGCAACCACTTACAAACAAATCAAAACACAAGCTACAATCCACTGAAACTTTCATTAAAAAACTGTGCACTATACAAATACCGGACAACTATATACTAGTGTCTTTTGATGTGAAATCACTGTTCACCAGTATTCCACTTAATCTGGCACTTACTTGTACAAAAACCCTCATTACAAACACCACGGACGTACTGCCATTACCGACAGAAGACATTATGGAGTTACTAGAGCTCTGCCTCACCTCGACTTACTTCCAATACAAAGGAACACACTACAAACAATTACATGGGACAGCAATGGCTCGCCCGTTTCTGTTGTAGTTGCTGAAATTGTAATGCAATCTATAGAGGAACGGGCACTCATGACTTACAAACATGCACTACCTTTTGGTTTCGCTACGTAGATGACACAATCACAGCACTACATGCAGACGAGATTGATGACTTCCATACTCACATCAACAAACAGAACAGCCACATACAATTTACCAAAGATGTCGAAGAAACGGAACTCTTCCTTTCTCGACTGTTTGGTAAACATGACAATCAAAAACTAGGAACAACAGTTTATCGCAAGCCAACACATACTGACCGACTACTAGACCAATCATCTTACAACCCTACATCACACAAAGCCACCACAATCAGAACATTAACAAGACGTGCACAAATCATATGTGATTCACCGGACGCTCTACAAAACGAAAACAACTATCTCAAACGTGTTTTGACAAAACAACTATAACTCTGACTTTATCAAACGCAACACTTACAAACCCAACGAACCCAACGAAACGAACAACTCAGTGACAACAGCAACGATACCTTACATCAAAGGTACGTCTGAGACTATCTCGCGTATCTTACGACCATACAACATACGTGTCGCACATAAACCAATCACAACGTTACGACAAGTACTAACGAACATAAAGGACAAAGAACAACCCAACGAACGACAAGGTGCAGTTTACAAAATAAACTGCTCCGACTGCCACGCCTCCTATATCGGGGAAACTGGCAGGAACTTAAACATAAGACTTACTGAGCACAAACGAGCTACTAAGAAACAAGACAAAACTAATCACATTGCCGAACATCACCGAATCACAAAGCACAACATTGACTGGGACTCGGCAAAATGCATCACTTACAGTACTGACTATAGACAACGGCTTACATTAGAAAGTTGGTATACCAACTTGGAACAAACCCCCCTGAACAGATCACAGCAATTACCGGCACCTTACAAACGACTTATTCACAATACAAACAAACGATCAACTAAAAACATTACACTTCAAACTAATTCACAATGACAATACACAATTGACACCCACACACTACAACTAAAACGTCACACCTAAATCACACATCACAACTAAAAATAAAATTTTTCACTTCACACTAATCCACAATGACAATACACATTTCCTGCACATTTCCTGTACACACAATACAATGACGTAAGAACCAGACAACAAATACGGCTAACCTGACGTTTACTCCTCATTTGACTCTGAAGATGACTACCGCTAAGGTTGTCGAAACGTCAGTCAACAACAACAAAAACAGTCCTTCTCAGGACTTTATTAACCTGGACGATCATCATTTACAAACATGTAGATATGACAATATTCCTAAATCACGCCATCATACGAGAATGCTCAGTTACCAATTTTTTTTGATAACCTGAATTAGTGTCGCATGAATCACTTTTCTGTTTTAAAATGTCTTAAAGAAATGTTTGAAATACTTACAAAATTTCTCACAATTTTTGCCGTAATAGTTTTCATAGCAATCACATTTGACAACATCTGGCTCGTTGCAATCCGTCATGCATTGACCTTGACCTTGACACGTTTTATCCATTTCACATTTTGCCTAGATTGAGAAAGAGGTATGCCATTGTTAAGCACAAAACTTAGCGATATAAATTGTTTTATCTTTTTAATTTCTAATGGAATTTCTTTTAAATTCTAATAATATTTATTGATATGTTCCGTAAGTCAGTCTATGCATGCGCTGGTGAATTTGTGTAAATATTTTTAACCCCAAGTCGTTTTTTACCTGCCCCCCTCCAAATAATCTTTCAATTAAGTTAAAGTTAGCAGCCAAGACAATTATATTAATTCGCGCGAGAGGACCACAGAATATATTTAAAACAAACAATGAACATGATGAGGATTCATAAAACCTGAGTTCAACTTTGTGGACAGATTTCAGCAGAATCGTACAAGTTGAGTATCTGCATTTTATAGCAGATATGAAAAACTTACGCCTGTAGTCTAAAAGCTCATTCACAATAAGTTGGGCTTCAAATTCACTTCGTAAATATTTGAAGACGGCATTTTCACTGTCTTGTTTACTTGATTTGAAAAATTTTAGCAAAAAATCTTGCCATCGATGAGAAAATGAGTTTGCCATTTATTGGAAGAAGCGCAGTTTTTCATTTAATAGTGAATCCAATGTTCTTGTAAAAAAAACGCTGCATAAATTCGCTGATTGTAACTAAATTTTCGAAAACTTTACCTTCATCGAAATGTAGAGTCTCCACTTCTCTTCGACCACATTTTCAATCAATCCCATTTCTCTCTCGGGTATTCCATTCAGCAGTCGACAGTTTCCGCCTTCTTTGTTAATGCTATGTAGGAAAGCCTCGCAAAAGTTATGGATTCCACAAAGTTGTCCGCACTCGATGATTGAACGGACCCGAACTTGCTTCGTTATTTTAATATTCAACGATGCCAATGGTTCTATATAGGAAAAGTGTTATTGTCAATAGTCAAAATAATTACGTTGTGAGACAAAATGACTATTGAGAACATATTGCTATTTCTTTAACAAGAAAAGTTAAGATCAATATCTAAAAATGCATGAATAAAACAGTTTCCCTGCCGATTTATTCTACAAATAGCTGTAATAACATCATTACTAACTCGTGCACAAATTGGCATCTAAATCTTGAAGTTGAACTTTATTCAACTATTTTTTTACCTAAAGTTTGACTTGGAACATGAGAAACTTATTTCCTACCTAAGCATTCTGTATAGTGAACCAGGTCACAACATTTTGTTTTGACCTGCCATCCGCTTGATTCCATCACAAAGATCATGTGAAGAAAAATTTCCAAACGCGAGAACCGAATGACTTTGCAGAGAAAGAGAGCATTTTTTCGCTGTTGTGTCATTATTGAAACAAAGGCAAACTGATAATGTCGACAGTTTCTTTCAAACGTATTTAAGAAAAAAAAAAGTTTATTGTGTTTGCACTTGCTTATGTAAACCAAGGAGACCTTTGGGAGAACTCGTGAGCTGATCAGCGAAAACTCAAAACGTCTTTTATTTCTTTTTCAAAGTAATAATAAAAAAAAACGACAAATTTAAAAACAACGGTTTGAGTTTACCTCAAGAATGTATTCATGATTGATTTGCAAATTCTCTTTGATCGATTGATTGATCAATTTGTTCAGCTCAGATCTGTTTTGCGCAGACTAATGTAAACAAGGCTGTAGACCAATCAGCGCGTGCGTTTTATTGTCCTTATTTTATAAATATATATATATAAATATACTTAAGTGCGTCCAAAAAGCTCTTACTTTACGTAACAAAGAAATTAAGAAGAAGGAAAACGGCTGTAATTATGTCGAAGACAGAAAAGCTAATTTAAGGCAGGTGAAAGTCATTTAGCTATGAGAAAGTTTTTAACCATTTATAATACTGTAATGTCCGACTAAACCATGACAACTCCCAGCTGACTTAATAATACCAAACATTATTGTACATTGCTTTTTCAGTAAAAGGCCAGTTTTAAGTTAGACCATTTGGTCTTACATTAATTCCAATGCATTAAGTTTTCATACAATAAATAATTAAAACGACGAGGTTAAGCATAATATTAAGAATTATTGAGAATGACGACAATGTTATCTGCCAAAGCGAAGCGGATGCGATAACATTAACCGAAGTCTGAATAATGTTTGACATAGGCGAAGGAAGTGGCGGGAAAAGGGCTCTAGCCCCAATAAATTTTCTAATTGGGGCTGGGCTTAGTTCTCCTAAAAACATAGGTTAACATTGCCAAAATAGTAGAAATTGTCTTAAACTTGAATTGCCTAGAAAGATAACTGTCGATGCTTTCATATTTAGTGAAGACCGTAATCAATTTAGTGAGGTCCGTTTTATTTTTACATAGCAAAAATGAGGAGCTCTTTAACTTTCTATTTCATAACAATCAGAAAGTACTGGAGTATGTTACAACTATGGGTACGACACAGAGAAAAACACGCTGCTTGAGTTGCTTTTGTTTGAAATGAAATGACAAGTGAAATATACAAATTTTATTCGATATATGTATAAGATAAATTATAGGTATTATGATTATACTTCATGTATTAGAAATGAAATGAGAAAGCTGTCTGTTGACTTTTGATCGCTTTCTCATTCCTACTCCACTACAGTTTTCAGAACAACACAGAACTCGAGCTTTTACCTAAATATCAAAACATCATTGGAACGTAAGTACTGAAGTGTAGAACTACAAATTATCCTGACTACTGGTTTAAGACAACAACATTTAACAATGTAGTGACAAAAGTTTGTCTTTCATTTCTACTTAAAATAACGTGATAAAGAAGAAAGTCTGTAACATAAGTTACTGCCTAAGTGTCTTGTGCCAAAGTGAATGTCAGTTGATGTGGATGAGCTTATTATGTACTTTAGTAACATAACAAGTTTTGCTTGTGTGAGTTGTGTTAAAATCGAACGTGTTTTTTGAAGCAGTCAAACATTTTGGGCAATAACATCGCCAAAATATCAATGCCCTTGAGATTATGCCACTCAGTCTAGCAACCTCTTCACCAGGACAGGATGATCTTCTAGAGAGATTATCTCTGCACCATTTTGTCCGCTTCATTAAAACTGTGTAACCTATGAACAGAAAATAGGAAAGAAATTAAACTGATATCGTTTCCTTGTTACTTGAAGGTCTTAAGCATAACAACAGTTCCCATCAAATTTTTAATTAATTTGAAACTCGTCACTCACTCACTCCAAGCTTCCAGCTATTCGACATTTGTCACTTGTATTCCCTTCCCCTCGACATTTTTGACCATTCTCTTTAACCTCCCTGCTGTCGTTTCTACCAAAAACATTTGTCATCCTAAATTTCCTTCCGTGCTCTTTTTATCCTCAAAGTTCCATCTTGATATTTTTACCTTCAAGCATGAAAGCTCAAATCTTTCTCTCTAAATTTTTTACATCATTTTACTTGCCATTTTTACCCTCAAAATCCTTCGATATTCTTTCTTTTTCCTATCAATTCGGTCATTTCTTTTTGTTTATTTTGAACAATCTTATATTTGTCTCGACACTAGCAGTTTTTTTATGTCCTCAAGAATCCCCCTCACCCTCTGTTCAGCCGGCATAAGAACCTGAATATAATTTACCTTTCATTATCACTGGACAACCCCCATCCCCCCTAGTTTGTCTCTAATCTCTCTCTCCTGGCATGTGCTCCTTTGCTTTAACTATAAATGAATACGGTCTTAACCATATTCATTTATACCAATCCACTTCTCAACCACTCTTTATTTTATTTTCTATCTATTACCTGGTTGATAAATAGCAACATTCCAATTTATATCTCCAGGGGAGACGTATTGTAAAAACTTACTCCAAGCCAACACGTTGCCATGAATATTGAACCCCCCTGATACCATGACTTGAATATTGCTGCTCGAAATCTCGTGATCCCAGATATTCAGTTGTGAAAACCTTTTACCGTTACTTGAAAGAGGAACAAGGAAATTTTTCCTTTCCGGTAAGGTTATTTGTAATGCGGCATCATTGACAGATGTATCGACTTGAAAGCCGTCGAAGAAATACTTTACCCAAGCTTTTTTTCCATTCCATTTTAAGCAGAGAAAATGCCAATATTTGAAGGAACTTGGAACCTGCCTAAGAAAGAAATAAGTTTATGTACCAACTTGAGCCCTTTATCAGGCATGCTCAGATGTTGAAACTTGAGTCCTTAACTTAAATGCCTGGTGTCTTCATCCAGTAGCAAATCCACAATCAAGCAAAACATATTGTAATCATTAATTCTAATCGTAACATACATACAACAATACCATTGGTTATGAATTTCGAAAGATCAAAATCGTACAAACCAATTGGCTTTTCTAATTTATTTTGCCTAACGTTGACTCCGCCATTGTCTTTATCCAAAGTGATCTTATGTTGAATATTGAGTTCTTTTGTACAAGAGTATAATGTCTTTATCAGCATTGTGATCTAATCTTGAAACCGGAGTACATACATACTACAGTCTCTGACAAGTAGTGTTGCAAGTGCTTACTTCTGACTGGAAACACCATTGATTTTCGTGGACATTTGTGTTCCTGACTTTAAGAGAAACCTAAATTCCTTTGATGAGTTGTATGAAAAGATTTCAGAGCTCTCGCTCCCACTTCCGTAATACCAAACACAGGCAGATATAAAATTCATTAACTGTGGTGGTCCAGGATAGCGGACCAATGTAGATAGCACACTTATATAATAGTTTGTCTCATTACCTAAAACATAAGAGAGAATGCATGTTTGCCTTAGTTTCGATGTGATTTCGAATTTCAATTCAATCATATTTCCCTCTGTGAAGGAGACCATTGAGATGTCGGATTCCACATCCCAGCTCGTGAAGTCTGAATTCACTTATATAAGTAACGCTAAAACACGTTCAAAAAAGAGATCGTTGCCTCAAGTGGACGTAAACATATGAGACTGAGATTGACAGGAAGCGATTGCATAAGAGATCATATCCTTTTATCTTTGGAGGAAGACTCCTTAAACATTTTAGTTAATTGTCGAATTGGAAACATAACATACAAGACCAACCGAGTGATTTTTCTATACATACATCGTAGTTTGATAAACATTTTGTATGAAAAAGAAAATATTCAACCTGAGAATGATGCTTGTGAAGGACGAAGAATTCTTTCGTTCGACACAATATATTTTAGTTTATACCACGTGATCAA